CGCTCGTCTCTGTGACTGCGACCGGTCCCCTATCCCTGTTCACGGTCTCCACGGATCGCCGCGGTCACGATCACGGCGGCTGCTTCCTTCCTTGTTGCGGTCTTTGCGGTCGGAACGATGGTCTCTGTCCCGGTGGCTATCACGATCACGATCGTCGCGGTGGCTGCTACGACCGCCGCTGTCTCGGTTGTCCCGGTCGGCACGGTCACGGTCGCGACGGCTGCTGCTGCTGTGGCCTTCCTTGCGGTCCTTGCGGTCGGAACGGGACTCGCGGTCTCTGTCGCGCTCCTTATCGCGGTCAGATCGGTCGCGGCGCTTCTCCGAGTCACGCTCCTTACGGCTGCTGCGGTGGGATCGGCGGGATGATTCTTCGCCGGCAGGACCAGGGGCGGGAGGGGATACGGATCGAGAACGTTCCTGGTTGGCGCCGCCTTCTTCGTCGGCTACGGTGGCCGAGGTGTGTTTCCTCCTGTGTCTTCTGCTGGTGTTGGAGTGGCCGTGTTGTTGGTCGTCGCCATCATTGTTGGCTGTTTCGGCGCCGTTAGCGGCGTCAGCGCCACCGGGACTAGCGGAGCGCTGGCGTCTCTCTCTGCGCCGGTCACGGTGTTCCTTGCGCTCATCGGCATTGGGGGAATAGGATCGCTCGCGACGATCTCGGCGTTCACGCTCTCTGTCCCTGTCTGAGCGCTCGCGATGGTAGTAGTCCCTGTCCCTGTCATCTCTTCCGCCGTGGTAGTCATCATCCCTATCTCGGGACCTAGACCGGCCCCGGTCAGCGGTCGCGGAGGGACTGGCAAACCGAGATCCATGATGGGACGAACCAGGGCCGCCATGACCGAACGAGTTGGGCGTTTGCGGCTTGTTCTCATTATCTACCCAGCCTCTAGCTTGGAGATGTTTGATACTGGTGTTGGGAAGTCCTCTCAGCATGGCCTTGGGTCCCTTGGGCGCATTGGCGGGCACATCTGGGTTGACCGGCGGGGGTTGGGGAGGTCCAAGGGGCATCATGCCACCCATGGGTCCGTAACCATCGCCTCCCATACCCATGCCAAATCCTCCAGGGCCGTTCCAGCCGTTGTTGAAGCCCATGTTGCCGCCGAAGCCGCCAGGTCCCATAAAGCCAGGGCCGTCGCCGGGGTACATGCCTCCTTCAGGGCCGCCGTTCATGTAGCCATTTTGGTTGTATCCTTCGTCACCTTCCGCGCCGGCATCGGGGTTTGTGGCATCACCGTTGGGCGAGGTGGTAGCGTTCTCGGCATCACCATCAGTCTCAGCAGTAGCAGGAGGCTTGGCTTCACCGTCAGCTCCTTGAGCCTCTTGTTCAGCGGCATCGCCATCTTCGGTCTCCTTTTTTGTATCTTCGCGCAACGAGCGGCCAAACTCGTCAACGTTCGGGTCAGCACTTGCAGCACCCTCGGGCTTGTTCTCTGTGTTGCCATCTTGAGAAGCGCCACTGACGCTGCCGCCAGGGAAACCACCGTTGTGCATGGAGCCACCCATGCCTGCCCCGTACTGTTGGTTTGGATAGTTTTGGTCTCCTCCGTAGTTGCCGCCCATGCCCATCGGGCCGTTCATGCCGCCCATGTTGCCGTAGCCGTTGTTGTAGCCGCCACGACCGCCATAGCCGCCACCGTAGCCATAGCCTCCCCGGCCACGTCCTCTACCGCCACGGAATCCGTATCCACCCCGGCGATAGTCATTGAACTGGCCGTTGCCATAATTACCTTGATTGAAGTTGCCTTGCTGGAAGGAGCCAGAGTTAAACGAGCCATAATCACCATTGCCCATGCCAGAAGCATTTGGATGATTGAAATTATCTTGGCCGACATTCCATGATGACTGCTGCCCGTTCCAGTTATTATTCGATTCATTGCCGCCTGCGCCGCTAAATCCTCCCATTCCCATGTTCATGCCGTTCATGCCCATGCCAGAAAAACCCCCGTTCATGTACATTTGCTGCATCGCGCTCATCGGATCCATGTTCATGCCGGGCATACCTGTGTGATGGGCAGTTAGTTATTTGGTTATTTGTGAAGAGGGGAAAGCATGTCGAGGTGAACTAACCCATCATTGGAAAGCCGTTTTGCATGGCCATCATCATTTGCATCTGGTCGAAGCCGCCAGCAAAGTTCATGGGGAAGCCATTCATCCCGAATCCGAATGCTCCAGCGGGTTTTGGTTGTGCGTCGTCACCCTCGGCGTTTTCTTCGTTCTCTTCGCCGTCTTTTGTCTCTTCGGGGTTCTCGGCCGCGTCGCCCTCTCCGTCTGCGGGCGCTCCATCGGCTGTTGTGTCTTCGGCAGCATTTTCGGCATGATTTTCGGTGGCCTGTCATCTGGTCAGCTACCCGAGGTCATGGTCAGAAATGTCTGACCGGTTTGGCTTACATCTTGGTCGGCTTCCTGGTCCGCCGAGTCAGCACCCTCTACCTTGGGTGCTTCTTCTCCCTCTTGGCCCTCGGCTCCTGCATGTTTTTCTCCGGCACCTTGGTCATCCGCCGCCTGCGCAGGCTCTTCTTGCTCCTGCTGTTGCTGGTTCTCTGGTACGGGGGCCTGTTCCTCAGGCGCCGAATCGCTGGGCAAAGGTAGTTGTGGTGCCGTGGTAGACCCTGGTGTCGACTCAATCGGAGTAGGTGGGGCTGACTCCCTGGCGCGTGCGTCCTGTTGTTTCTTCAAATATGTCTTGAGAAAGACTCGAATGGTGGTCCGTAGAGACTTGTGCGGCTTGGCATCGTCCGCCGAGAGTGGCGAGTGTTCGCATACGGGGCAAGAGGTAGGTAGAGTCGACCGGCAGTCTTCGCAAATCGTTTGTTCGCAGCAGGGCAACCTGAAGGCATTCGCAGCCAATCTGCTGCAGATGGCGCATTTCAGTTTCGCCGGGATGTCTTCTGGGCTCAGAGACCTGGTCTACTTGTCAGTCCGTCTGCCACCAGAGTGTGTTCTGGACAGAATCCGCCGGGAGATGGCGGGGTAGGAGAGGCAAACCTGATGAGCTCGGCCTGAGCCTCTTCTGATATCAGGGCCGCCATTGCGATTTCCTGCGCTTCAACCTAGGCGCAACCGGCCTCCTAGAGGTAGAGGAGGTGTAGGAATGAAGAGTCCAAGGACATGGATAGGCGCTCGTTGGCGTCCTGTCTTCCGTGGAAGGTATGAAATATCGCTGAGTGATGTAATCGGCGATCACTATCGTATCAAAAATGCTGGTCGGTGGTGGTATTTGCTTGTTGCGATCAAGGCAAGCCGGAGCTCACGTTGTCGAAGCCCTAGCAGGCTTAAGATGATGGGCCTTAGAGGTGGATGGGGCGCAAATATCTCACAGTAAAGTGAGAAAGTGCGTTGTCGAGATCGTTTTGCCCAAAAGGCGAATCCGTGAGCTGAGGATAAATCTTGCTGCAGCAAGTTGCAGTGGTTAGTCTGCAAGTTGAAGTGGAAAGTGACTCTGGTGGTGTCGCGTTTTCTCGGCGTCCAAACCGAATGGGGCGGGATGCGATTTTTTGGCGGGTCCCAGCGCACGTGCCTCCACTGTCTTACACCCCACTATCCGCTTAGGCGGTTTGATAGGCGGGAAACTTGGGCTTTTAAGGAAGGTACGGACCACTTCCACTTGATACAGCAGTGACAATACATCGCAACAGGCATTGAGTGTGCATCACTGCGCCAGATAATACAGTAGACTGTAGCAGTAACCGAGGCAATTCAGTAAAGAGAACAATAAGCTCTTACACGATATTAAACGAGCTGAATACTTTAGATAGCAGACTGTAGTTTGGGATGAAGCCATTCACATTCACGCAGTCCGCTTGTATGGAGTAATGGGTCTAGGCGCAGCGAGGGCAGCTACTTACTCTTCACTTAACGGTGTTGATTTAGGTACCAGATAGCCATATCAATAAGATCAGTCATACTCATTCACGCCATGGATCACAAAAGGTTCGGCTTTATCTCTGGGTTCAACAACATGACAGGTCCACCAAGGTTTCCGTCATCCGTCTTGTAACTGAATCATGTTGTGACTTTCCATAGTATCATGACGAGAGTCTGGAACAATTAGGGATAGTATCACACTTTGACCGACACGCAACGAACCGCTCCAAGGTAGGGATATGTCACACAAAACACCATTAACCTGTTGCTGCTGGACCTGTAAATCGTAGTTCGATGATAAGAAATGGAAATCGGTAAATCAAAAAGAAAAACAAGTATACTCCGTATAGACCCGCCCAATGTGACCAGCCACTCCGTTAACCCGTCTGTAAAATGCAAAGCTCTCTCTGTTGTTCGTTAGCCAGATATGGGCAACCTCATTCTCATCAAGATCCCATTCCACAGCCACTGTTCGCGGATCATCCGCATCGTCCGTTCGTTGTCTTCTCCCTATCCCCCCTTCTCTTCCCCCCCGCCCCATTCAATCATCTTTCCTTAACAGGCGCAACCTTCCTTTGCGTGGGAATCCCGCGGCCCGTTAAGGTTGACCCTCTGCTCTTCTGTACGACTGACACCAGCATGCGAGGCACCAGGCCCACGCGCGCTCTTCAACGACGTCTCAGGAATGGCGTTCGCAATGGCTGTGAAAACTTCGGTAACGTTGTGTCCGGTCTTGGCCGAGGTCTCGAAGAACAAGAGACCTTCCTCCTCAGCGTATGTCTTGGCCTCCTCGGTCGAAATCTTGCGAGCGTCGCCCGAATCCTCCGCGTTGTCGTCGCCGTCTCCGGAAACCTCGGCAGTGCCGGCAGAGTCGCTGGTCAGATCCAACTTGTTACCCACGAGCGCAATAACGATGCCGGGAGATGCTTGTCGCTGGAGCTCGGCGACCCAGTGCTTGGCCTTGATGAGCGAAGTAGGTTTCGTCAGGTCGTAGACGACAAGGGCGGCTTGGGCGTTGCGGTAGTACATGGGCGCCAGAGAAGCGAAGCGCTCTTGGCCTGCTGTATCCCAAATCTCGAACTTGATCGTCCTCGTAGGCAGGTTGCACTTCTGGGTTAGGAAGGCGGCTACAGATGAATGTTAGTCGGATTGGTTTTAACGGTGTCTCGGTGGCTTCAGAACCGTACCTCCTATCGTGGGCTCCTTGTTCTCTTGGAAGTCATTGTTGACGAATCGGAGGACAAGCGACGACTGTGAAACGACACGTTAGGCTTGTGCTTCTCGGTAAGACGGGTTTGGAGCAGCAGAAGAATGCGCACCTTTCCGACGGCAGCTTCACCTAGAAGCACCAGCTTGACACTGCTGCTGGGCTTGGGCGCGTTCGTATCGGCCATTGTCGTTGAAGTGTGATGTTGGTATTATTTAGATGAATGGTTTGCGAAACGGCGGGGCTTGCGGCAGCGAGGAACTACAGCAATGAACGACAACAAGGACAGCTGTCTGTGATAAAGCGACAGCGATGGGAGTAGTGGTTGGCCGGAGAACGTTGGGCGGATGCCTGTTGGAAAAGACAAAAGATGGTTGAAGATGGATCGTTGAAACGGGTTGGGAATCCGGAAGAGTGACGTGATAGGCAGACGACAGCAATGAAATGGATGGAGCTTGTTCCAGTCGGAAAGCCAGGATCCAGTTGGTGCAGCGAACAGTGTGCGAATGTGCCACGACGAACGCCTCCAGACATCGGGCCACGGGCAGGCGTCGCATGTCCTCGATGTCCCTCGCTTGCGCTGCCGTGCTGTGAGTGGACTCCAACTTCCCCTCCACGCCAAGAATGATAGCCTCATAGGGTAGGGCCCGTGCGTGATCTGGTGGCAGGCAGTTGACCCCAACCTGACCTGCAGCTGAAGGGACTGGACTGGACTTCCAGAAGGGCCCCACTAAAAAGTTCACGAAATTTTGGGGGCGTCAAAGTCGAGAGTCTTCCATCTTCCATGCGCCGGGATTGATTTTGCACCCTTTCGCCCTAGCATCTTCAAATCCAACCCACCTCAAGATGCCTCGTCCAAAGTCAAAGGCGGCGAAAGCCAGAGTTACGGGCGCCAATACCGATCCCATTGTCCCTAGAAAGGGCCTTTTCGACGACGATGCCTCCAGCGAAGACGAGCAGGACGGAGGTGCCACCCTCAGCAGCGCCGCTGCCGACCTGAAAATCAACGAGGAGTACGCCCGCCGTTTCGAGCACAACAAGAAGCGCGAGGAACTCCACCGTCTCGAGGAGAAGTTCAAGTCCAAGAAGGAGGGCGGTCTAGGCGAAGATGAGGACGAAGAGGACTCTTCCGAAGACGAGACCGAAGACGATGAGGGTTTCCTTGTCACCGAGGATCTCGACGCCGAAATCAACGCCACCCTAGAAGCCATCAAGAAGAGAGACCCTCGCATCTACGACAAGGAGGCCGTCTTCTACACGCCAATCGATGCCGACGGGCAGCCCGTCAAAGAGAAGAAGGAGAAGACCATGACCCTGCGCGACTACCACCGCGAGAGATACATGGCCGGTGACATTGGTGCCGACGAGGATGAGGCACTCAAGCCGACTTACGCCGAGGAACAAGCCAACCTGAAGCAGAACATTCTGTCCGAGATCAACGCCGCTGCCGGCGAAGACGAGGAGTGGAGCGACGACGACGCCTTCATCAAGCCTGTCAAGAAGGCGGAGGCTCCTACCGAGAACGGCGTCCACCCATCGCGCGCCAAGGCGATTGATCTTAGCGAGCTCGACGTCAATAACGCCGACAAGAACCCCGAAGACTTCCTTTCCAAGTTCATGCAGTCCAAGGCCTGGGCGCCCGCCGAAGGCTCGCGCTGGGAGGCTTTCGAGTCCGACGACGGCGAGGATAACTTCCCTGAGCTGGCCGAGGAGTTCGAGCACGCCTACAACATGCGCTTCGAGGACCCCAACAAGAGCAACGAGCTGCTCAAGACGTACTCGCGTAACCTGGCCAACGCCAAGTCAGTCAGAAAGGAGGAGCTCACGGGCAGAAAGAAGGCCAGACAGCTCGAGAAGGAGCGCAAGGAGGCCGAGAAGAAGCAACGTGAGGAGGAGCGCGCTCGCCTGCGTCGTCTCAAAATCGATGAGGCGGCCGAGAAGCTTTCCAAGATCAAGAAGGCTGCTGGTCTCACCGGCAAGGAGCTGTCCGACGAGGAATGGATGAAGTTCCTCGAGGACGCCTGGGACAACGACCGTTGGGAGGAGGAGATGCGCAAGCAGTTCGGCGAGGAGTACTACGCCGAGGGAGAAGACGACATATCCGGCAGCGACGAGGACGACGACGAGGAGGGCAAATCCAAGAAGAAGAAGAAGAAGCTGCCCAAGAAGCCCGAGTGGGACGACGACATCGACATCAAGGACATCATCCCCGACTTCGACGACGTGCCCGACGTTGTCCTTTCCGATCTGGACCTCCCCAAGCCCGACGGCGAGGAAGCCGAGGCCGAAGCCGAAGTGGAAGACGACGACGCCGACCTCGGCTCCGACCTCTCCGCCGACGAGGACCGTCCCTCCAAGAAGCGCAAGACCACCGCCGACATCAAGAAGGAGAAGCAGCTCGCCAAGCGGGCCGCCAAGGCCGAGCTGGCCAAGCTCGAAGCCATTGTCGACACCAAGATGGAGCTCGACGCCCCGCGTGCGCTCTCCGCGCCCAAGGACAAGAAGTACAAGGAGAACCTGTTCCCCTTCCGTTACCGCGAGACGTCGCCTGTGTCCTTCGGCATGACGGCACGCGATATTTTGTTGGCGCCCTCGGACGCGGCGCTCAACGAGTTCGCCGGCCTCAAGAAGCTGGCCACCTTCCGCGACGCCGAGAAGAAGCGCAAGGAGCGCAAGAATCTCGGCAAGAAGGCCCGTCTCAGGCAGTGGCGTCGCGAGACGTTTGGACGGGAGTTCGAAGAGTCGGGCCCCACGTTCGGGTTCGAGGCGCTGGATGAGGATGGTAACCCTCTTAACAAGAACGAGGGCAGTGGTGCGAATGCCGGTGCGGTTAGGCATAAGAAGAGGGGCGAGAAGAAGGATGGTGAGAAGAAGAAGAGCAGTGGTGAGAAGAAGAAGAAGAAGGAGGAGGTGAAGAACAAGGATGAGGGTGAGAAGAAGGAGACGAAGAAGACGGAGGAAAAGAAGGAGACTATTACTGCTACAGCGAAGGAGCGGATAATATCATTGAGGGAGAGAGGAAAAAGAAGAGGAAGAGAAGCAAGAGCAAGAAGGCCGGTGACGAGGTTGAGGCCTAGAGTGCTTCGCTGCCAGTCCGGTCGTCAGGATAGTTGGTAGTGATGTCATGTGTTTGTTCGTTTGTTTGTTTACTTGTTCTGGGTTTTGTTTTGTTTTGTTTAGTCTATTCTGCCTCAGGCGTCTTTGCATCGTGGTGTTAGGGGAGAAATTTACAAGACAAAGTTAGAATTTGCTATTTCAATGCTCGATGCTTCTCACTATACACTTCGTTTTTGGCTCCCAAGTAGTAGACCTAGTTACTGTCTCGTTCAGGAGGAGTTTCTCTCATCACGATCCGATATTCGTCCTCACCTAGCCTTGAGATATATGGTATAGATCCACCGCGGTCCCCTGACTGCCTTCGTCTACCTGAATAGGTACCTAGCCTCCAAGGCACAACTTATCCCGAAACCACCTCTCGCACCTTCTAACCAAAAGGCTCTCTGGTCCAAAGGCATTGATCGCCCAATGTGTTTAAAATAAATCCGCTAGATCCCAGATCCTCAACAGACACTGAAGTACTAGAAAGTTTAACATCTGCTCTTCGCTTGTCCCCATCGATCCATCCATCCGTTATTTTAGTCATCCTCATCCTCATCCTCATCCTCATCCTCATCTTCATCCTCATCTTCATCTCATCTTCATCCTCATCTTCATCCCCATCTTCATCCTCATCTTCATCCTCATCTTCATCCTCATCCTCTCCAAAATCTATCAACCCAAAACAAGGGAATCCAGTCCCCTACCCTACCATGAGGAATTTTGACTTTACCTACCTACATAGCTATCCCTTTCCCATTCCATTATTTCGCTAGAGCATCCTGAACACCTCCTTGCTGCATGTACGTCTACGGCATATATATAGACCTACTACTGAATCCTCTTTTTCCTTGACGACGATGGCTTAGGTATGTAGATATGGACGGATAGGTAGATGAATGGGTAGATGGGTAGTATGTATGGAATGCAGATCAAGACAAAGACAAAGACACACAAAGTCCAGGCAGACGTACGCCATCCGAAACTCGGGTGGGTGGGTAGAACAAGAACCCTTCTTTTGTGGAGTAAGCGTTTTGTGTCCGAAATACAGCAAGGTATGGATGTATGTTGATTTGGTTGCTTGCTTATGTCTTGACCTTCAATGAACGGCGGGTTGAGGTTGACTGGCACTAGCATACTCACTCAACACAGAAACAGCAAAAGCAGTAGTGTCCGGGTCGGAAAACTGTTGCTTCTAGTTTACTTCAACTTTAGTTTACCATGAAGAGAGGCTCTGGAAGTAAAAAAAAAATCGAAAAGACTGTGGATCGGACAAGGTGTCTTTTCTAGAAGAAGCGGTACTTTGGCAAGTCTACTTGTACGTAAGGTCACTGCAAACCATGTCTAGCCTATCATGCACATAAGCTGAGGTTGCTTCCCCGGGCTGACGATATGTAGCCTCTCTTAATACTGGTTGTGTTACAGTTGTCACCGTGGTGGCTTGTTGGTCAGTCAGGCTTTGAAGGAGCAGATTCCGATTCAGCTTCAGCTACTTACCTACCTCCCTGGAAGCGGTGGTGAGAGGATGGTGAAGAGAAGTGTATCTGATATCAGTACATTCAGGTAACCGCTTCATCCATTCCTCTGGACCTTCATCAAACCATCATTAAGTTTATTTCTTACATATGAAAGTGGGAAAACCTGTGTTCCTTTCGCGCGCTCAAACCTGTCTCGGAAGAACCATGCTAGATTAGTAACCCTTTCACCTTTTTGTGTAACGGAACAGGGCTTGGGTCTGTGTTGTCTCAGCTCCGGAAGGATTCTGCACAGGAAATCCTTCGCGATAAAGATGACATGATAATCTCGTAAATCAACCGCACACAACGGCTGCCAGGGGTAACATGGTCGGTATAACCACAACATCCAAGCTCCGTTGACAATCCCGTTTCAAGAGCTGGGTTGGGTTGTTGTTGAAGGGGGAAAACGGCTGAGTGGTCTGTGAGTGGTTGTGCAAAGTTGTCTGAAACGACTTTCTTCCAACAACTTTTCTTGAATGATAAGACCAAGTTTAATCTGTTGCGCAACATCTGTCCCCGTCTTTTCTGGCACAGAGACCGACCCCTCCACACCTCGGCTGGTTGCCCTCGGCTGGTTGTTAACTAGTCACTCAGTGTAGCAAGCGCAAAGAGGCAGGTCGGTAAGGGGACGGGCTGCCAACGCAACTCTGCAATGCAGAGGGTTTAATATCCAGATAATGGCGAGACTGAATGGATGGCACCGTACTTTTTGTCATCTTCAAGCGGCCGAATTGGGAAGGGGTCGGTTTGCGCCCGCTGGATCAACCACTCGGTTCTTTTCCATGAGCCAGAAACCCGACGGGAAGCTATATTGCCTGGGTATTAGTGCAGGAAACGTTCTGAAGTGCTTGCCCGTTTGAGAAAGGTGAGGATCCGAAGGTTATCAGCTTGCAGCGAAAAGCCATAGTACAAGCATTAACGAGGAGAGTCATGTGCGGCTTGGCTTCATTGGGCCATGTTCCGCTCTTAAAAAGTAGATCAAGGTCCGCATAGCTCTTCAACGACCATGTACTCTTCGTAGCGTCGTATTCGCGGAACAAGCTTAACGAAATAATAAACCAGCAGCTGGCGGATGGAGGATGGAATCGAGCAGTGTAACCATCTCCTTTCTGTTTGATACCTGGCCATAGGTGAACACAACCACGCCTTGCGCACACCCTCTTGCTGCTCCCGCCCAACCGAAGTGAGAGGACGCGAGAGAGCACGACATGCGAAGGATGCGAGGCATTGCAGATTGTGACCCCGAAGAGAAGCGCTTGCAACGTCAAAGAGAGTTGGGCTTACCCGGAATGATCATGGTGGAAGGCGAGAGTTGAAGAAGACGTGCTCGTGAAAGGGATTGAATATGTGAGAAAGTCTGGGCATTTTAAACGAGAGGTAGTACAAACATGGTCGGAAGAGGAACGGAGTTTAGTCAGAATCCCGTCATCACTCTGTGAATCTTGGTTGTATACAGCGTAAGTACCCTAGTAGGCTCCGGGTAAAAGCCAATGCGGAAGACGCCGGAGCAAAAGTTGCAAAATCTGTATCTTGGTTTATCCTCCCCGCGATATACAGTGAGAAGTGGAAGTCCATGGCAGGAGCGCATCAACTGCAACTGCAGTTTGTGACGTTTATCTCCGTGAAGTGAAAGGACCGAACTGTTTTGATGCACTAACAAATTGATAGCCTGCCCTCGTTCCTGCCCGTTTGGGATCTCATCCGATGATACCATGCAGGAAGGAGCACTCACCGATCTAGTTGTCGTGCACAGGATGTTGACAAATTTTTCTTTCAAGTCCATCTCAGACTTCGCATCTCAGATATTCGGTTTGATCTTGTCGAGGCTTCTTTTGTGTCATTCAAGACACCCTTCGACCGAATCTTGAATGAGCAATCGACATGTCCTTGCCTATTACTGTAAACGAGTGCGCTCTCGTGCGTGGGGGTCTGGCCATCAACCTCCCCCACCTTGTCCGGTTCGGTGTGCATCTCGGTGAGTGTCAGTTCCCCTCTCCTCACCTCATCAAAAGTACGACATCTAATATCCTATGGTGTTTTCCAAGGTATATGACTGATCTGACGGCAAAAATTAAGGTCAAATTTCAAGATCGCTCGGCTGCCCATATAAAGAAGTCACCACGAGTGTCACCAACCTTCACCAATCCCGGCGTATTCTCGGAATTTTGCACCCTTTGCACAAGCACACACTCGGTCTAACAGGCCGCTGTTACATTCGGTCGTCGACGACTTTGTACTAGGGTAGGGTGTCCTTTGCTCACATCACCACATCTCAAAGATATTGAGGAAGGGTGGCATCTCTGGCTTCTTGCTCATCGACTCCGCTGAGGCTCTCGCTCGTCTCCAAGAGCAAGAGCTCAACTCCGACCTTCCGGAGTTAGCGCCCCCCATATGGTTAGGCTAATGGTGAAAATTCTCTAGGGTCCCGACTGTCAAAAACTGCCACGAGGTGAGCGGCAGCAACCGTGGCGTCCAAGTCGGAGAGACAAGATCCATGTTCACGCCTTTTCAGGAAATACCCCTGGCTCCCTGGTTCGCCAGAATTGCCAGGCCTCAGCCTGTTTGAAGCCTTTTCTCTCCACGACTTTGAGCACAAGAGGCTTCCAAAATATGTTGACATCCACGATGCCACAGCAAAGGGGAACCCTACCAGATTTATAACTGCTGGCTAGCCTGCCAAGGCAGCAGAAACCATGATGCAGGCGAAGCTCGCGACGGTGCATCTGCCAATGCAGACGCACTGGAAAGGACGGAAAGGTGCTGCAGCATTCAACATGGAGAAATGGACAAGAGACAAAACTCAACGTGCCAGTGCTGAGGTTGCGGTCTGCCACCGCGAACCAATCATAGACAAGGCTGGGGGAGACTGGGGTGTCTTTCCAGCGAATCATCACGAGCCTAACGCTGGCGATCTGGTCCATGTCTAAATCTTGCGCAGGTCAGTATCGAATCGGTTCGCCAAACGTGGGACTTTGTGGTTCCTGCTGTTCCGGGTGGCCAGCCCTTTCTCCACGGTCAATATATCTTGACTAGCACCGTCTCTGACAAAGAGCTTAGTATTGACACATCCAAGGATATATTGCATCTGCGCAGTAAAAGCCTCACAACTTCACAAGTGACCGATTGCTGTGGATGTTTACCTGCAAGAAAGCCCAGTCGGGTCTCCCTTGCCGGTTGAGTCTCCTCGGTCCCAATGCCCCTATTCCCAGCTGAGGCCCTCTTGTCTGTCTGTGGCTCTCATTAGAATAGCTGCATATTTCAACAAGACCGCGCCATACGCAGTACACACCCACTATCGAATCCAGCCTGCTTTGTGGCTGATCACGAGGAGGGGTTGGCTGCGGCGTACAAAGAATACTGCTGTGGTAATACGGACAAAGATATCTTTTACGCCGTACGCAGAGTTCAGAGAAGAGTCAGCGGGTGACCAGCTGTTACAGAAGGTATCCCTGCTCCCGCCATTCATTCGACGGTTCCTGAATGGACGTTGATGCCCCGACTACTCTGCTCTCTCCGCGCAATCGGCGTTCACCCCCAGTGAGCCCGCAATGAGCTCAAGCACACGGGCAAGACGCAGCCGGAGACGTTGAAACGCCCAGCTGGTATAACCCCACAATTGACGCCGAAAACGCTTTCCCACCATGTGGGCCGCAGATTTTAATGCTAGACTCTGTCATGGCGATCCATGATCCATATCAAGACAAGTGCCGCTTGCGAAGCCGAAGAAGTGCATCAAACAAAGTTGCAACAAAATGCCCAGAGACAAAACACTCAACTTACTCATTCACACAACATACATACACATCCACGAACAATACACGACAAGGTCATCTATGGAAGGAGTATCCTGGGGTTGATACACCCAACATCCCTTTCCCCTCAGCCCCCCGTCCATTCAGGTAAGCTCACTTACATACACGCCAGTACCATACAAGCACACCAATAGTCAGCCAGCCTTTCTTTCCGGGGTGCCGAGAACCGCGCTCCCAATGCCCCCCCCCCTCAGGCTCATCCTCTCCCTCGACCTCCCTCTACCCAGCACCTTGCCAGCCATATTATCACGAAAAACTCTGCATACTTGCTACCATTTGACTATTCCTTCTTTCAGCCAGGGACATGGACACACCCTGAGGCTCCGATACTGATTCACCGGCGCGCAGTGACCCCCTTCCGTGCCCCTTCTCCGCCTGGCATCTGAGAATAGGTACAGTCTCCAGTACAGCCTAGATCGAGGAGGAGTGGAGCAGTGTCGTTGCTAGTTTCTTGGGGTGATTGGAGCCGTTGGAGTCCTTCTGGAGCCTCTGCTGGAGTCTTTGGAGTCTCGTGGAGCCTCTGGAGGAGTCTTTTGGGGCAATAAGTGTGGAGTTCGCCAATTACTGCATCCCAAATTCCTCGAGTCTCGGTGTTGAAAGAGCCCAAGAACCCCCGGATTGCAAATCACCATCCTGGCCAACTGCTGGCCTACGACAGCATCCCAGCTTTCCGTTCCCCGGGTTCGTTTCAGTCGGTGCTACCTTCTTTAGATCAGATCCCGCTGAAGTCGAGCTTTTCTGGCGAACCGGTCTCCAAACTTTCTTTTTCTTCTTTCCCCAATGCCACCGGCCGATTCGCAAGCGCTCAACAATAACTTTTCATCCGTCAATCTCGACTTCGCGCCGGCTGGCGGTGACACTCACGGTCACCCGCCGCACTCCGACCCTACCGCCTTCCAAACCCAACCTCTCGACAAGCTGGATACCTCCAATGACGCGTTGGGCAGCATCGCTGCTGCCCACGATTTGGTCGATAGCCATTTCGCCGATTTCCAGTTCCACTATGACGACGACTTAGATGACTCGCCGATGGCCGGTCTTGGCTCCACCACCTTCGACGACCATGCCGCCGATGTGTTCTCGACAACTCCCCACGCACCATCCATGAACTCGATCACGGTACAGACCTCGACCTATAATAACAATGGCGCAAACATCGGGAACGGCGGACAACGGCAGCAGAGCATGGATATGTCCGAAAGTAACACCCCGGACAGCAATCAGAATGCCGGGAACTCGCTCGAGGAAACAGTGGACGAGTTCGGTCTTGCTACTGCTGGCTCTGTCGATGGTTCGGCACCAAAGGGCAAGGGGGACAAAACGGATAATACCCCCGCATGGAGCGAGCTAAAGACGAAAGCCGGAAAGGAACGAAAACGTCTTCCCTTGGCTTGTATAGCATGTCGACGCAAGAAAATCCGGTGTTCCGGCGAGAAACCCGCGTGCAAGCACTGTCTCCGATCGCGAATCCCGTGCGTTTACAAGGTCACAGCTCGCAAGGCTGCACCACGAACCGACTACATGGCTATGCTGGACAAGCGACTAAAGCGAATGGAGGAGCGGATCATCAAAATCGTACCAAAATCCGAGCAGGAGGGTGCCTCTAACGTTACCAGAGCCGTGGTCAAGCCTGCCATACCGGGAACATTGAACAATGTGAAGCAAGCCAACAAGAAGCGCGGCGCTGACGAAGCATTCGGGTCGGATTTGGAAAATTGGGCTCGAGGGCCTTCAAAGTCCAAGATTGACGCGCCAAACAGGACCGCTACGATCCATATCCAGGAGACTGAGGAGAGCAAGCTATTGCTGGAAGGCGGGGATGCGTTGCCATCCAAGGAAATACAAGAACATCTTGCCGAGGTCTACTTTGAAAACATCTATGGCCAGGCCTACCACCTTCTTCACAAACCGAGCTTCATGAGGAAGCTGAAGTACGTTCCCCACACCGGACATATTGACTAAGATTATCTAACAACGTCGCTGCTACAGGGCTGGCGCTTTACCACCCGTCCTAATCCTCTCTGTCTGCGCCATCGCCGCACGCTTCTCGAACCATCCAAAACTCAACTCGAGCCCGAATTTCCTCCGCGGCGAAGAGTGGGCGGCGGCAGCCCGCGATATAGTGACAAAGAGATATGAATGGCCCAACATCACCATTCTTACATGTCTGCTCATTCTAGGTCTCCACGAGTTTGGCACCTGCCATGGTGGCCGTAGCTGGTCATTGGGCGGTCAGGCCATCCGCATGGCCTTTGCACTACAGCTTCACAAAGACCTGGAGCACGATCCCGTACGACAAGCAGGGAAGACACAGCTCAGCTTTATTGATCGCGAGATCCGGAGGAGGACTATGTGGGCATGTTTCCTGATGGATCGCTTCAACTCCTCAGGCACAGACCGGCCCACGTTTATAAGGGAGGAGACGTTGAAGGTCCCTCTGCCTATCAAGGAAAAGAACTTCCAGTACGACATGCCAGGTCCAACAGAAACCCTGAGTGGCGAGGTGCTAGAACCGCTTCTAGAAGACCAAGACGCTTCCATGGCCAGAGACAACCTGGGTGTTGCGGCCTGGATGATCAAGGCAATCGCTCTCTGGGGTAGAATTATCAACTATCTCAACCAAGGAGGCAGAGAGCTGGATCCTCATCCTATGTGGAGTCCTGAATCCGGTTACGCCAAACTCATCAAACAGACCGATGATATCCTGACCGATTTGCCTGACTCTTTATTATACACACCTGACAACCTGCACCTGCACGAAACCGACAACATGGCCAACCAGTTCTTGTTCCTCCACATCGCGATCCAGCAGAATATTTTGTTCATGAACAGGTTTGCTGTTTCATCCCCTCGGGGGCAACCGGAACAGGAAATCCCAAAGGCTTTCGTCACGAAAGCAGGGGCCAAAGCATTCGCTGCTGCGAACCGGGTATCAGAGCTGTTGAAGGATGCTGAATCACACTTTGTGACTGCTCCCTTCACGGGATACTGTGCCTTCCTATCCAGTACCGTCCACATCTTTGGGATTTTCTCAGGCAACCCGACACTAGAGGCAACATCGAAGCGCAACTTGGCTACCAATGTCAAGTTCCTATCCAAGATGAAGAAGTACTGGGGCATGTTCCACTGGATGTCAGAGAACCTACGAGAGCAGTATCGGACCTGTGCCGATGCTGCGAGGCAGGGAACACCGGCAAACGAGAACCCGACATCCATCTTCCAATACGGCGACTGGTTCGATCGTTATCCCCATGGTGTCTCGCAGTCCGACTTCCTCGACCCCGCCACTTACAAGAAGAAGGAGAAAGGCGACGATGCAGTTCTGGAACAGAAGCCCGAGCTGCACACAGTCGAGGAGTTCTTCACCACGCTCTCCCCACAAGCCGGCGGTGGTGACGGGGGCAGTGTGAACGGGTCGACAGCATCACGACAGCAGCAACAGGCCCAGCAACAACAGCTCAAGCGCAAAGCCATGGCACGCAAGATCAGCGGCCTACCACAGCAGAACCACCCCAACGGTCTCGACCCCATCCAAACCGACTTCTCCCCGCATCAACAACAACAACAACAACACCCTCCACCAACTGCCGAACAAATCCACGCCGCCCGCCTCCAACACCAGCGCACCTTCGCCGGCGCCGGCCCCTCGCCCATCCAAACCAGTGGTCCCGGAGCCGGCGGTCCACCCGGTTCCTTCAATTCCCTCTCCGTCCAAGCCCAACAGCAAGCGCACTTCTCTCCCGTCTCCCCCGTCGGCGTCTCTCACGCCCACCTCACCCATCACCATCCAGGATCTTTTTTCCCTCCCGACCCCTTTTCTCTTCCCGCCCACCTCGACGCCGCTCACGCCCATGGCATGTCCCATCTGGACCGACAACTTGTCTTCGGCGCCTACGGTGGTCCCACAGCCGCTGGCTTACACCGCGAGCCAGGGATGGTCGGCGGTGGCGGAGGTGGTGGTGGAGGATGGGGAGGACACGATGGTGAAGGCGGCAGGGATGGACCAGAGGGGTTGCATGCAGCATTCTCGAACGAACCGAGCTCGGCGTGGTTCATGCCGTTCAATATGGAGCCGCCAGAGATCGGGGCGGATCCGCTAGGCGGACTGGGAGGGACGTTGGGCGGTGGCGGGCTGGATAGTTTTTCGGGGATGTTTGGGATGGGTGGTGGAGGTGGAAGCGGGCAAGGAGGTGGGGGGATGGGTGGAATGCATCATGGACACTAAGTAGCGAAAGGGTTTCTTTTTTGGAAAAAGTGATGAGTTATGAGCGATGGTTGAAGCTGTTAAGTGGAAGGACGAGCGGGCAGAAATCGGATATTGCCCCAGGGTCGGTCGGGTCGGATGACGAATGTATACATGATACCTTTTTTTATAATTAGTTCCCCTTTCGTATTTTCAGCAGACATGGGCGTATATGGGAAAGCAAGCAAGCAAGCGAATCGGTTCCTTTTCAAACTACTACATAACAAATTGGTTTTTTTTTCCCGGGCTTTTCGGATGTGTGCTATTATATACGGAGTATGGGGTTGGGTGGGTGTCAGAAAGGACATTGATCGGATCGATTTATGGGACAGAGAATTGGATTTCACCATGGTTGGATTGGAATGGGTGTATCAGATAAATACCACAGCAGGTACACATGTCGAAGATAATCAAGACTACTACTCTTTTTGACTAAACGACGACTGAGTGAGAACGCGATGAAGCGACACGATCATAGCTTACATTGAAGACGGTAGAAGTGTTTGAGCGTAATCCTGTTGTTAGCATGTTTACCCGGCTTTCTTCTTCTTCTGGACATTGTCAAGGGTAGCCTGAATGACACCTCAAATATACTGTAAATGGAAATAATGTCAAAGGATATAAAAAGGGTATGAAAAGTGTATAAAAAGGGTTTAAGAAGGGTTTGAAAAGGGTTTGAAAAGGGTATGAAAAGAGTATGAAAAGAACATGGAAGAACATGAGAAGAAAACTAAAAGAAGTGCAAACAGGGCGATTTCTAGAGCTTCGTAAATAAAAAAAGAAGGGGTTGGAAAGAGAAACCCCCGAGAAAACTCCTGTCCCAGGTAAAGAGAGATCTGGAAAGAAACACACCCATCCGGTAGCAGATGCGATTCATTGGCAGAAATGCATTCGGTAAAAAGGGGCGGAGACAAACGAGCAGACAACTTACGAGACAACAGCACATGTCTCAACAATAGAGACGGAACCAGAGAGCTTGTAGACATATGAATGTATGTAATCCGCTATATAGCAACTAGTATAGTATACCCATCATAGCAAGTAAGTATCCTTTATGCCACCAAGATGTCCCTCCTTTCTTAGATCAACTGAATTCTCAAATTTCTCCCTTCGCTTCTCAGGCTTTCTTCACCCCGTCAACCATCTTCCTTCCTGTCTCCGCCGGTATGTGTGTGAACTCGCTGTTCTCTGCGTTGGAGATGCCTGCGTATATACGTGTAAATACCTTCCAAATATATTTATGATGACCCTCGGACAAAAGTGAAGGGTATTTCCATCTTGTCTTCATCCATTCCATTACCGACGCTTTCTTTCATCCGACATTTCCATTCCCATCTAAATGCCATTTCATGCGACCATTGTATGCACATGCGGACCTTCAACTTTAGAGATCATCCTCCAGATCTGTCTAATAAATCCCCTGTGTCCTATACTGGAAAGTATCGTAACTGTCACACATTGGAAGTTAGCATCTCATCCCACGTCTCTCTTCAAGACCCAAGAGGCTCAAGGCGTTGCAGAACTTACAGTCGCGTATAATAACTTCCCAACGACTTAGCAATCAGATCCGTCTCCACAAACTGTTCCGCCTCGTCCTTGCTCAGCTGCAGCTGGAACCTTGCCCGGAGCGAGGTCGTCACCTGCGAGATACCCGCGCCGAAGCAGGGCATCTTGGATTCTCGGCCCATCATGGCGACCAGGTCGATGATGTTGTCTGCTGAGCGACGGAGGGCTGTAATAATGCCGTTAGTTGACCTGTAGTCCATAGGAATGGTGAAAATGGAGAAGAGAACATACCCTGGAAAGCCTGTTTGCAGAGCTGCTTAAAATCCGCAAAATCCTGCGAGTCCACACCACCCAGCACATCCAGATACTCATACGTAAACTTGAACGGCGCCGCCTCGAACCCGACCGAGCCAGGCGAGTTCGACAGCATGAAGCCAAAGTCGATATGGATGATGTGTCCCTCATTATCAATAAGCACATTGCCGTTGTGCCTATCCTTCAGCTGCAGCACATACGAGATGATGCTATACGCAGCTAGCGACCGCTTGAACGCGTCCACAGCCGACCTGTACGCCTGGCTCTCGGGCAGGCCGAACGCCTTGACGAAATGGTCCTTGAGCGTCGCGATCCTCCTCCTAGGGTTCTGACCGGACTCGACCGTGGCCAACGTCAAGCTGCGCTTGATTGAGTGCAGAGACACGCCGTTGGCGATGGTCTCAATTAGACCGCACGACTCGCCCGTGACGAGAATGCGCATGAGCTTCACCCAGACGGGCACCTTGTGCTCCACCCAAATCATGTGGCACACGCGGATCAGCTGACAGGCGAATGCCTCCTGGCGGAGATCCGCACCTGTTTTTACGATGACGCTGACGAGATCCCAGTTCTTCATCCACCCATAAGGAGAGGACTTGCGAATACGCTCCTTCTTCATCTCCCAGGCTTCTCCGAAGACAGCAGCGCTGGGATCGTCGCGATCGCCCTTGCGCTGGAGACCGCCCGTCTTGATATCGTTCTCCATCCTTGCGAGACCGGCGTTGGGGTTCACATTAGACTCGACCTTTTCTAGGGGAGTCTCGATTTCTTCGTCGGTAGCGGCATTCCCGTTGATGACGTTTTCTGCACTGGCCTTGGCCATAATCATCTCGAAAGTCGGCCCTTGGCTATCGTGGACTTCGAAGCTTTCCTCCTCTAGACTTTGCATGCTGGCGATAATCTTCGCCCTGATGGCGGCCACCTCGTGACGCGGTCGCTTTCCACTTGTCGCATCCAACTGCGCCAGCATTTGCGAGGCTGTTCGCATATGAATGGCAAGCGCAGAAAAGTCAGGTTGGTCGGCTGAGTTGCTGCGCGGACTTTGGAGTGTCATCCTCCTAAAAGGTGGGGTAGAGGATCCCGAAGTGCCAGAACTGCGAGGCGTTGACGTCAGGTCAACGAACTGTGTCGAACTGGTTCCGGTAGTGTTAGCATGGCGGAGACCGCCAGGAATGGGGTTATGTTGTATCGCAAAGGGCTCGTCGTCGAACGGTTTCATTAGTGGCGAGTGCCCAAGATCTCCCGACGAAGGCTCAAAGACACTGTCAATCACCGGCTCTTGAGTCCGAGGGGCGGCTGGTATCCTAGAAGACTCGGAAAGGTCAAATATGCGCCTCCGTTGTCCTTGTTCAGCCAAAAGTTGTGTAAGAAGTCTCTGGTTGTCTTGCGAATCCGGATCAAAGGTGAGATCTTCCCTTAGAATCTCAACCATAAGCAGGAAAGGCACTTTCTCGGCGCTGTTTAGGACCGTGGCCTCGGCTGGGTTGAGGCGGACTATCCTGTGGTGTCGGCTTTGCGAAGGTGAGCCGTTGACCAGGGTAGGAGGGCAGATGACTGGGATATCGACCTCGGCTGGGAGCTCTTGTGCGATCAGAGCCAGCTCGGCGCGTAGAGCACTCAGGCGTGCGGCCTTGGGTACTATTACTAGTCGATTCGAGATATCCTCCAACGCAGTCAGGAATGCCGTCTGGCAATGGAAATAGTTCTGTTTTAGTAGTCGCATCTTTTGTGTGCGGCTCATGTCCGCTTGGTTCAGCAGCGTCTTGACATGGTGGGAGTGCCTCCTGTTCACCCCAGCTGTTGGCCGCAGCCCCGCGGCCGGAGTGGTCGGCCTGTGAACAAGACCTGGGGGCTTCGCATCTGACGTTGGTAGAGGCAACGAAGATGAACTAAGGCGTGCCTCGAGGAGGTTGGAATCGAACGGAGCAGGTCGCTTAGACTCGATCGGCGTTCTGATGGAAGACCCTGAAGATGTCGGCCGGGAGTCGGGCTGAGGTTCCCTGATCTTCGGCTTGGGGCGATGCGCCACCGGGCTGTTGGTCTGGAGCTGGTTGTCTGATGAGCTCGTGAGGCGGGCCTCCTTTGCCCGTCTCGATTTTGTTGTACCAGCAGTGATGGTATGCGCGCGAGCCGGTGGGGCGGCGTTAAGGGGAGTAGCGTCGGACACATGTTCGATGACTTGCGGGCGAGGCTTTCTGGCTTGCGCGACGGCCAATGGGCCAGCCCAGTGAGGGAGAAACGGGGCGGCGATACTGGCGAGAACGAAACTCCCTAGGACGGTCACCGGCAGTGGGTTTTCCGTGATTTTCTCGTTCCTTGCGCTGTCGGAGACGCCAAAGACAATATGCTGGACCTTGTTGTACACTCGTTGACATGTTTTGAAGGCATTGGCCTGTGGATTAGAGGATAGGTCGTGTAGGTATGTTTGGAAGAGCCAGAATGTCTGCGGGCGGGCGAGATATCAGCAAGGTGGTCGTGTAAAGCGTCAGATCGAGTATGGGGTTGCGCACCAACAAGGCTGCTGTGACCGACTCCTCGCACAGATCGAGGAGGAACTCCTCCAGGGCCATGGACTCATTGTCGATGCTGATGACAAGGTGGCATAGCTGGGGGAGGAAGAACTCGATGTCCTCGTAGGGGAACTGGCGCAGCTTGCTGCACAGCACATAGTGAATTCCTATGTGGTCGGCATATCGTCTGACGATGCGGTCTCAACGTTAGCAAATGCCCGTGTATACTTGTACGCGCCGCGCCGAGTGAGGAGTAGTCGGGGGACGGGAGGAGGGGCAAGGTAGCGGATCTTGGCATGACTGACGAGAGATAGGAGACGGAGAGAAAGGGGTCTTGGTTGAAGACGTCGCTCTCGAGGAACCGCTTTAACAAGTCCCAAGACATTGGTATTATGGCGCAACGAAGGTCGACCGCGGATCGACTCGGATATTATATGGGAGGAAAGAGAGCCGTCGAGTCTGGGAGGAGGCTGAAATGTTGGTTCGTAGGTGGTGGGAGAATCGAATCGAGCAGCAGCTAGATCGGGGAGCTACTTCTTGGTTGGAACTGGAGCTGGTGGTACTCGTATTGTTACTGGTATTATGGAGAATTATTGTCGGATACACTCTGAAGAGGAGGGCAAGGCATGCATGCGCAGCGATGCCTCATCGGACTTGAACATGAACGGAGTCGACGGCGTAGGGCTGGAGCATGGCTGTACGGGACCGGGGCGCACTTGGTGTTGTTACTCGTTGCTGTTATTGTTGTTGTTGTTGGAGTGAAGATGTCAAGTTGGTAATGCTGTGGAATCATGGGATTGCCGGGATTCCATCCCAAGAAGGACACCAAAACCACTTCTCGCTAGCCTCTGTAGTGTAGTGTTACTCTGATATGTGCAGTGCTTGGCCGTCACTGCTGGGCTGTCAGGGGCCGCAGTCCACTGAACTTGGATAAACACGTCCATGGAACGGGGTCCGCTAGGCCCGATGGAGCCCCGCGTCCCGTTCCCCACCTGCCGACTGTCCGCCTCGGATGCAGTCTCCGTCCCAGCGCCATTATCGGTGCCTGCCTTTCCCCTGCTACAGGCACTTGGCGTCTGCCAACGACCGCTGAAACAGTGCTTGCCATCGGCTCTGTTTTGTCACGGCCCGGGCTGTTGGGATCTCATCAACAAGACTCGAAGTTTGACTTTGACACTCTGAAGACAAATCTCGTATTGGGAAGCCTCACTTGCCAAGTCAACACGAAGATCTCTGGTAACCCACGGCAGGCATGTTGATCAGTTCCACCCGCCAAAGCGGATCGATGCCAGTGCGCTTGTGCCATCATCTGAAAAGGGGCTCTTGGTCAACAAAAAAAAGGGGTAAAAGGACAAAGACTCCATCCAAAGTAAACAAATCCCCCTTTTCATCTTGTTCCTGAAACAAAGACGCGAATCATTGATCTACGTGGTATTTCTCTCTCTATCAACAATCAAAACACCAAGCACAATGGTAGTTACGCCCCTATCACCTCCACACAACAGTTGTCCCTCCTCCTCCTCCTCCTCTTCCCCCTCCTCGTCCCCCATTCCGCCTCCTCCTCGCACTACCCCTTCCTCCCCTCGGCCTGACCCTCTTATACTTGACCCTCTCACTCCCATCCGGCAACACCACCACCTCATGCTGAATCGAAAACCCAAACGCCGGCAAAACCTTGGCCCAGATAACCCAGTACAACACGCCAATAACCAACATGCCCGTCCCCAGCGCCGGCACCACCGAAAAGTGAACCTTGTTCAGCAGCTTATTCGGAATGAAGGGTGCCGCACAGGTATACAGCAGTCCGACGACCCAGAAAACCGTCAAGACGGGATAACTATGAAACCGCTGATTCTCCGGCGTGTTCCAGTTCTCGCCCGGCGTAAAGTTGAGATACAGCAGGCCTACCCCAAGGAAGACCTTGATCCAGTTCCCCGAGTAGGTAAAGATGTTGGACAGGAACTGGTACACGTCCACGGTGCTGGACCCGAGGATCAGCGCCACGGTGAAGATCCAGTGCAACAAAATGGCGCCCGTGGGCGATTTCTGCTCGGGCCAGTCGCTCGCCCAGAAGCGCGAGAAGGGGAGGGTTCCTTCCTTGGCGAGCTCCTGCTTCACGCGCGGCATGGCGAAGGATTGCGCAAAGACGTTGCCGAGCGCGGAGAGCGAGAGGAAGAGAGGCATCACGCGGTCGGTGAAGGCTGAAGGACCCCAGACGCGGGTGAAGAAGATGGCGGTGGGCACGACGCCGGATTTGGAGAGTTCGTCTTTGGTCATGGCGGCGAACTTGTGTCGTTGTTAAATCAGATATGACGGCCAGAAGTGAGGATATGGATGGGAAATACTCACATAAGCAATGTTGGCAAGGACATAAAGGACGGTGACAGTCCCGATGGCAATCGGCGCCGCGCGTCTCAACGTCCTCGGCGCATCTCGTACCTCACTCAACACCTAGAAACGCGTTGTTAGCATCACTATAACCATAACCATCCCTCTCACCACTCCCAACACTTCCCCATTTCACCTTCCAAGGCATAACTCACCATAATTAGCATTCTCCACCCCCCATAACTATACAACACCTGCAAAAGCGCCAACGCATACCCGGCCGCGCTGCCCGCGACATCCTTCCCCATCCCATCCGTCCCATCATCATCTCCATTCCCCGTGGCATCCCCCGGCCCATCAAAACTGCTAAAATTCCCCGGACTTTCCCCCTCCATCCGTCCCGCCAACGCCGCAAACCCTGTACAAACCACCAAACTCAACAACACCAACTTGAACACCCCCAACCCATTAGACAACCAAATCCCCAGCCTAGGCAAGAACGCATGGATGAGACAAACGACGGTGATAGCCGCCACGGCAATGCCGCGGTTGAGCCAGGTGCCGTCGTACTTGGTTGCTGCTTCTTGCGCTTGCTGGCCAGCTCCGGTAGAGGTGGTGGAAGAGCCGAGCACGCACCGCAAGAGGTAAGAACTAAACGAAATGGAGCCCGCGGTGGAGATGGCGAACAGGATGAATTGCACGGCGAAGATGCAGGTTGCGAGATACTTGGGTTTGCGGTAGACGCGCTCGAGGTAGACTTTTTCGCCGCCAGAGCGGGGGATGGCGGTGCCGAATTCTAGGTAGACTGCTAGGCCGCTTTTTTTTTTTCACGTGAAGAGTTAGGGGGGTTGTTTTGAAGTGAAAGTGAAGTGGAAGAAGAGGGAAGGTTAAGGGAAGGGGTAAGGTGAAGGGGTAAGGGTAAGGTAAGGTGAGGTAAGTAAGTGAAGATGGAAGAAGGGTGAAACTCACCAAAAGGTCATTACACCACCTAATACCCAGAAGAGAAGCGTGGCGCCGACGCTATTGGTGTTGTGGATGATGGAGGAGGGCGTTGAGAAGATGCCGGCGCCGATGACCCGGTTAATGAGGAGGAAGGCTGTGGACCATGTTCCTAGCTTTCGGTCTGTATAAGGAGTGAGTTAGCGAGAGGTGAAGAGAGAGGTGAGGAGAGGTGAAGAGAGATTGCAGAGCGACTAAAGAGAGACGGGATCAAAACTGAAGGAACGGACAAAACCTCAAAAGACCCGAACTAACCTTCAGGAAACACATAATCCCTAAAATCCTCCTCCTCCTCTCCCTCCTCGCCAACCCGCGACGGACCCCTCCCATTCGCTCCATACTCCGGCATATAAATCGCATCCTCGCCCACTTCCGGATCCTTTGAGTGGATCGGTTGTTCGAATATCGTTGGTTCATTCATCTTGCCCTTTTTGCTTTAGATAATTCCTCCGTCTTAGTTTTGGTTGTGACTGAGAAGGTCTTCAAAATGGGTAAGTTGATTAGTGACCGAAGGTCGAAAAAGAAAACACGGCTCAAATCATTCAGGTCTGGTCTCAGCCCACGGAACTCGTGAACGGGTTATGACTGGATGAGTGGTGGCCGCGGGGTGAGGCGTAACTTGACAAGTTGAGGTCGACGTGCGTTGAAAAGGTTGGGTCTCACAACCGTAGGCCGCCTTAACACCCGTTTATTGTGTAGCCCCCGGTCAACGAATCGAGTAAATGGAATCTAGTTCTTGGTGGTTGGTCAATGAAGTTGCTCGGTCGCAGAATGAGAAGGATGGTAACACAAGTGGCAGCCATGCAGCGGTAACAGACAGATCTCACTAGAGAATGAAGGATAGCTAGGTAAGTGAACTCTTCTCACCTTTCAATTCAGTTCCTGATCTCTTCAAGTCGCACCCACTGAGACCACTGAAACTACTGAGATCACTGGATAACTGCAGCTCAGAGCCTCATTGACGTTACCTACGCCGTCATCACACAGCAGTAGGAGCAGAAGCAGTGTTGTTCATTGGCGATTGATTAGCGAGCGAGCGAGGCAGACACGCAGAGAGACACAACGTGGGATCAAATCAGATCAGATCCGGTTCGGTTCGGTTCGTTTGCAAGAATGAGCTGGAAGCATGGAAGATGTAAAGGAATAAAGGCCCCGTCTTCTTGCCTCGTGGCTGGATGTAGGAACGCGTTCCTACGAGGAGAAGAGGAGAGCTGGATAGGCGACGGACGTCCAATTATCGCCGATAACTCACAGCCAGCTTTCCCGCCCACCCCGTTGCCCTGCCACTCTCGCTATCACAGCAAACGCCAAGTCCATCCAATGCCCCAAAAAGACGAAAGAGGCTTGCAGGATGCTGGAAGGGGCCCTGCTCGTCAATGTCAGCTCCTGTCTGTTTGGCCCCAGCCTACAGTGAGTCCTGTGATAGGTAGCCTGGTATCGTCGGGCGGTGGTAGCCAAGACTCTTCATTACAGGCCTTGACAATCTGGTGTTGTTCAGCGTCTTTCTCTTTTCCCGCTGTGATCGGATTGGCAGCAACACAACAATATCAGGCAGTAGGGGACACCATGGACACCAGCTCCGAGTTTTGTACTTCATGCCTTCCACTTGCGAGTTATTGAGTCCGGTTCACCTCACCACTCAATCCTCTCGTTGTCTACATTAACCACCTCTGCTCACGAATAAGCTTTGCAGTCGTTATTATCCGCCTCTTCCATCAAGTTAGGTATGCTTTGCTCGAACTGAAGGGTTTTGATGATTCAGGGCACACGTGGGCTGTGAGATGAACTTGAATCAGAAGCTTCGCCAACCCAAAGCTTCGCCCCAGAAAACCTCAGAAAACCCCATCTTTCCCACAGGACCACAGTGAGTGATACATCACCTTTCCCCTTTAAGCCTAGGGCCTTCATCTTGGCGAGGTGAGGAACGCAGGTCATGGGTAGCTTAATTTTCTGCTTGCTGCTGCTGCTGCTGCTGCTGCACGATTCCAATAATCACTCTCTTCCCCAACGTCCTAATCGGGTAACCTTCGCTCGCTCGCTAAGCTCAATCGTTCTTATTCGCTCAGTTGTTTTCGCCCAGCTGTTTTGGTTACGTAGCTGGCTTCCATCTGTCTCTACACTACGGCAGCGAAGTCCTTCACATCACAGTTCTCGCCTAGGTAAGCGTGGTAAGGTACTCGGTGACGATAAGTGATCTTGGTGGTGATAAGTGGTTGATAATGGTGTTCACAGAATTATGTTTTGGGTAAGGTAGTAAATACACAAACTCATATCCTCCGTATCTTCCATGTCCTTCCTGGTATCTCGTAACACAAAGTAGATAGAAAAACCCATAGCCCGATCCGATCCAATCCGATCCTGATTCCTCCAGTCCTGACTCCAAGCTAACCAAGGAGATCTATACAAGAATTATTATATACCAGCTCTGTCCTGCCCTGTCCTGTTCTTCCAATATGGGTATGCAAAAATCCAGAGTCATATGCCAGTGGTAGGTATCACATCACATCCGAATCTCCATAGCCGTCTTCCCATACAACCCGCCCACCGCCCTCAACTCCTCCTGAATAACTTTTAACTTCTCTCTCTGCTGTCGGCGTTCGGCAATGACTTCTCCCCATCTTCTGATGAAGCTGTCTTGGCCTTGAGCCATTAACGTAATAATTAGCATTCGAGCGAAAGAATGGAAGTGACTGTGGGGAAGAGGAGACTTACTTGGCGGATTCTCAAACTCAATCTCAAACATCTTGTAAAGATCATAACCGTATTCGGCATCTGGGTTTGGCGGTTGGCCATCGATGTTGAACCCGGCCATTTCCGAATCGCGTCTTTGTTCGATGTGTGCTGTTCACACATAAGACCCATCAGTTAGCCATCCATCTTCTCCGTAACAACCACGTGTATATAAGCTTGAGATAATACGAAAAAAAGAAAAGAAAAAAAGACAAACCTTTAATCCCCTTCCACCGGCTCCCCTCCCTGCTAAACACCCCCGCCCGTCTCGGCCTCAACTTCACCTTCGTCTGCCCCTCACTCTTCACCTCAATATCATCCGTAATAAAAGTCTGCACATACTCCCCCAATCTCCCCAAGTAAACAACCAACTTGCTCGAACTAGCCACCTGTCTATCTCGAAGCGGTCCGGACAACGCCGTCCCAGCCGTCACGAAACTCGCCTTGTCACTTTGTATCCCTCTTCTTCTGTTGGGGGAATCTGGATCCTCGTGCCAGATTTGCAAGCGAACGCTCGAGTAAGTGTCGCTCGAACCTCCATTGACGGCTTTGGAGAGCCGGATGAGTTTCACATTGCTGATGTCCAGAAGAACCTTTTCGCCGGTGAGCTGGGCTTGGAAGTGGCAGAGGTCGGCGAGGCGGGGGAATTGGTAGATGCCGTTTGGGTGGCCGCCGTTTCCGTTGTTGCCTGGACCTCCGCCGGGGATGGGCGAGGAGGACATGTAGCCTGGGTTGGACTTTTCGGTTTCTTTGTCATGAAGACAGATGACGTTGAGGAAGCGCGGGTCGTAGGCGTAGACGGGGATTAGTTGGGCGTTTCGGGCTTTGACTGTTGTTTTGGGAAGTTAGCTGTTCCGTAACTAGATAGTTTTGTGTGTAGAATAGAACGTCAGACAGGCTTGCTTACTCCAAAAAGGTCTCGGAATATGTACCGACTCTGCAATGAAACCTCAGATCTTTCGTAGTCGTATTTCGGAAAATCTTGAGTTCTCCATCTTCAAACGCCGAGGAAGCAAGTGTTGGTGCGCTCTTAACTGGCCTTTCGAACGGTTTTCGTTAGCAAGCTGCAATTCCCCCAAGATTAAACACAAACTCACCCATCAAACAAAACATCCTCCCCCGGTAACACATGATCTCGGCCCGTACTCCTACTATCGCTCGAAAACGAAGAAGCATGTCGTTCCGGAACCACCACAACCGCAGTTCTGGTATCAATCCGATTTGTTGAAGTCCCGATACTAACCACATTAGTCTGAGAAGCTCCAGCACCAACACCAACAAACACCCCGCTCCCACTCCCGCTACCGCCTCTTCCACGGCCAGGTCCAGGATAAGAGGAAGGAGACTGCTGTTCGTGAAGGACTACCGAGTGAGGCGAGCTTGAATAGACATATGCGCCGTCGGAACTGACGAACTCTTTCTCGTATGAATCAGGTGAAAAGACGGGCGACGTCGGCGAAAAATGTCCGCTTGGAGACGTTGAATACTGTGGGTAAGAGGATTCCATAAATGACTCGAGAACTGGTTGACGCGTAGGCGGTTGTTGTCGACGAGGTCCTTGAGAAGTAGCAAAGCTCGCGCCTGTCACGAACCCGCCGTAGTTGATACCGTCGACGTCATGACGATGGCGATGATGATGACCTCCGTTACCATTATAAGTAGCTTGAGCAGCTGCTGTTGGCGCAGTGCTCAAGCCGGCCGTTAGAGTTGATGCAGGGATACGCATAGATTGTGTGGACTGATTATAGTCGTGGTGAGATTCCATCCAATGTTGTTGTTGTTGCTGGTAAGAAGCGGTTCGGGGAGAGACAGGTCTGTTGTAACTGCTATCAACGACAGGACTTTCGGGAGTCCATGGATCCGTGTCACGTTCCGTGAGAACCTCGGCAAGTCCTACGCCCCCGTCAGACTCTCCAAAGTATGGTGCCGCACCGTTGAAGTAGTGGTGGTTGATGTTGAGGTGGGACATCATGTTGGTGACGTCCTGAGGAGGAGGAGCAGCAGCAGTAGCGGAATTAGGTCCGGCTACATGTGCCTGATCCAAGGCAGCAGGGGAAACGTTGGTGGTGGTATAGCGCCCGCTGTGCGCTGTCCGGAAACTCGAAGCCTGTGATCGCGAACTCGCGTTCGACATCTGTCGTCCCCTGAGAGAGGCATTGTTGCGGTCGTGTAACTCGTGCGGCGACTGTGGGTTTGTGACCGGCTGGTGTATGCTACTCGGAGCAGTTGAGCTGGGCGGAGAAGCGGCTGGCGTATCCGACTCGGGTATGCTTTGGAAGAGGTAGCGTCGACCATCTGAGGCGATGAAGATGCCCTTGTTGGCAAACTGAACTGTGGAGTCGACCGTGGCGAGATCGAAGTTGTCAAACAAGGACGAGAAGGGGACAGGTGCCTCATCGGGAAGAGGCGGAAGGCTGGCAGGTGGTGGACGGCCTTGGGCGGACATCCTAAACCTTAGAACAGGTGCCGCTCGGGTCGATCAAACTCAACCGGCCACCATAACGATGTGTTATCGAGGAGGAGTTAAATGGCCAATGGGCAATCTCTCGAGGCACATGTTAGGTACATGATGTGTCCGATATGTCCTGAGAAGAAGTCGCTCGCCGGGTTAGTGGTAACAGTGACAGATGTAAAGGTAAGGTTTGATGGGTAGGACAGAGATAAGAAGGGGGAAACTAAGCTGCCTGAACCAGGGGCGTATGGAACGCGGGGTGAGCGGTTGAGGTTAGTGTAAAGCTTAGTGTAGATTGTCGTGACCTATAAGGCCTATTGGACCGCCCCGTCAGTGACCCCGGTGCCGTGTGACATTCAGAAGCAATCAATCAATCCACCAGGACGTCGCCCCGTCGTCGTATGCCCCTGTTCCTACCTGTCGTTGAAGCTTGTTCTTTCCCTGACTTTGTGATCCTTGTTTATTGAGCAGCTAAAATACTTGGGCGGATGATTGATTTTAGAGTGTCCCGAGTTGACTCTGCCAGCTGTCTATGGTGTAAATGAACGAGTTGACAGTTATGATGGCGGGATAAGTGAAAATAGGGTTGCCCGACAATACGGTCTGTCTGACTGGACTGAGTGAGGTACGTACAGTATTCTGGGTATACTTAGGCATGCACATGTTTGCTGGAGGAGTCGTACTGGAGGTGATCAACGGGCAGAAAATAAGATTGTTCTAGGCTCCCCTGGGCTCTCTCGAGACACTCGTGGCACGGCGACGTTATCTGAGTTAACCTTAGCTACGCCAGGTTTCATATTCCTCATGTTTCCACTTCATGCTGATGATCTTTTCAGTCTATCGTGAGAAAAAGTTTGTCAATGTCAAAACATTCTTCAAGTTTGAAGGAAAATAATACCTGTTTTGCGCAATTATTTCAGCCAAGACACTCGACTTTGCAATTCTGTTGGCTTCTTCAATATGACCTGCGCCGCGTGACTGTGACTTCGAGCTGTAATGTCAGCTGAAAAAGCTGCCGTGTCACAGTGACTTGTGACGTACCGGGGGCGAATATTCGAACTAGGGGAACGTCATGAGTTAACGGAGTGAAACTGTTTCGGCGGAGACAAGACTTGCACGAAGCCTTGCAAATAAACTTTGATTTTCAACAACTTCCCCGAAGAAAAAATAAGAGCAAACTCAACGCATGTTGGTCGTAAAGCAGAGTATCCTTCCCTGCCTAACACCAGCAACACCATGCTGGCTAACCCAACCCAAACAAACCAGTCCCCAAGTTCACCCAAACACCGAGCCTTCGGCTGACCGACCAAACCGAACACCATGCCATGCCAGCCTGATAACGGGACCTCTGCCCAAAGTCTATGACTCGATCTCTACAGGAATTGACATATCCCAACCACTTGTTTCCATGTTGAGAACGCCGGACAATGTATGCTCATTTGTGACCCAGTTTGCCGAAACGCCATCGTTCCATTCGTTTAATCGTGTTTTGGCCTAAGCTCAAGCGTTTTCCTCCGCTCTTCTTCAACTCCCGGCTTCCTAAGCGGTAGACTTCTTCCTTCCCCTCCCTCCTCCTCGCCCGGCTCCTCCTCTGGTTTTCTTTTCTGGCTGGACTTCTTCCTCACTCTCGCTCTCTGCCTTTGCTCGACCTCTGCTCGTAGAGGCTGCTGGCTTCTCCTTGTCATCGTTCTCTATCTTGCTGGTGATTTCTCGTAGGAAATCCCACTGGTCGTCTGACTCCACCACCTGTTTGAGCATCTGTGCCGATACGCGTTTCGAGTTACGCTCACGCGCTATGTCGGCGCTTTTTGTCACCAGTTGTACCATAAACAGCTCGAGTGCCTTGCCCACTGCGATCGGAGTCTGTTGCGCGACCTTGCCAACCTCTTCATCCGCCTGCATGATGCGCTTGATGCGCGCCGTTGGGAACTTGGTCTTTACGGGCGAGGGCTGGATCGGGGAGGGTTGGGGTTGCTGCGCAGCTTGCGCGACGGCTCGCTTGGGTGGCATCGTATTGGTGCTCTGCGCCGCTACGGATGATGGCGCAGCTTGAGCTTGGATATGGGTCTGTTCGGGGGCCGGTGGCGGACTGGGATTAGAGGTTTGCGAGGGGAGAGGCTGGATGGGCCTTTGTGTCTGTGATCGCGTCACACGTTGTTGCCGATGCTCTTGCGGTTGGGTATGTGAGAACAGCTGCGGATAGGCCTGTTGCTGTAGCTGCTGTAGCTGCTGTTGCGGTTGTTGCGGTTGTTGCGGTTGTTGCGGTTGTTGCTGGCTGTAAGAATACTGGTGTTGATTCTGCAATTGCTGCAGGTCACGCTGCGAACCTTGCTGTTGCGCGTTCCAAATCCCTGTCGCGTGGTTGTTTGTGAAGGGGGTGCGAGCCGGGCGCTCGGGTTGCTGCGGCTGCGAATAGTGGTTCGTTGAGAAGCTGTTATCGGGCTGAGAGCGTGGTGGTAGATACTGCGACGGGTTCTGCCAATATTGTAAACCGTGATGATCTTGATACGTGTTCGCAGAAGGGCCAGAGGGTAGTGTCGCGGTGGTGGTGGTGGTGGTGGTGGTGGCGGGCAGAGGTTGATGTTGTGGTTGCGAGTGCGAGTGCGCTTGTAAGTGGTGGTGGTGTTGGTGTTGCGGAGAAAAAGTGTTGCTGTGATAACGGTTTGGGTCTGGGTACTTGAAGGACTTCGGAATGGGGCTGCAGGTGCTGGTGGGTGGGGCCGGCGGAGCTATATAAGGATGAGAGGTCGGGCGACCTGGGTGCATAGCTCGAGGCGCCTATGCCTGACATGATTTGGGTGATTGCGCTTGAATGAAAAAGACCTTGAAAGCCTGGCTGCTGTGAATGGAAGGGAAAGTAAGCTTGGATAGGAAATGAATCAGACCCGACTGCTTTCGTCCCGCCGTCCCTTCGCCGCGACTTATATGGGCGCTTTGGTTGGCTCGCACCTTCCCCTTCTTGTCTTGCTTTTGTTTACGTACCCCGAGCGCCTTCCTCCCTTTGTCGCAAGTACCTTGGAAGTACTGGTGGGGCAGGGGAACCTCTTGGGTGTGGGTGTGGATGCCTTTACTCGATCCGAAGAGGGAGCACAACCAGTTAATGGCAGCTGATAATGCTAAGAAAGCTTGTTTGAATCTATAAGGCAGTAACCGACAGTTAATCTCTTGCATTATGACTCTCGTGGTCTTTGGATGGACAAAGACACTGGCGAAACCTCCACTTTGAGGTTTGGATGGAAGGGAAAGAACCGTGAAGGGGCAGTGTTTGGCTGACTGAGATCATGCGGGGCTGTATGCAGCTTTGGAAAGGAAGGTACCATTTTTGGGGAGCTGCCCGTCTTTTCAGCTGTGATTTTGCAGGCACCACTCTCCAGTTTTCCAGGTGGAATTCCATTAGGTGAATGCGCTACAATGTTGTAAAGAATTTGGATGAAAATAAGGTAGGTGGGTGGTGGATGACTGAAAGCGTGTTCATGAAAGTGAAGACCAGAACTGGCCTCACAGCAGTATGTATATACCAGACGAACTAGAAAAGGTGCATCGTGGTATAACCTCGTACAAGAACAATATGACGGGCATGCCAGGAAAGACTGACAACTTGGCTTCTTCTGGCAAACGGTGGCAAGGCTGGGTAGGTAGATAGTCTTTGCTGTCGGTTGTGTTCATAACCACGAGCGAGGATAGGCACAAGTGTCTCGGCGTGTCCCGAAGGTGCATTTTGCCCTATTCCGACTATCGCCACGAGTCGATGCATTGTAATGATGCACAACCGCCGACGATTTGCAGGTGTAGGAAAGTGAACGCATGGTTCGACGCCGTGACGGTGCCAAAATCCAGGAGAAGCCACACATCCACATGGGCATTCGACCCAAAGGGGCAACTTGGCCAAGGAGCTTATATCAGGCTACAACAAGCTGGCGTCGAGCCTTTGGTTGTTCAAGTTGCCATGTCTCTCGTAACATGCCCATCCTGATTGTCTTGTTGGAGGTGAAGGTAATGATCCATTGCGCTTCAGCCCTGCCCGGTCATTAAGGTGAAGAGCCACCCAAGAGCTCTCTCGGTCTTTTCAGGCACCAGTCCGGTACATCGAACTGCAGCAGGTACCTCTTGGTAGACTTTGGGGGAACGGATGGGGGCACAAGGAGAATGAAGCGGGGTAGAAGTTGACTCGTAGTGTGTAGGTGTGGTGTAGGTATAGGTGATGACGACAATAACACTGGTGAAGGACAGAAAATGGGGATGCTGACCGTAAGTATGAAACGAGAATCGAAGAGAGAGTTGTCGGCGGGGATGCCTGAGCAACACAGGTCGGTTATTCAAGGCTCGAAGACGAAATGTCAGCCTCAGGGTTGAAAGTCGGCAGCTTTTGAATCAAAGTGAGTGAAGGGTTCGAGGTGCAGTGCTGTGCTGTCAGCTGAAAACAACTTCGTTGACGATGACGCGGGCATCTCTACGGCGGGAGAGACCAGCCCGTTTATATGCACGCCATGGCCCACTCATTGATCCGCATTGGTTGATTACAGGGGGGCTCCGAGTGCCAACTTTATCTTCTGTCTGATTGGTTCAGATCAGATGTCCTGTGGGGTCGCACCGCCTCAAGCGCCTCTCCAACTTCTTTCTGAAGCACAAACACGCAAGTGCGGCGCCGATCTTTGATTTCCAAGTTCAGCAAAGTCTCGGTCACTCTTTGGACAATCATCCGTGCGTTTCAGGTCCGTTGCTGTTGCATCACTCTTTTCGTTTCGCCGATCGCCGCCCTCGACCCTTGACAACGTCGTCGAAGCCATCAACATCAACATCAACTTCAACATCTTCTATCTATTCACCTACAAGATCCTGTCGGTCAATGGTTATGGAGGCTGGCCCCCGGTCACATCTCATTTCGTCCGCTTGGGATGCGATGAATTGACCATGGACGCTGCCTTCCGCTACGACGAACGGATCTGTAACTTCGCTTCGGCATCAACCCACTCACAGCGGACATCGTATCCAACTTCGCTCTGCTTCCAGACCTTCTGGAAGTCTCCCAAATGTAAGATCCCAAGCAGCAGTGCAATTTCGCCATGGCTGTACCGGCGCAACATATGGATTTGAACACAGACCTCGCATTTGCATGATGATACTCAAGAGCACCTTGATTTCCCAGAGACGCAGAACACGGCCTTGAAGAAACCGAGTCCCATCAGGGCTAAGGGGTCATCTTCGCCGCATGTCTATGACGGCACACAAAAACTTGATCTAATCTGACAAAAAAAAATCAAAAATCTATTACTCCTTCACTTTTGTTTTCGCCAGCATCCAAACCACCAGAGAGCCGTTGTCTAATCTCTTTCGTTAGGTCATTCACCCCCTTCAACCTCTTTTCGCGGCTAGTTGAGAGGAACAGCGATGCCACCGGCCACGCATGGATGCCTCCTGGCGCGACCTCGCTTCTAACCCACACGCCTGCTTTGTTGAGTCTCGCGGTCAGGTCGTGAACCTCAGGTGCGAATACCTCCTCTTCCCCGTATGCAATGAAGATGCCCTTCGACGGACTTGCCCGCTTCCACCACGCCGCGTCATGGCAGCATCCTGGCGACACCAGCGGGTCGCTCCACGAGATCTTGTTGCCCGAGAACTGCTTTCCGTACGTGCTCAGCTGCTCAGCGTCTAGGTAGTCGCTTGTCGTGTTGGTGTGCCGCGGGGACACAAGAGTCGTCCATGGTGAGATTAAGACGGCCAGACCTGGCATCGGCAGGCCAACCCCATATCTCTTTGCTTTGGGATCCTTGCAACTGAGATGGAGCAAGAGACTCAACATCAGTGTTGCGCCCGCCGAGTCACCACTGACGCACACGATAGCCGGGTCGCGTGCTACCTTGAGAACATATCTGTATCCTTCAATCGCCTCATGGATTTGAGTAGGGTATGAAGCATCAGGAACGAGTGTATAGTCGAGGGCGAATATGGCGGGGTTCTTGAACCCGGAGGAAGACAGGACCGATAACCAGGTAAGAAGAAACTCGAGGTAAAAGTAGGCCGAGCCCATCGAGAAACCGCCGCCTATCCAGAAGTCAGCCAAGAGGTCATCATAGACCAGACTACTTATTGTGCGACTTACCATGGGCATAATACAGAACAACATCCGGATCTGCCAGCGGATCCTTCATGACCCAGATGCCTCTGAAATTCGCCTATTTAATGCTCCCTTGTTAGCCCACCCAAATCCACGCACGACCTCAAACAAAACAGGATCGCACTTACCGTGACATGTTCCCTCCAATGCACCGGACTCCTCAAATACCCATGCCTCAGCATGCGGAACCTCAGAAACGGCAGCGCCACTTGCTTGGAGAAGAACACCCGTCCGATATTCGGCGGGATGTTCGCAAAGGCGTACCGCACACATCTGATGACAAAGTCCTCAAACGGCGAGGCGGTCCGAACAAACGGTGACTTTTGGTGTATGACATGAGCCTATCTTTCGTCGATGAATTGGGTGGGGAGTTTGAATACTGTTTTCCATTCGTTGTTAACAACTCGACATATCACTGTTGTTATATGTAAAGGTGAAGACGAAGACGTACAAACAAACGGCAACGCCTCCAACACGCACTTGATCGTAGCAATCAAACCAACGTTCCAAATAAGCTGTGGAGCAAGAAAGATGCAAAAGACGATACAGTCGAGATAGGAGACTGGTCCGAGAATCATGCCGCCGTCGCGGGTCCGGTGCCCGGGCATGATGTTGTGGATGAGACGACCGATCAGGTTACGGATCATTCCTCTACAATCGGTGAACTAGATAGAAGTGAACGCTGTTAGTGGGTAATCTATCCATCCATCCCTTGTGAGAGCAGACTGGTCGTCCAAATGGATGCTTACCGACATATCATCAAAAAGAAAAAGAAACTAGAGGTGTCTTCTATCACATTGCTGGTTTGAAGGGATCAAATCTGAAATGTGAAGAAGTTGGTTCAGTTGGTGGCGGGCAAGATTAAGATGGAAATGAGGTGACGTCGAAAGGTGCTCAGCCCAGTTTAAGTGTCAAGTCAAGCCAAACAGTCTCGCTCTTGCCCCAAAGTGCTTGGCTGGCTGACAACTGTTAAGGTTAGCTCTTACAGTCAGATGATTTCTGATAGTAAACTGCAGCTTCCTGTACGTAGCGACGTGGTTGGTACTAACAGTTTGTATCAACCCTGGTAGAGATAGCGATCACGGTGTTAGAGTCGCTCCTTACAGTAATCAGCACAAGTCTGTTCGGAAGGGGGGAAACCATCTCCAACTTCAGCTCTTTACAACTGAATAATGTTTTTGACTTCTTGGTCAGCGTAAGGTATTTCTTTCCCCATTTGGATCAACAATCTTCAGACGACGGCAATTGGTGACTTCCACTTACGAGGGTTCGTAGCGCTGGTTCAGGGGTAATGTAAACAAACTGAACGCTACCATAGATCATCGGTTATCTGAGACATCACCACATCTTGATGATGGTGATCTCTTGTCTAAACCTCTTTATTTTAGAATCATATCAAGATATTTTTCCCCCCAACCGCTCGCATAGAACCCGTCAGTCCCGTTAATAAAACATCCCACCCTTCTACTTATTCCTAGCAACCTCCAACACCGTCTCCTCCATCTCCCCAAACGCCCCCAACACATTCCCATACCCCTCAAACACCCCCCTCTTATACCCCACATCCACCTTCTGAATTGCCCCTTCCTCCTTCCACCGCTTACCAATCAGCTCATCAAACGTCTCCGTCTCATCCCGCCTCTCAAACGCCCAAACAGCCTTATACGCGCCGCCCAATGCACAGGCATTACCGCCCACATCAAGCTTATAAACACCATCCACGCCGCCCAACACATCGCCCATTATCTGCGCAATGGCCGGGTTGAGAGAGCCGCCGCCTACGAGGTAGATACGTCTTGGCTGGGCGGGGAGAGGCGATAATGATGGTGATGTGCCGGAGGGAGAAGAGGGAGGAGTGGAAACCAACTTCTGCGAGCGCAGGCGCATGGAAAGCGCTTGCGACTCGACGATGATGCGCGCGTCCTTTTCCACGGGCCAGGGGTGGATGACTTGTGTGAGACCGGAGCCGTCGGCGGCGGAGCACTCGTAGCGCCAGGTGCCGGCTGAGATGTTGGGGACGATTTCGGGGAGGTAGAAGTAGAGGCCTAGCTTGGCTTTGGCTTTGGCATCGGTGGACTGGGAGGAGGAGGAGGAGATGTCGAGGGGAGGGGTGGAGAGAGCTTGGGTGTTGAAGATTGACCAGGGGTCTGTCGAGGAGCTGTTGGGAGGGGCAGCAGGGAGGCTGTCGCGGACCTTTTCGCGCGCTAGACCGCCGTTCTTGTAGCAGAGCATGAACATGTACTGGCCTGGGGTGGTGGGGTGGTTGAAGAAGTGGTAAGAAGGGTCGGGCTTGTAGACGGGCGTGATCATGAGGAAGGTGGTGGATGTTCCTAGAGACACGATGGCGTCGAGCGGGCGCAGCGGGAGCGCGAGGATGGTCGCCGGGTTGTCGCCTGTGAAAGGCGCGATTTCGCAGTCGGGGGAGAAGCCGTACTTGCCCACGAAGTAAGGGCTGATCTTGCCCACGCTGCCGCCGCCGTCGAGCCGGACTTCGCCTAGCTTGAACTTGAGGTCGGAGGCGCCTTCGACGGAGCCGCCGGCGGTCAGGGTGAGAAGGGTCTCGGACCAGGTGTTGCTGGGGATGTCCCAGAGGTTCATGCCGCAGACGTCGGAGATGTCCATGGGCGCGACGGAGCCGATGAAGAGAGAGGCGAGGAAGGAGGAGACGAGGGAGATGCGCGAGGTGGAGGCGTACATCTCGGGGAGCTTGCGGCGGAGACGCATTATTTGGGTGCCGGTGAAGCGCTGTTTCGTGTGTTCTTGTCAGTCTTTTTGCTGCTCTCTCAACTACTTCACTTCAATCCGGTACGTCAGGAAAAAGGGGCAAGTAAACAAAACTCACATGATGCGCCGCACTTCCCGTAGCATGAGCCAACCTCTCCGCCGTCCCAAGAGCCTCATCAAACTTATCACACTCGGCCTGTGTGCTGTGATCCTGCCAGTTAGGCGCATAAGGATGGGAGAAAGCTCCCTTCAGCTGATCAACCAGCTTTCCCCTCTGTTCCTCGGCCTGCAGTTCCGCAAGAAGCTTCTCGGCCTCCCGGCTCCAGTATACGCTGCCGTGTTGTTGGCAAGAACCGCTGATGCCGCGGATGCGGTTGAGAGGGGTGTTGGCCTCCTGGAGGCGCTGGAGAACTAGGTCGAGGGCCTCGAGCCACATGGCGACGGGGGCAAAGACCTCGCCTTCGGCCTCGTTTAGTTGGACACCCTTCTTGATGCCATATTTGGCCCCGAAGTCGCCGTCAAAGTCGACCTTGGCGGAGGAGACAACGGAGAGGTCGGACTGGATTACGATGGCTACGTGAGAAGAAAGAATATTAGTTGAGCTCGGTCTATAAGTGAACGAACGAACCAAGACCTGATGTGCGTAAACAACCAACCTTTTAGCTGCTGGGTTGACAAGTCAAACCCGAGGTAGAGAGGTCCCTCAGACATCGTGTGTGTTTCTTCGGTGTATGTGAAATATGCCGGTCTGTCGATGAATTGGGTCTTATAGAGTCGACTTGAACTCTAGGTCCGATGAAAGTGAACGGCGATACTGCTGAAGAGCTTCTTAGGGGGTATCACTCGCTGGCTCCAGAAACTCAAGAAACAGCACAGAAAAAAACACACAGAGAGGTTCGTAAAGGGAAGAAAAGGAATTATGAAAGGAGAAGAGAACCCAATGACTAATGAAAAAACCGACAGACAGGACAGAGCCCGTAAATAAGTTTAGCATGATCGAATATCACTTCATCCGGAAAGAACCTTGAAGGTCCATTCTAGCGGGGGTGACGTATAGGAATTGGAGTCCCGGTATGAACATCATGGCGGGTATGGCGGGGCATCAGCGGTCCAGACGCCAGCGTATCCTAGCTGTGTCAGGGGAACGGTGGAGAGGCATCAAGCCGCGTGATGCGCTGCGAGCCGTAGCGGACTGGGGCTCTCTCGTATTTAGCCTGAATGCTGAGAATGGGACTTTGGCCAATCACATGTTGTTGACAGTTCAGGGGTAAGCTTGGAGCTGTATCGCGGCCTTATTAACCTCCATGTCTGAACTTCATTTTGACGTTTCTGTTGACCATGGTTTGGTTTTATTGATACTTCATGGGCAATGCTTTTATGATGTTGCCAATACACATCATTTGATCGCTGGAATAGTGGAGGAATAACAGTCGCTTACCCAGGAAGGAGAGCTTGAACAAAAAGCCCATCAGTTGGAGCTCAACCACTCCATCCCGCACAGCTACCACTTCCCAAACCCAAGCCAAATAGAGGTAGCCAATATTCATATGGGAGTATCCAAGCGCGAAGTGAACGATGTGAATTATCTCTTAGGTTGAATGCAAAGTAAAGTGTCTTGCTCGTCGTCCGGGTACGTAACGATATACGATCCCAACTACGATTACGAGTGAAAGTAACGCTAGCGTTTAACCATTATTAACGAAAGAATCGCTTGCCCACTTGCCTGCTTGCTTGTTCTCCTTGCGTTTTCCACACGTCAACCAACAGATGTTGAACCGAGGCAGAGGAATCGACCAGGAGTGTATAAAGCAACCATACCCGTTTTACCAAACAAGTCGGTAACAGTTAAAAGTCCATCACCACATAAATATCCATAGAGGCCGTTGACAACCGCGTAGCAGGACTTCTTCACCAACAACTACCTATCAGTCCACTAACCCAAGACAATACTGCTAAAAATAACATACCCCCTCCTTTCCCCTATAAGCACCGCTCACTACTCAACCCTAACGAGGACCCGGAATATTCTTCAGATACGACAGCAAGAAGTTGCGATCAGTCGGCGAAATGGGCGTCTGACTACCGCCACTGGAGGTCGGCCTGCTACCCTGATCATGACCCTGAGGAACAGCAAGCTCGCCACCGCTTGTGGAAGCAAACGAAGGCACCCTAGACCTCGCCTGCGCCAACATGACAGGCTCCGCCTTCATCTTCAACTTCTCCTCGACATGCCTCGATCCCATCGACCCCGCCGGCGAAGGCTGCGAGAAGCTCACAGGGGGAGATGGCTGGGCTTTGCCAAAGAGCTCGAGCAACTTGTTTCTCTGCTCGGGATTGGGGTTGGGACTAGCACCCCCGTGGCGCTGTTGATGCTGCTGGAGCACATTGGGAACTTGCGGAGCTTGGTTCTGGTATTGCTGGAAGGAAGGCGCAACGTGGGCGGCCTGGGGAGACCGATCCTGGTTGTACGGCTGGCCAGCGGCGGCGGCAAGATTGGCTACAGGCGACTTGTTGCCTCTGGCCTCGGCCTGTTGCCTGAGCAGACGGTCCTTGGCAGATGGCAAGTTGGGATAGACCGAGTTCTTGAGATCTTGCAAAACGGTGCTTGCGGGAACAGCGTAACTGCGCAGTTGCGCAGGCGTGAGCTCCTGAGCTTCTTGAGGCTTGGGACGGGCCAGGATCTGAGGTCTATATGGCAGGGTGTGTTCGGCGTTAGTTGGAACAGGTTCTGCGTTGGCATCTGCCGTGAAACCTGGCCCCTGAGCAAGTTGTCCAACATTATACTGACTCCCAGAATCCGGTCTGGTGGCTAGATCAGGCCGGCCTGCAGTTTGCAATTTAGGCGTCATGTCGCTACCGGATGGCGAGGCCGGTACTGTCTTCTTGAACATGTCCAACAAGGCATTTCGATGCGAATCCACAGGCTGGATAGGCCTAGGAGCAGCACCCGTAGGAAACCCTCCCGGTCCATGATGCGGCACAGAATTCACTGAAGGTGGTTGAGTGACTTGAGGCGCGTGTTGCCCATAGTATTGTCCAGCAGGACTAGGCTGTTGCCCATGTTGCCAGTTACCAGGAGGCTGCTGTCGAGGCTGATCTGCCATCTGAGGATGGATATTCTCCTGGGTATTGACACCAGGGCCCCGACCGTCGCTAGGACGCACACTACCGCCTTTGAAGACATTCAGGAGAGACTGCGCCTGATTCGTCAGTTGAGGTTGAGGATGATGCGGGTTCGGCGCCTGGTTTGTCAGTTGAGAGGGGTGCGGGTTGGGCGCCATCTGCCCTTGCATAGGATCCCGCCTACTGTGTTCCAAGAACGCCTTTAGACTGGCTTGAAGCGGCTGCTGATGCTTCTGACCCGTGGTGTCTGGAAGGTTTGGTGTTGCTACTCCCAAGATCCCCCTAGTAAGCATGGATTGCTGAACTTGGGGAGGCAGAGGCTGCGGGTGTAGAAGAACAGGCTCCTTTCTCTGAGGAGGTGGCGCATTCATATACTGATTCTGCCCGTAGCCATAAACCGGAAGAGGCGGTTGCGGCTGGTTATAATACCCAGCATTGGGGTTATGGCTGGCCTGTGGAGGAAGTGGAAAATTAGGCGGAGGCTGGAAGTTCGGAACAGGCAAACGTTGAGCAATATGATGATGGAGCGGAGTTTCTGGCTCTGGAGGATTCTGGTAAGTCAGGTCTAGAGGCGTATTGGGGACATGATGGCGAGTCGCTTGGGCCTGTTGAGGCGCTTCGGTCTCACTCTTCTTCAGGAGTGCCATCAACGCCCCGCCCTTATCCGTATTCGAGGCAGCGGCGTGCATGCCCACTGGCGGTTGCGGATCGACGGCCGAACCCTGAACCGACAGCAACCGTCGGAGCTCACGGTTAGCTCCCTCCAAAGTGTCCTTTGATGAAGTTGCTGGTACCTCGCCCATTGTTTCAGTCTGGGTCCCCAAATCATCTTCGGTCAGGGGTTCCTCCAGCTGTGCAGCAGCGAAAAGAGGATTCTGACCAGCCCTGATCGCATCCTTCTTCTTCTGCTGGGCCACCCACTTCTTAAGCTGCCCCAAAAACGGTGCTACCATGTAAAACTTGTTGGCATTAGCTGCGGCGGCGGCGGCGTCCTGTTCCTGAATGCCTTTCTTCTTAAACGAGGGAAGATCAGAGAGCCTGTACCACTCCACTTTGCTGATCTCCTTTCTGGTTTTGGGCTGGAAGACCGTGTCCATAGGGACATTGCGAAACACGTACAGTCGTATCTGTTGATTCTTCATGTTGACGTCGAGGGGTTTTATGTCCTCCGGTTTAGGAACAAGACCGGCTTCTCGGATATCCAAACCGGTCTCTTCATAGACTTCGCGTATAGCGCAATCCAAGTCATCCTCGTCCTTGTTGATTTTGCCTCTGGGAAAGCTCCAATTGGCATTCTTCTTCCAGCCTTTGACGAGAACGCAATGATCCATGGTATCATTCAGCAGGATGGCACCGCGGACAGGGATTCGGGTCTTGTATTGCATGAAGCGTTCGAAGGCCTGCGTGTGTTCGCCGACGGTGAAGTTTGAAAGGAGAGGACAGTGGGCGAAGATGCGCAGGCAAAAGGTCCGGAGGGACATTTGCGGTAACTTGGCGTCCAAAGGACGGATAAAATCCTCGTAAAACCATTGTGCCTCTTCAACTTGGAAGCAAATGCGCTCGACGGATCTAAGATCCTCTTGGGGGAGGTTGATGATGAAGCGAACGCAGAGGTCGTCCAACCCTAAGCAGAGGTATTAGCTGTTGACTGCCTCGAGGCCCATGCAAGAGATGGCCAGAAAACGGAAAGGGGACGGACAATCTTCGAGTTTCAGCTGTGATTCGGTCATATTGGGATGTATCTGACATTCGAAGCATATCCACAAGTATAAAGATGTCGGAAAAGGAGGCTAGGCGCGTAGCTCAAGCTATGCCGTCGTACACCGTCGTCTGATGGGACGAAGCTGAACGGGGGCCAAGCGGTAGCGGTAACGGTAGCGGTAACGGTTGCGATAAACGGTTGCGGTGCGGGATGGTGATCGAGGAGGTAGGTATCGGAATGCCCGCGAGGATGATGTGTCGGGAAGAACGGTCTGAAGGGGGGAACAGGGAAGTGTCGGGTCCGAATATGTGGAAGGACGGGATGTGACGTGGTGATGTTGTCGCAATGGCGTCCGCGTTCGAAGTCGGAGGTCCTTGATCTAGTGTGTGTTGACGAGCAGACCTCTTCTGGTGTTGAGGATTTAAGGATGTAGTGGCGGGAATGGAAGAGGGGAAGCTTCCAAGCTCGCCTTTGTGTTTGGAGTCTTCAGTCGCACAACAAGACCGGTTGGTGGTAAGGTAGGTTGAAGTCGGATGAGAGGGGCAGATTGGGCTTGGGCGTTGCTTCTCTTGCGCCTTGAGCTAACGTGCTGCGATAGTGCAGGGTAGGGGAGACCTGAGCTGTCACGGTGCGAGGGTGCCTATCAGTATCAGCTGAGATGATAGGAGCGATGGTTGGCTCTTGGATTGGCCGGAGGTCGCAGAGACAAGTGATGCCCGGAATGAATTGGGCGGTCGGGCGCTTGCCGGTCAGTGGGAATGCCACGATGCGCTGGCCGTCACGACTGACCGATTCTCCACTGTATAGCGGACATCCTAGCCACAATCCACTATGATCAAGCACGGTTGACCTCCAGCTCGGTCTCATCCTCTGTCAATGCATCTAGAACTGTGGCGCAAGATGGCAACTTTCGATGCCGAAGCCATTGCAAACACACTTGAGATTCGGGATGAACCTTTTTTCTTGTTGGGCACGAGTCCCGCTCCATGGCAGATGACAGCTCGTGTGGTACATGGATGATCATCCTATTGGTGAAAAAGTGGAGGCAGGACACAGCCCGGAGGGAGCACGCATTATTCGCCCAAGTGGAAAGGCAGGGACTTGTTCCAGAGAGGAGAATGCTTGGGAGGGCTCCCGTCTTGGTGTGTCGCTTGCAGTGTTAACACTCCCGCTCGTGGAGGAAAGGACGTCATCGCCAAATCAGGAAACAGGCACTAAACAGGCGCACATGCATTCAGGAAGCAGATGACCGGCTGTGTCCCTGGAACTGAACTTCACAGATAAAGACAAGAGTCGCCCACGATAACTGTATCGTAACTTTACTTTTTCTGAACTTCTGGTATTGCTTCCCTTGTTCTTCATCCAACCCGAAAGACGAGTCGCACTTGCGATTTCCTGAGCGGCATTCGTTGCGACAACATCCGCCCAAGCGCCAGACGTGAAACTGACAAAGGAGGCGGCGCCCTGGCCAATCCACGCACCAAAGCCAAACGATTGTAGCGTCAAAGGCTTATAAAACAAGGATTCGAATTCGATAAAAGCTTTCCCGGGCGCGGTTATTCTTCGACAATAACGGGTTTAATATCTTTCTGAATCGAAACCACTCTTTCTGCGTCTTGAGCAGAGTTGACAGTCACCATGAACGCTCTCATCTCGATATTGGGCAAGAGAGCCCTCAAGAGTCTTGACACCGACAAGATCAAGCCCAACTCTGACGTAAGTCTTGGTGTTGATATAGCAACCCCTGCTCACATTTTACTGACACTGCAACGTGACAGAATCCGTACGAAGAACGAGTCCCGGTCTACAAGAATGGCCAGGTCGTCAAGTACAGGACCCAGGAGCGGCCGATTCCGGCCGAGTTGTCATCAAACGACCAGGCGATCTTGAAGAAAGTGCGGAAGAGAGCGTATAAATGGGACCAGGGCTTCAAGTTCTGCTGCGTTCCCGTCCGGTTTGGCTGGTCCTTCTTCATTGGCTTGATTCCCATGTAAGTGATTCGAACCCAGCTTCTTGCTCATGCGGCGTATAACTGACACCACTTTTTCTCAGCTTCGGTGACTTTGCGGACGCTCTCATGGCCTTGTGGCTGGTGAAGAAGGCTTCCAAGGTCGACGGCGGTCTACCGGCAACCCTTTATGCGAAAATGATCTCCAACATCGTCTTCGACTTTGCGATCGGTCTGATTCCCATCATTGGCGACCTTGCTGATGCAGTTTACCGAGCGAACACACGCAATGCCTGGCTTCTCCACGTGTATTTGATGGAAAAGGCTGAAGCGGTCAGAAACGGGAGAGTCTCGGATCCGGAGACCGGCGAAACCATTCACTTGACAGGACATAATTCCGGTCATGGGGTGCTCCAGCCTTCAACGCGACCTGCTCAGTCTAAGACTTCTGCGCCGGAAGCGACACGTGGACGGGGATGGGGCTGGAACCGCGGTGGTGGTGGAAGGACGGCTGAGCCAGATCTGGAGTCCGGGATTGTAGAAGTGCGGCCGGAGCGGGAGCTGCGCGACAACCGCGGCGCCGGGGTGACGGCCGGGGTGGGTCTACAAGGGACCCCCGAAGTCAGGGCCGGAGATAAAGTGGTTTTGGTGGATCCAACGCGAGAGGGACGCGGTCTCGACACTTGACGTGTGCAGTGTGGGGAAATTTCGAGCTCCGGAGCTGCGAGGTTAAAGACCTGTTAAGGTCGCATACCAAAGAATTAATGAACAATGACGGCACGAATTCTGTCATGAAGAACACAAAGATGGAAATGTCGAAAGCAAGCAAGGCGCATGGAGGAACACTTACCTTGAGAGTATCAGATTTGGCTTTTCTTGTTCACTTACATAATACCCCTGTACTTCAATAGTGATTATGGCTTTTCACCAACGTTCAGAGTTCAAGTGAAAGTTAGAGACAGATGGCTCAACATCTTGCCTTTTCAAGCATCTTATACAATCTCCCGATCTGGACTGTTGTTGCTGAGGGGAACATGACACTTTGGAGGATTCATACTCATCGGACCGATCTCAACTCGATGCCTAAAGCCGATCACCTAACAAAGACAAGTCCAAGATGTTCGTCAGTGGCGACCGGTTTCTACCGTAGTGCCATCCCATCCGAACTGGCGTGTCGCGTCATCCCATCGTGTCCAGACAAAGAGCGCAACAATACTGGAGTCTTATATGGAACTATGGAAGCTCCTGGTCTGTTGTGTGCGGGCCAGAGGAGGGGACTGGTGGATCGGATGCCTGGAGTCCAAGACCACCATGGGCCAATTGACGGCCGTGTGACGATCTGATAAGAGAAAAACGCAGGCATGACGGCTTGACGATGGGCTCGGATGGAAACGAGGGAGGACGCGGCATGTTGCTCGAGGGTGGATTCCATCGTGTAATTGGGTGGTTGGAATGCTGTCTCAATGCTGACGGAGCAAGTTGTAACAAGTTGGAAAGCGGGAAAAGGCGAGAAATACCGATGGCAATGGAACAAGAGTTTCGTCTCTTGAAGACTGAAGCACCTCTGTTTACAGGGCGCATGCAGGGGAGGCTCCCCGACTGGCATCTGCGGCCGGGCACGAGAGGGAGGGGAAAACGCTACGCTGTGTGTGCAGGGGCGTCTGTGCCTGACGGGAGGTCCTGTTGTGTCACTGTTTGGAAGGGGGAAAGACACGGCACGGCGGCACAGAAGGAGCTGGACGCGCTTCCAGGGCGTTAGAACGCGTATCCTGGAGTCCTGACGCGCAGATTTGTTGCCAGTGTGGGTTGCCAGTGGGTGCCTCTCGCCCGGTTCAGGTTCTCTGCTGTGGGCACCACGTGCGGACGTGCTCCAGTACTTAAACCTTCAAAAGAACTGAAATCACGAACCCGTCTTGTTCTCCTCCCCCGTCTTTGTCCAAACCACTTTTCTGACGCAACCCATTTTATATCCTCTCTTTTTAACCAATTCGTTTTGCGTCGTCGTCCTTCGCAACGCTTCATTTTTGTGTGTCACTTCCAATTGCATCTCATCTCTTCGTCTTAGTTCACAATGTCTGTCCAGGCCAGTCCCTCCAAGCAGGTCAGTACCTCTACTTACCCGACCTTACATCTACATAAACAACCCCGCGACGCGACCTGCAACCACTACTTTCTAAACTCTACCACCGCATCAACTCACATATCCGCCACCATGACTGTTGTAACTGACACGAGCACTACACAGGTTACCTCTGGTATCCAGAACCTCAACATGGACTCTACCGCCAAGAAGCTCGACTTCGGTGCCACCGACAAGGAGAACAAGCCCTTCGACGCGGACCTTGCTAAGCTCGAGGCCGAGATCGATGCCGAACACCACGCGAACAAGAAGGCCTCCGAGGCCAAGAAGATCGCCCCTACCCTCAAGCCTGAGGAGGCCGCGGAGCCCCTCCTTACCGAGAACCCTCAACGTTTCGTTCTCTTCCCCATCAAGTACCATGAGGTATGCCACGCGTCCCAGGCATCCCCATAACGCGTAAAGTGGTTCATGGGCTAATTGGTTATCCACACTACAGATCTGGCAAATGTACAAGAAGGCCGAGGCTTCCTTCTGGACTGCCGAGGAGATTGATCTCTCCAAGGATCTCCACGACTGGAACAACAGGCTTACCGACGACGAGAGGTTCTTCGTCTCCCACATTCTCGCCTTCTTCGCCGCCTCCGATGGCATCGTCAACGAGAACCTTGTCGAGCGTTTCAGCGGCGAGGTCCAGATCCCTGAGGCTCGCTGCTTCTACGGTTTCCAGATCATGATGGAGAACATTCACTCCGAGACCTACTCCCTCCTCATCGACACTTACATCAAGGAGCCTTCGCAGAGGACTTACCTCTTCAACGCCATTGACACCATCCCCTGCATTCGCAAGAAGGCTGACTGGGCTCTTCGCTGGATCACCGACAAGAGCTCCACCTTTGCCCAGCGTCTCGTCGCCTTTGCTGCCGTCGAGGGTATCTTCTTCAGCGGTGCTTTCGCCTCCATCTTCTGGCTCAAGAAGCGCGGCCTCATGCCTGGTCTCACCTTCTCCAACGAGCTCATCTCCCGTGATGAGGGTCTTCACACCGACTTCGCCTGCCTTCTTTTCTCTCATCTCAACAACCGCCCCAGCAAGCAGCTGATCCAGGACATCATTGTCGATGCCGTCAGGATTGAGCAGGAGTTCCTCACTGAGGCTCTCCCTTGCGCCCTTCTTGGCATGAACGCCGATCTCATGAAGCAGTACATCGAGTTCGTCGCCGATCGTCTCCTTGTCGCCCTCGGCAACGAGAAGGTCTACAGGTCTACCAACCCCTTCGACTTCATGGAGAACATTTCTCTCGGTGGCAAGACCAACTTCTTCGAGAAGCGTGTTGCCGACTACCAGAAGGCCGGTGTCATGAACAGCACCAAGAAGGTCGACCCTGATGCGGAGGTGGTCAAGAACGAGAACGGTGGTGACTTCACCTTTGACGAGGACTTCTAAACGTTGTCCTTGCCGTTTCATGTTCCCTTTTGCCACGCCTCGTTACGACTTTGTTTCCTTAATACCCCCCGCTATACTGCACCTTTCCGTTCTGATCTCACACAGTGCACTCTGATATGGACATAGTTAGCAGCTTGCTTATCAATTGTCTGTTTGGAGATTGTTTTCTGTGTTGGATACAAAATCTTTGCCGCCATCAGCAACACACACATCAAAAGGGCGAGCGAGTTCAATGTTTTTCTTCTTCTTTCATCATCAAGCACATGGGCGGAGTTATAGGCGTTATTGGGTCTCGAGATCATGTGTTGAAACTTGATCGAGCCCTCTTGTACATACACAACTGGGTTGCAACTTGAATGAGAAGATGGTTGACTAAGATACAAACAAAAAGAGAAAAGAAGCCTCTAGGCAGTAGCTTTTTCATGTATGGGTAGAGCTTGGTCCCTGCACCCTAGATAGGAATTGAGTTTATGGGTATGAGCGAACTTTCTCGTGATTGAATGTGAACTTGAATGAGCATCAAACAACCATGACGTCCGACGCGAATATTTCGGTGTCGTAGGCTTCACTCCTCAGTAATTGTAGACTGAACATGAATGTCGACCGCTTGCTTTATACACTCCTACCCGCCCTATGTTATTATTTGTATTTCCTCCTTAAACTCCACAGACTCACCGACCGTCATCCCATCCCCTTACCAAACCCCTTCCTCTCTACACCAAAATTTACCTCTTCCCCTTCTTCTTCTTCTTTCCCTGACCACCACCTGCACCTCCCGCTCCCGTCGCAGCAGGTGTACTCGCACCACCAGCAGCCGGAGTCGCAGTCCCACTACCAGCAGCAGCAGTTCCCTCCTCAGCCGCATCACCCATAACCACATCCCCTCCTTGAGCCTGAACCTGAGCTGCAGAAGCCTCCTTAGCCTCATCAACAGGCAACGCAGCCATCCTCCTCCCCAGCTGTCCCAGCATCTGAATCAGACGACCCACTTCCGCGGCTTTGGAAGTCTTGTATTTCAGGCATACGCCCGAGTGGGGGTCGAAGGTCTTGAGGACTAGATGGCCTCGGGGCGGTTTTTGCGCAGCGGCCGTGGCATCCTTGGGGGGTTCTTCTGTGGTTGAAGCAGCGGGGGTGGTGCTGGTCTTGGAGGTGGTAGAATTGGTAGACTTGGAGTTGATGGTAGATTCTTTGGCGCGACGAGCTTCCTTTGCTGCGAGCTTCTCGGCTTTGGAAGGGCGGATGGCGGGGCGGAGGGAGTAAGAGGTTGTTACTCTTGTCTGTTTTTGAGGTAGAAAGGGTTCAGTTAGGATTGGGTTACTTACTAGAGGTGGATGGGTCTGGAACGGATGTTGGGGGGTGATGGGAAGGTAGAGGGGGGAGGAAGGGGAGAGGAGTGGAAGAGGAAAGGATGGAAGGAAGCATACAGTCTGAGGCCTAGCCTGCAACAGCAAGGCGGACTGGTGAAGCCAGTCCTCTGACTTTTCGTAGTATGGCATCTTTGCTTTCGTGGCCAGCTGCTTCGTACTGTAGAATTTTGGAACAACGGCGAGATGGTGGTGGTCGGGTGTTGTGCTGCGCGGCTCGATTGTTGGTCGAGGTAGGGTTTCGGCGCTTTCGATGTCGAGCTGCCTGGATGGGTACCTAGGTAGGTAGATGCCCGATTGATTGATTGATTGTTGTCCCAGGACGTTTAATCGTCGTCCAATCTCGGCTGGCTGGCGGCTTTTGGAAAATGCGGCGCGCAGCGAGGTTGTAAAGTGGAATAATTGCGACGGCGGCGGGCGTCAAGGCGACGTGATGTTGGAGGTACTTAAGGTAAGGATGGTGTGGGTTCACCTTGACGCTTTCCCCCGGGAAGTTTTGGGTTTCGGTGAGCTCTCGCTGGCGCTACTGAGGTCGAGCCCAGGGTGTTGAATTGGTGGGGTTCACCGCGGTCCTGCTGTACCTAAAATGCGGGGCGGGATGACAGGGGACAACAGGGGGTGTGTTTACTTGGAGCTTCTGTTGTCACACATGAAGGAGTTTCACCAGAGTTGTCTGAGTCCCAACATCATAAATCCAGTTTCTGGAGTTTCTAAACGAATACTGGAAATTCGACTCATCTACTTTCCTGTTGTACGTATTCACCAGAGTTGTCTGAGTCCCAACATCATAAATCCAGTTTCTGGAGTTTCTAAACGAATATTGGAAATTCGACTCATCTACTTCCTGTTGTCTATCATGTCCTGATTTTACAGCAATGTGATGAACGATTGCAGGCTGTTCGGCCCTTTCGTTCTATCTCCTCTCTTGATACGAGCCTCGTGAAACCAACCATCCATACCAGTTACCTAACAAATCAACCCTTTGAAGCATGCTAGCTACTCCCATACGCCTGTGAATAATGTAAAAGGGGTATCTCATGTACAATGCATCGAATTCTTCTTTTGTTGCTGTCGTCTTTCCTTTCTTACCAGGATGCCTTTCTTCGCTGCCCTAACTCAGCAGCATGATACCATCTCAGACCTCCGTACATCGCAGTAAGGTCCTGTGCAGTATGAACTTGGGCATGCCACGCGGTCCATCGTACCTGCTGTCTCAAGTGACCATCCAAGTATGCCGGCGCAATAATCGGACCAACTCCCGTGATCACGGAGCGACGGATGTCCAGATATGAGGGGAAGTCGTTCCAGATGTCTAGACCATCGTCTCATGCTCTAAACGGACGCTTCTAAATCAGATTCCCCAACTGAACGTTTGCGCTTGACCGGTAAAGTGCGCTCCTGCCTGTTCCGTGGAGTCCGCCATGGAGGTGAGGTCCAGCCAGATCCGACCTCCTATGAATCGGAAACCGGCAGCCAAAACATAAGCTCCTTGTCCGCCGTGGCAATCATGTTGAAGCGCGGATTGTACTGCACGAGGACGGGCTCCTTCTTTGCCTCTTGTGGAAGGAAATTTGGTTCAAGCATCTTGTTGTTGGGAGTTTGCATGGTGTCCCAGACCAACAGATCCTTAGCCGCGCCCGATACGACATATCGTCCGTCCGGTGTAAAACAACAGTCTCCACTGCTCTCAGGCACAGCGCTCCCGCCGTCAGCTTCGCCAGGGGCAGCCCTTCTAGTGCCGCCTTGAGGCTTTCGTAGGTACGCCTTCAGGTTTCCGTCGATAGCGTCGAAGAGAAAGTGTCCGTTGGTTCGTGTTCCCAAAAGAATATGCTTCCCGTCGTTGGAGAACTCGAGCTTCGTCCAGCCTCTGAAACAAGCTTCCCCATCGGCTGGTCCCTTCTCCTTCAGGACGTCGATAATCTTGAATGGTTTTACGTAGTTGCGGTAATCGTAGAGGAGGATGCTAGCACTGGCTGGTAGGGCGATGGCAAAGACAAGGCCCGCAGGGTCCCAGGCCGCTAGGGTGGGGTTGGTGAGGTTGAATCTGGCAACCCAATTCCTGCTGCTAAGGTCCCAGAGCCTGACTGTGGTGTCAAGACTGCAGGAGAGAAAGTTGTCGGAGCCGGGATGGAGAGCAATATTGGTGACGGAGCCCTCGTGGCCTTCGAAGTAACGGATAAACGTATTGTCGTGGGTTGCCAGATAGCGGATTGCGTCTGTTGCGATCTAGGTCAGCGACAAGCAGTCAATCGAAGGAGGGGGCCGTCCACAGTGACACACCGTTAGTTTTGGTGCTCGCATAGATGATGCCTGAGCTGGAATGTGTAAACTTGGCGTGCTTGACGCCGTACTTTTTGCTCAGCAAGCTCTTGTCATGCCGACCTTCCCTAACGTTATATATCTGGATGGTCTCGTCGCTTTCGGACGTCATACATAGCTCGCCAGGGTCGTCAAAGTCGATCGAGAGAACGTATGGGTGGGGCCTACCCTCCTTAACATCGTCTCTCAGGAAATACTTTGAGGGCTTGAAATTCTTGATAACCTCGCTGACCTTGGAGGTACTGGGTCCATTAGGCCCAAGTAACCGGGTAACGTTCAGGGAGGGCGTTCCCGCGCCGGGCTCGTCGATGTCCATCGGTGTTGACGACATCGCGTGCGATGGATCGTATTGGAGGCTGCTAGATGAAATGGAAACGAGATAGAAACAGCCAAGATGGTGGCCTAAATGGATTGGGTCGAAATATGTAGCAATGAGCGGAAGGTTGTTGTTTGATGTTTGGTTCAAAACTTAGTTCAATGAACCGTCAACCGCGTTGGTGTTTCTGCCGGGCGGAGAGAGGGAGCTTTCAAAGAGCTGCAGTGATGCGACGTCAAGGTACATGGCTTGGCTGTGACCCAAGAACCCTAACCCTTTCCGTCCCATGGTGAAGTCCAGCTACATGGACAACATGGCAAATGTCACAGTTGGACAGATTGGTGATCCCGATGCAAACCGAGCTGTCAATTCGCAACTGTGCTAGTGTATAGAGTGTATTGACAAAGCTGAAACATCAAGCACCACGGCAATCTACTCAGATGAGCTTCCAGTATGACTGTCTCTTAAGAATTGTCATCCGGCTCCGATTCGGAGACCTGGTGCCGGTTATCACGCCAGACCCTAACCCTCCACCCAATAATGACAGCGTTCCCCGGCCCAAACATTTCCATTTCTGATTCAGGGTCCACGTCTCTGGGCCGCCCGATCCGCCGCGCTCCCCTGACAGACAGCGTAAACTCCACATCAATCTGGTGTCAGCACGCCGAAACCGCAGCACTTACAACTCCTTCTCCATCGTCGCCATTGGGCACCACCCCAATCCAAGGCATCCGAGGAGGATCTTGACCCCAACTCCCTGACCCAAAGCGGGAGTCGGCCCCAGTCGATCCCTTCTTCGATCCCCTTGCCTGCCCACTCCGGCCGACAAACCGGCGAGGTCATCCTGAAGCTCCAATAAATTTCCCGGGCGGCTCTCGGTGTTTGTTCCTCTTCCTTTCCTGTCCTGCTCCTGGAGTGAAAGCGGGCAGGCAGTCATCGTGTCATTATCTTTCGTTGTTGTGGCTTTGTACATCTGTACACTGCATACATCTTCCCCAGATTTCATCCCGTCATTGCCGTCATTACTCTCCGTGACACGGTGACACAAGACTCCCGCTTCCTCCGGCCTTCTCCCGAATAACTTCCCGTGTTCCCGCCTCCGAATACCGGCAAGACTCGGCATTGCGCCTTTCTTTGAACCTTGCGCGCCAACTCCGTCGCAACCAACACAACAACTCTGGGACGGGAATAAGACCTCCTCTGTCTTTCCTTGCCTCGACCTTCCTTCTCCATACATCCCCTAAAACAGATACCCCAAAGTCAGAGCAGTCACCATGTCAACAACAGCAGGGTAAGCTTCTTCCCACCTCTCCTCCTCATCCTCACTATGCGCCCAATGCGCGCTTGCGCAACCTAACCCAGTCGCAAACCCCCTTCCCTCCCCTCCTTAGTACCCAAGCTAACATCCCTCTCCAACTCCCAGCGCCTTCATAGCCGGCGGCATCGCAGCCTGCGGCGCCGTAACCGCCACGCACCCCTTCGAGACCGTCAAGATCCGCATGCAGCTCCAGGGCGAGCTCCAATCGTCCTCCTCATCGCCTCACTTCTACCGGGGTCCGATCCATGGCGTGTCAGTGATCGTGCGCAACGAAGGCCTCGGCGGCATCTACCGGGGCATCGGGTGCGCGTACATCTACCAGATCCTGCTCAACGGGTGTCGTCTGGGTTTCTACGAGCCAATGCGCCACACGCTGGCAACGACGCTCTTCAACGACGCCAAGACCCAGAACCTGGGCATCAACATGTTCTGCGGCGCCGCGTCGGGCATCATGGGCGCCATGGCGGGTTCGCCGTTCTTTTTGGCCAAGACGAGGTTACAGAGTTTTAGCCCGTTTCTGCCGGTGGGCACGCAGCATCAGTATAAGAACGCCTGGGACGGGTTGACCAAGATTTACAAGGGGGAGGGCGTGAGGGGATTGTATAGGGGGTGTGGGGCGCGGCGATGATCAGGACGGGTTTCGGCAGTTCGGTGCAGCTGCCCACGTACTTTTTTGCGAAGAGGCGGTTGGTAAAACATCTGGGCATGGAGGAGGGGCCGGCGCTGCATTTGGCGAGTAGTACGGCCAGTGGGTTTGTGGTTTGCGTGGTGATGCATCCTCCTGGTATGTTTTATCTCCTCCTTCTCGTGGCCCTCTTTCACCAGGGGCATTTCTCCTCTCTCTCCCTCTTTTCCCACCTTTTTCCTGCCAGTTTGATTGCTAACAACATGAACCAAACAAAAACAGACACAATCATGTCCCGCCTCTACAACCAAAACGGTAACCTGTACAAGGGCGTCTTCGACTGCCTGGCCAAGACCATCCGCACCGAAGGCTTCTTCGCCATCTACAAGGGCGTCATCCCGCATCTTACCCGCATTCTCCCGCACACCATCCTGACGCTCAGCTTGGCCGAGCAGACCACCAAGCTGGTCAAGAAGCTGGAGGACAGGATCTTGGGTCCCGAGACCCGGGTTCTATAGTTCCCGTCTGTAGAGGAGGCATTATAGTACAACTGAATGAAGTGGGGAAGGGGAGACAAGAGAAGGGGGCGAAGGAGATGGAGGATATAATCCAAAAAGGAAGCGGGGAAAGGGGAACAGGTTAAAGAAGAATTCTGTGCGATGCGGTGAGTTGTGGTGGGGAGAGGCAGGGGAAGCGGTGACTTTTTTTTTTCTAACAACCGAACATATAAAGACTTTCATCGGCGGCGACGGCGGCGGCGGCGGCGGATATCCTGTTTCTGTTCTAGACTTTTTCAGGCGTTAAGTTTCTTTTGGCTTCTGGAAAGCGTTTTTCACTTCATGTTAGGTATTTTTCGACACCGGCTGTAGGGTAGAGGGAGAGGGACGGGAGGTGGGAGGCGGGAGGTCATCATGGGGAGGACTGGACTGGCGGGATAAATGAATCATATACACCTTTTTGTTCTTGGAAATCGTGGTCAACAAAAGTGCGAAAGAAGGCTGGCGTAATTTTCGGTGCTGCATGTTTCTGTGAGCGTGGACATTGAGACCGTGTTGGGTTTGTTCGACGTAGCCGAGCTGCCTTTACCCTTTCGTTTTGGGTCAAGCAAGGGCGCAATAGGGAAAGAAAAGCAACGCATCTGGCACAATATTGCATCATAGAGTTCTTTGCTATCGAGGAGTGGAGAGAAATGATCACACGGTGACTAGGAGCTAACAGGAGCCTGACCGTAAAACTACCGTATCAATGGTAGAAGTGATATGTCCACATGTTTACCGAGTGCCTTGCGCCTCATTCACCTCATGCTCCTTCATCATCTGCTCTCTTTTTTTTGCCCATCATGCAGCGGGCGAAGACAACTTTGAATATCTGCTTCTTCCTGTGTTCCTAACCCGTGTCATGTACGCAGACGCCTCGGTTGTTTTAAAGGGCCCAATGATCGAATAATAAAACTGGGTAACATGGGTGGCCCATATGAGCCGTCGTAGAATACCCTCAAGCATGATCTTGTGTACTGAAAGTAAGCATTCCTACGCTTACCGGTAATGGTCGTACGGTTCTTTCGTAACATCTTTGTTAAGTTGTCTTCTCCTCGTGCGACGGATCCGATGGAGATCCGGTATCTGGGTTCTAAGCAGTAATGCCCACCCTTTTCTTCGACTGAAAAGCTGCGGCAATTTCATCCTCATCATCATCGTCCAGGTTCAGGAGTTGGAAACGGTTGGCAGGTGCGGAAGGCTTTGGCAGGCTGGCCTCTTTGAGTGGCTTTGGGGGGGGCAGTCGATCATATGACTGGGCACACTCATCGACTTGCCAATCAATCTTGAACGGTTTGTACTTCCTGTGTCTATTGTTAGCATTCAAGTGGGCAGAAGACATTGCCCAAATGTCCAAAGATTAACTTACTGGCGACTCATCATGCAAGTCTTGGCGTAAACGGCAATATGAACCGCATTCAGACTGATGTAACAATTTCCGCCCGTGAGTTCGACTTTGATAACCGCAAGGTTGTGAATGTGGTCAAGATCCTCTCGAATGCTTTCTTCGGTGAATTTGGAACCGCACCGGCGAATGACCAAATTGCGGGTGGCTCCCTGGGCTATCTTCCCAGCAATATGGCCTGGCAGTACAAATTGGCGGTCACACCACTTGATGTCAACCTGCATATCCAGTCAGTTGAGAACCTCCAAGCCCATACATGACACACTGACTCACTCGCTTGTTCTTGATGTAAAGGTCATTCTTCCGGACATGTTCAAAGAACTTTCTAGCGTCAGCAGCGTGAAGGAATGACACCGTTGCAGACCGATCATGGGTGCGCAAAAACACGTCCAAAAGCATACCGCCACGAACAGCATTTGTAATGTCTGCGTGGGTGGTGCTCTCGGATATGTTGCATAGCTGCACAGTTCGGGTGCACTGTCGGTCGAATTGCTGCCTCTGCGACTGCGACTTGACCTCGCTCACTCCCTCGGGAACACCAGGGCCGTCTGGGGAATAGACTTCGTCGGAGAAAGATTCCTCATCATCGGGCTCAGCTTCATCAACATCTGCCCAAGCACCTTGGCCTCCATTCTGATAACCCCCATTGTGACCACTATAGCCGTTGTAGCTGTTCTGGCGCTCGTCTTGTTGAGGTCTGGGTGTAAACGTTTTCGGTTTGGCGAAGCCTGGAGGGGATGACTGAGTGGGTGCCGTGTCTACATGAGTAGTACTTTCGTGTGTCGCCTCGGTCTGCTGCTGCGATGTCTCGGGAACGTGTCCTCCCTGGATGGTAGCGTCATCTTGACTGAGAAGCTATCGAGTGTGGGTTCGGGTCAGTTGAACAGCTCTGGGGTCCCCACGGGCTAGGCTCCATATATACGGGCCATAACCGCGCGCACCATGGGGGCATACATAAATAGTCTCCTCGACCACTCCACCGCGAATCAAGTTGCGCTTCAGGTTTTCTAGACTCGAGTCAGTTCTGACATGTGTATCAAGGTATCCTCCGTCTCTCTTTAGCTGTCCTCTTGTTTGTTGCGATGACGATCATCTTCAGTGGGTTTCAACTGCCAGTAAACGCACCATACTGCCGGGCAATGAGGTTGAGGTTGTCATAATCGGCCTGCGAGAGAGTGACGCCCTGACCGTGACCGAGATTAAAAGCTTCGGAATTCTTCAACGGTTATGGCACGTCAGCTTTACGTGAGCCACGAGTCAAGCTAATTCCATGTTCTTTGCTGGAGTGAGTGGAACGTACAAACTGGGCCCTGGTAGACGAACAAAGACAAGCCGAAATCAGCAACTGTAACTGGATATAACCTAGCGGTTGACGGGACGGGCCACGAAGGACCTTTGGCGTTCTGGAAAAGACAGGATGCTACCGTGAACAAAGAAACAGACAGTACTTACCTTCGAACCAGGATATCATAATGATCCCGATCAATGGTGACGTGCGACTCCATGATGTCGGACGTACGACGGGGGAAAAGGGCAATTGCAGATGGAAAGTCGAGGTTTGGCGAAGTTAATGTCTTCGGCATGTGAGGGGCACGTCAGATAGAAAAGGAAACGGATCTTCCCATCTCAACTCAACCCAAACATGCCAAACATGCACCTGAGGCTTTCCGGCAGGCGTCAATCGAAGCTTCCTTTCCTTTCCCGTACCCCTCCATCCCTAGAGGTGCCCATTCACTGGTAGTCACCTCGAAGTGACAGAACTAAACGACCCGCAGTGCGGGCAGGTGCTGCAACCCACCAAAACAACCCCCCAGAAAAGCAGCCAAGCCCACTAAACCACTGCAACGCATGGAGATCTGCCCCGCCCAATTAGGTTCGATCAAGCGTGCCCAAGCTGCAACCACTTTGAACCAAAACACACCTTATCTTGGCAAGCGCGACTCGCTAGTGAAGACATATCCTCACGTGCGGCAAGCCTCAACGTTAAATGCCATTGAGAAGGAGGGGTCTGGAACTCGAATCCCCACTTTGAAATTTGACATCCATCCCTCAGTCTTCTCAGTGTAAGGTCCTGTGGTTACTCGGATGGCTGGCAATAGGAGCACCGCAGAAGCTGAAAGACGACGACGGCGCCAAGTGATACGGGCCGCCGCCCAAGAGGCAAGCAGATGAGGCAGATTCGGGGCAGTGAACCACCATTTCATTGCCCAACAACCAATGGCGATAGTTGAGGTGCCAACTTGTCAAATGTGACGCCATTCAAAGAGCCAATGCAGCATCTCTTCTCCTCAGAAACGACTGCTGCATCATGCTTCCTATCGGCTGCGATACCACGCCGTGTCATCCAGTGATCATGAACAGCGAGCGGGAAAAGCTGACTTACACCACATTCACTGCCGCAACGCTTCTTCCTATCAGTTGTCTTGGGTGGGAGAGGCAGTCATGAGAACCGAAACCGGGAATGCGACCAAGCGATATTCCCAACCTCATATCGGCATCTATCCACGAAACATGCCACGACGGGAAGGGGATGGGCGTCTTCGAGGGCATGTGTGTGCTACCGTTTTCTACCCTGAGATGCGAGTCAGGAGCTTGCCAATGGTTGTCTCTTCACAACCAAAGTCGGTCGACGCCCATCAACAACACCAAGAACCTAACCCAGGATGCAAAGGTATAGGCAGTCGCGGCAGTAAGTGGCTGCTCGCCAAGTCAACTTTCAACTTCATATCCCCAATGTCAACAATGTAAACATTTTGGATCTCTCTTCGAGATGTCAAGTTGAGCAGTTTGCGTCCGTGTCCGGGTGGAGGATGTTGACCACATAACAGCGTCATGACTGTAAAAGGGTCAATTTCGGCTGGCCCGCTGTCATCTCGACTAGTCTGCCCCATAGCCCGAACTATTGCTCGACTAAGGCAGGAACCTGAAATTGACAGTCCTCACACTCCCAGCAACTCTGCTATATGCATCATATCACCCAGTCAGGCACATTTGCATGCGTTCTGACTGAAAGTAATTGGGGTCTCCAGCTGGAAGGGAGGCCGGCCGCCAACGCCAGGCATGCCGACGTCCACCGGTAACCGCCACGACACCGGATATTTTGTCCTCAGAATATGGGACACAGGGCGCCGGCATCGTCTTGAATCCGGTACCATGTCGGAACGGTAGGAGACGGCGGCACTCGGTGATGTTCGTGCCGCATCCAGTGTAGCCATCGGTGTAGATGCCGGCGAAGAAGCCCCGCAAAGCCTCAACATGAGACGATTCTTGTGCTCCCTTTTGACATGCAAGAAAGCTTTTCGGGTAGATCAGGTGAGTGAAACAACCAGAGAGTCGGAATCTCGTCTGCCCGGCAAGAGAACCACATCCACAGATCTACGCCTGTTGAGGAACCCCAGCGACTGAGCTAATTGCCCACCGTCATAACCGGGCTGTACCTTGTGGATGATCATGCGAATCAGCCGCAGCGTAGATAGCGTAGGGAATGCCCGTGTCCAAGGCACTACCGTATGTGCGACTGACTTCCAGTTTGCTGTGTTCGTCGGTTCCGGCCATCTGGGAAACGGCATCAGTTTGACTTTATATCCAAGTAGTCTTAACACTGAAGCATTGAAAAAAGGGAGATGCGACCATAATGCTGGGATATTTTTAGCTCGCACATGACGGTCTCGAGCCGTTCAGGCGGGAGGGGCAAAAGGGGGTCCAACACGAGAAAAAACGAGCACAAGGAGAATCCAGCCCGTGCTCTGCTGTGGCTCGTATGGCTTCAATACGGCCTGAATGGACCCGCGTCCAGCGGCCAGACACACCCAGGCCGCGGAATTTTTCGTGTCATTCGTAGAATCCCAGATGAGCAGCGGATTTCCCTGGTGGGCGCCACAGCAATAGCCAAAAGAGCTCTAGGGAGAATACCCAAAACAGACAAGTCCCGAATGTTTACTTGGGCCCTATTGGTCGTCTCACCCGGTGGGCCTTGATCTCACGACAGAGTGCTGTGGCTTCTCTCTCTTTTTCGCTGGTGAGTCCTTCCTTGTTGTGTTAGATCCTGGCGGAAAGCTGCAGAGGATCCATGGAAACCTCTTTCCCTCCCAGCCAAGCCAGTCCCGTGAAAGTTGATCTCCAGCCATTCTCTGGTTCCATTTCGCCCAATCTTCTCCCCTATCCACTCACCTCATCCCAGTTGCTCTTTCGCTCTCCTTCTACTGTTTTCAGCAACCCTCACATTCGCTTTTCCATTATCCAAACCGTTCGCTCCGTTCGCTGTCTCCCAGCGTTCTCATTCATCCCGGATACCCGTCTCTCGCTTATCTGATCCTGTCGCTGTCCAGTCCAAGGAAGCATTCCGACGCGAAGCAAAACTTTTCTCCATCCACCGCATCGGTTTACCCAAGTGCACAATTTCCCACCGACGGCATCCATTCCATTGTTCGGTTAGCAACCAACCGCTAGCTTAGTACTCAGGTCCCAGGCTCCTAGCATTAGGGGTTGGTCCACCGTACTACCAGCACCAAGACAAGCGTCGTACCACGATCTCTCTGTCGCTCAGACTCTTCAAGCCACCGACGACGACGAGTACCACAACACTCAAAGGTTATTCTCCGACGTTAAACAGCCTTGTATAGGGCAATTGCTGTTCAGCTGTTTATATACATTATTTTGGGGTGAAACCGTTTTTGGATATTGGGCTTGGATTGATATTAGTTGCTCGGACCTCCACCTCGGGCACATTCATCTGAACGCCTGCTGCATACTGCATAGCACACACCACCACCACCACAACCACCAACAACACCATGAGGACATCGCTCTCTGTTGGCCAACTGGCCGTCGCATTTCTCTCTTTGTCGCCTATTGCGTCCGCTTCTGGGCTATGGCCTAGGTTTCTTCCAGATATCGACTCACTCGTCGTGAGGGCAGACCCAGAGCCAGGTATGTTGAAAGACGGATTCATTGGGGTTCATCCAATCTTGTTCCGGACCGTGCATCAACTGACATTCGATCCATCGCAGCATCTTCCGAAGCGCCAGTACCAACGCCGACAGAGAAGACCACGGCGAAGCCTACAAGCAGCGCCAACGAGGACGAAGATGCCACAACCACCGCCGCCACCACGACGAAGAAGGGGGGGCCCATAACCACCGAGTACAACACTGGTCTGCACACTAAGAGTGACTCTGACTCTGAGTCTGGCTCTGGCTCCGGCACCAAGACAAAGTCGGGCACCAAGGCGACGACGACAAAGCACAAGACCTTCGACCCACGAGACCCTCCTGGCGGCGTCGTCATGATCACCCCCTCGGCTGCGGCCGGCTCCCAGCTCTACAAGATTGGCGACCACATCACCTGGGCCTGGAATTATACCAGCATTCAGGCCAAGCCCACAGCCGTTGACGTGCTCGTCTCGTGCAAGGCCCTCACGCAGACCTGGACGCTCACGCAAAACATGACCTACACCACCCCGGCCTCATTCACGTGGGACACGGAGGCCTTCCAGACCCAGCATGTCGAGAACCCGTTGGCGGTGGAGTCGTACACCCTCCTCATCCACGACTCGGACTCCGCCTTCACCGCGGCTCCTGAGGCCGGCTATCTCGCGCCCTTCGCCGGCTTCAGCTTTGTTCTGTACACGCCGCAGCCCTACACCCCCCTTGCTAGCGGCTGGGTGTGCGCGACCTGCAGCGGCGGTGTTTCCGATATCGATAAGCGGGCGTTTGGCGCGGTGGTGGCCATGAGCGTGGTCACGGTTTTCAGCTTCACCTGGTTCGTTACCGGGTTTGGCGGACTCATTTGAGAAACTGAAACTTGAAACTTGAAACTCGAATTTTGTTTGTTGACTGAAATATGTTGATGACAAAGAAAGAAAGAAGAAAGGAAGACAAATGAGACTCCGACCTTACCGACCGAACTATGCTGAATCATGTGGATGGGGCTGGAACTGGAAGAGATGGAAAGAGGACGGACGACGGACGTGTTATGGGATGGCAGGGAAGGTGGGATCTTGGCAATCTTCTTGTAATAGAGTTGGATGTTGTTGGATGGTTGGATTTTGTTTTGCTTGAGAAAGATGAGGAGAAAGGAGTTGGCGTGCTTCGCTGCATTGCTTTTTTGGCCTTCTTTTTTTTAATCGCTAATCCCATGTTTCCCGCCAGTCAGTCAGTCACACAGTCAGTCAGCAAGCAAGCAGTACGTCACACACGCACGCACACAATCATTTGAATGGAGTCGGGTCGAGTCGAGTCTGTTTACGCGCAAAACGGCAATGGACGCGGCGTTGGTATTTATTGTCTTTGGCTTATGCTAGGAATTCCTCTTTTGGATAAAATGGAGAAGGGAAGGAAGAAGACGGAGGGGAAGAGGTAAAGAGAAGTGAAGCATAATTGTCTGTTTTGTGGGCGAAGAGGAGAAACGGCATACTAGCATTTATTCTTATCATGTTCATGAGGTCCTCAATATCAAGCAGTAATCTGACTTGATGATTCATTTCTACGTGCCGTGTGTTCTCCTGGGGAAGATCACGAAACCTGTGGATCATTATTACAGAGTTCCGCTTGAGAAAACAATCATGATGCCAGCGTCAATACGACGCTTCCCAAACCGCAAAGCATCATGCGGCCGTACTTCCACTTACCGGTACACACCAAAGCTGCAGTGCAGGTCCCTACCTACTTCTTACCGCCCAACTGGATCTGGAACAAAAACATACAGATCGCGGGTCACAGGCCGCAGGTTGCGGAAACACAGAAACACAGATGCTGCCGCCGTTCCCCAACCCAACCAGTTGAGACACTCTGTACCTAGCTACGGTACCTGGCCTGAGCTGGCTCATCCAAAGTTGTCCCGACAACTTGCGTATCGTCTTTGAAGTCCCCAACTATACTAAACGTAAGAAGACGCTTCATACCCATCATGCACGACTTCTAATTCCCTTAACGCTCAAAAGACCCCGACAAATCTCTTAGACAACTACTAGAACCGACCAAGAAATTCACAAATACGCTTGCAACTCGCCTTCGTAAAAGCTCACATAACAAAGCCCAAAATGTCCGTCCTGTCATATGTGATTGACCAATACTTCAACACCCAAACAGCATGCTAGCATGTAGAAACAAAGCCATTTCATCCCTTCCCTTCCCCCAGGGTGTCTCCCTCGTCTCCCCCGTCTCCCTCCCTCCCTTTCGTCAACCCTCCCCTCCCCTCCCCTCCCGTCCATTAACGACAACACACTGACGAACAAAACTAAACCATCCGCAAACTAAACCCCCCACCCCGCTCCTCCCTCTCCCTCCCCGCTCCAAAAATGCCCCCAACCGCAAGCGAACTAAAATCGACGATCCCGCTCTCGTTACCCTTCTGGTTTCGCTGCGGCGCATTCGGCGTCTCCCTCTTCCTGCGCCTCTCCTGCCCGGCTTTGCTGGGAAACGTAGGGAACATGGCCTCGTGTTTCGGCTTGGGTTCCTGGCGAAAATATTCGTGGTCGAGCATTTCGTGTGCTGTGGGTCTTTTGGCGGGGTTTAGAGATAAGAGGGATGCGAGTAAAGAGACGCCGGCGGTGGTGAGGAGGGGGAATTTAGCTCTTATTAAAGCTGTTGTGGTGGGGTTTGAGAAGGAGGTACTGGAAGTGGTAGAGGGCAGGCGGAGAGAGCGAGCGTTGGGTAAGCGCCGGAATCCAGGCCAGGAATCGTCGGTTGGTAAACCGCATAGTTCGAAGATTTTGGTTAGTTCGTCGACTTCATTTTTTCCTTGTAAGAGAGGCTCCCGCGTCAAAAGCTCGCCAAAGATGCAGCCTACGGACCACATGTCGATTTCGGGGCCGTAGCGGGCGGCTCCCAAAAGAAGCTCGGGGGCGCGGTACCAGAGGGTGACGACTAGCTGGGTGAGTTTCGGAGGAGGCGGATCGGGCACGTAGCGGGCCATGCCGAAGTCGGCGATTTTGAGCTGGCCTCGGTTGTTGAGCAAAAGGTTGGAGGTCTTGAGGTCCCGGTGCAGGATGTAGTGCGAGTGCAGGTAGGCGATGCCGGAGCAGAGCTGGAGAAGGAGGGTCTTCACTTCGGAGGCGAGGAAGGGCTCGGGCATGTCTTCGAGGATGGACTTGAGGTCGTGTTCGAGGAATTCGAGGACTATGAAGATGCTGTTGTGGATTGGTTAGTCTGTTATTCTGTGATGTAGAGGGGGTAGGAAAGATAAGGGAAGCGTAAGAGCAAACGTACTTCTCAATCTTGCTCGTGTCGTCGCCTACCACCACCTCCTTAAGCTTGACGATGTTCCTGTGGCTGCAATCCTTCAAGATCTGAATCTCTCTCAACCCAGTAACCGGCAGGCCGCTGCGATCTTTGGGGTCAATCTTAAGTCTCTTCAGGGCAACCACCTTGCCGGTCTCGATCTCGCGCGCCCGCGCCACCCAGCCGTATGCGCCCTCCTCGATGTCGTTAAGCTTATCGTAGTTCTCGACGCTGCGACACTTGCCAAATCGGCCACCTTCAAAGCGTAGTAGTTTGCTGCTATCATTGCTGCTGCTCGCTGTTGATGCTGCTTGTGATGGTGGTGGTGCGTCGCGGTCCGGCGAGAGTCTTCGTCGCTTAGCTGGGGGCCCATTGGCATCGTCATCGTCATCACCGGTTTGATGTTGTTGTCGTCGTTGCGCCGCCGCCGCAGCTTCAGCTTCACGCTTCTTCTTTTCGGCTTCGGCAGCTTTGCGTGCCTTTTCCGCCTTTAGGCGCTTCTTTTCTTCCTTTTCCTTCTTCAATTGGGCTTCAAGTGCGGCGTCTTCTGCGCTGTCTGCCCAACGGGACTTGCCCTTGCCTGTCATGGTTGTCGTGGGCTATCGCGAGGGTATGCTGATGATTCGAGATAGTTCGGGGCGTGATCGCGGAGGGGTTTCAATTGAGCGCGCGTCTATCGAGTCGGTGTAAGGATGTCGTGTTAAGATGCGCAGACTTGGATTCTGGCGTCTGATGCGTGGAAGAGAGATTCAAAAACTATCAAGGTTGTTTGGAGATTTCCTGGGTTAGGTGTTCGGACTCGGAGCTTGGAACACGCCATCAAAATATCTTGGCGTGCAGGTACATTTATTGGGGTTTCAGAAAGTTCAACACACACTAAGAAGCAACGCAACTGAAAACAAAGATGCCAATACGACCAATTGATTTGGATTGAAAACTGTCGAGACGGATGGGGAAGAGAAGAAGACTCCCAAGGATGAGGGAGCCCAGAATAGGTCGATGGGAATCCATGGCCAGCCCAGTTTCCGGTCGGCCATCTTGGGTTTGACTTCCTTCCTTGTACCTCCTTCTTCCTTTTGTCAATTGTTGTTTTACTTCTTAATAGAAAGTGAGTACTCGAGATAACCAAAGAACTGAGATGAGGTGCTCCTCGAGTACAATGGTGAAAACTGGACAAGACCTTGCTTGGCCTTCAAGGTCCCTCTGACTTACACGGGGCCCCACCCCCACCACAACAGCTGTCGGACAACTGTAAGCTAACCCCTGGCAGCTAGGTATTGACAGAAGGAAGGACACTTGACCGCAAAGGTTTCCAATTCCCGCCGCTGCAAGAGCGTTGCGAACCAAAAAAGATGCCGCGTCATGGCATTCGCATCGTCCCATTCTGCCCCATTTCTGAGCCGGCGGTCATGGTGGTCCCCAGGTCCCCTCTCCGATTCCGCATCGTTAGATCCGTCGAGAAGACGCCAGTGACGTTTGGCCCGCTGCCCGCCCTGCCCGCTTGCCCGGTCCGTTCCCGTGTCTGGCCATGACTTCCTTGAAGCAGGATACCTCTAGCCGATCAAACCCAATGCACAGCAATTGAAGTGGGAACGGGGAGCCAACTGATCGGTTGGAAAACAATTTTTGCGATTGCACCATTTTCCCGGTTTCTCAAACTTGATCATAGCACCAACCACAGCATCAACCGTCCAAAACAATTTGGAATTGCTGGAGACACCCACTCTGTCGCTCACCTTTTAGTTTCCGCGTACCTGACATACGACTGCATTGCGGCTCCCTTGGCCTCCAACAATTTCCCCTGGCAACGTCTTCTTTCAGTTTGCCAAACGGTCCCTTGCTCATACGGTACAGCAAGTGACTACCGTACGCGCGTCACATATTATTCTCGAATTCTTCCCTCCCTTCTTTTTTTTCTTTTTCTTTTTTTGATGCCTTCTCTTTCGTGTACAAGCAGGCAATGTACGGCCCCGCTGGTGCGCCTCCGTGACACTGCGCTTGCGCCCACTGCTGCCCATCACTTCCATCCCGCCGTTTGCGTCTCGAAACGACCCCGGAGCCAACTGCTTCCGTTTAGCTCCTCGTCTGCCGCCGCCGCCTTGTCGAGGAGGACACCTCGCCTTGAACTCCTACTGCAACGTCAATGCTTGGGGACACATCTTACAACAACAACAACAACAACAACACATAATCGCTGTTACGACACCTACTCAAACAGTCGCTCCTTCGAAGATCGCTTACGACGCTCCTTGATCCCTGTCTCCTCTTCCAGCAACCCCCCTTATCCCTCTCTTCTCTCCCAACTCCTACGACCACAAAGGAGGACAGTAACTACAACACGGACAGCAGTCATGACCACGCCCACCCAGTCTCGAGGCCACGCCGGCCACTCCCACGGCTTCGGTCACCACCACCATCACGGCGACAATGCCTACCTAACCTCCCGAAACAAAGCCGACGCCGGTGTGCGCATCACCCGGATCGGCCTCTACTCCAACCTGGGCATGGCCATCGCAAAGGGCTTCGGCGGCTACGCCTTCAACTCGCAATCCATGATCGCCGACGCCTGGCACAGCTTGACCGATCTGGCCTCGGACATCCTGACCCTCGCGACCGTCTCGTGGAGCTTGCGCCCGCCAACCGACAACTTCCCCATCGGCTTCGGCAAGGTCGAGAGCTTGGGGTCCCTGGGCGTGTCGAGCATGCTCCTGTTTGGCGGTTTCTTCATGTGCATGAACAGCTGCACCACGCTCTATGCGCACTTCTTCCTCGATCCGGCGGCCGCGGCGCAACTCCTGGAACATGGCCACGGTCACAGCCATGGACACCATCACCACGGTGTGAGTGCCGACGGTCCTAGTTTGCATGCTGCCTGGCTGGCAGCCGGTACGGTGGCCGTCAAGGAGTGGCTTTACCATGCTAGTACGTTCCCGAACCACTCCCTACCCCTTTTACATCCCCCGTTTCCTTCTCCTCCAGCGAAACCCTCACTAACACCCTGTCCCCTCAAAACAGCAATGAAAGTAGCCCGCGAGCGTAAATCCTCCGTCCTAGCCTCCAACGCCGTCCACCACCGCGTCGACTCTCTCACAGGAATCGTCACCCTCTTCGCCATCCTCGGCGCCAACTTTCTGCACAACGCCTCGTGGCTCGACCCCGTCGGCGGTCTGCTCATTTCCCTCCTGGTAATCAAAGCCGGCTACTCCAACACCGTTTCCGCGCTGTACGAGCTCGCCGACCGCTCCATCGACGACGAAGTCAAGCACTCGGTGGGCAAACAATGCCGCAAAGCCTTAGAGGGCGTTTCGGAAGGTCACGAGGTTGAGGTGGTAGAAATCGTGGGCGTCAAGTCAGGACAGAATTACCTGCTGGATATCGAGCTGGCGGTGCCCAACATGTGGACGGTGGAGGACGTCAGGGAGGTGGAGGACGCGGTGAGGACGCAGGTGGGCGCCAAGGTCAGGGGCGCGAGGAAGGTCAGGATACGGTTCGTGCCCAAGGATGAGGGGGCGGCCAAGATTAAGAAGTTTGATGAGTTTATCCCTGGGGATGTTAGCCCCAAGACTAGTCCTGAGCCGGAGGAGGAGGAGGTTATTGTTGGTGAAGGTGAGGGAAAGGAGGGGCATGATCATGGTCATGATCATGAGCATAAGGAGCATAAGCATTAAGGGAGCATGAAGTAGGTGTGAGTGTTTGTTTGATTGGTTTGGGTAAAGGGTATCTCTGAATGTGTTTATCTAGAGCGTATATATAGTACAGATCTGTTGTGTTGGTTGTGTTGGTTTGTGTTGGCGCGCGGAAAGGGGTCCTATGATAGGGGGTTGCAGCATTTGGGGTGTAGGTAAGGGTTTTGCTCGTGTATCGAGTAAAAAGCGAGAAAGAAGCGAATTTAGTTGTGTGGTTATTGTCATTCATTCCCTGTACATATTTGCTCTATGTACATATGGGGAGTTGGTTTCGCACATAGCGTCATGTTATGACATTGTACTCATCAGGCATTCGAGCTCTTTTTTCTTGGTTAACAAGTCTCTTGCATAAGATGATGAAAGTCAAATAGAATTATACCAGTTAATTCAGCTCTGGAGTTTACTTCGAGGCTACTCCCAGACCAACAAACCTCAAAATCGCTACTCATAACTGCTAAATCAATGAACGTTGTTTGACAAAAACAATGTATAGCAGATTCAACTGCCACTATATTCCCCCTCCTTTCCGTCCGCTGGGGTAGTTATCTCAACCCTCAATCAAACCTCAAACCTCAACCCTCAACCCTCACCTCTAAACTCTCGCTCATCGTTCCGCTCAGTCCGCTCCGTTCAGTATAGAAGCACCATCCATCGTCTATCATCATCATCATCCCATCATCATCCCATCATCATCCCATCACCCTAACAATCCCAGACACTTCAACACCTCAAAATGCCTTTTCTCCCAACCCCAACCCCAACCCCACCCCCTTCCTACCCCTCCACTTCTCCCTCCAAGACCAAATCCTCGACATCTCCTTATGCAAAGAAAGATTCACATCCCGTATGTTAAACGAGCTGAAAGAGCTTCTGACCGTCTCTTCATCATCGTCGTCATCTTCGCCGTCATGGTCAACACAGTCAGCACAATTCTCAACCTCAGCTACATGACACTTCGCCCACAAAGAGTGGCTATCAGCATCAGCATCAGCGTCAGCAGCAGCAGTTGGGTCCTCCTCGTCGTCGTAGACCTCCCTGACTGTATGTGCCGTATGGACCGTACGGACGTAAACCTGATCAGTAGCCGGTTCCGCTTCACAGGTTAGAACGCTTTGTGCTAAAGAGAGGACGTCGAGCCAGGTCAATTTGTTGGGAAGTTGTGCGTTGACGGGGAGGTACTTGGTTGGTACCTCCTGGGAGAGCACGGCGTCGTCTAGAACCAGGGGTGGGGATTCTGCGGGCGGGGGCGATGGTTGAGGGGGAGAGGGACATGGAGGTAGAAGAGATGGTGCAGAGGAAGGTGGAGGAGGAGGGGGGACTTTGTCGATGGCTGTTGGGTTTTGTGTTTCAGTTGGTGGTGGTGGGTTTTCGTTGTCATTGGAGTTAGAGTCAATGGTAGAGGAAAGAAACTGGTATGAGACGCCTAGTTTAAAGAGGTCGTCGGAGGATGTGATTGAACCATCTTTTGATGGTTGCAGATTGTTTGATTTGGTCGTAGAGTTTGGGTGGACTGGGGTTTGACTGATGATCTGCCCAGTCAAGTCGTTGCTAGGCGTGTTCTCGTCAGTGTAAGTGAGTGTGGTGACATGTTCTGTTAAGTGGCTCGGCTCCGGTTTATCTTCTGGCCCTGAAGATGTATGTTTTCCTTCCGACTTCGATGGAGGCTTAGGGCACGGCGCATTTTCCCGGCTCAGGACAGACTTTGCCTTCAGTTCGTGCTCCGATATCGAACTAACTTCCCTGACCAGCAAACTTTCCAACCTCGCCGATGGTCTTGCGCTCTGTGTAATCAGTTCCAAGTATGATGCCGATGCGTCTGCTGGAATTGACGGAAGTTCAGTGCTGAAGGACCGTCTTTGACTCGATGAATACTCTCGGCTCCGTGATTGTATCGGGCTCAAATGTCGAGAAAAATTGCGGACCGGGACATGTCTATTCCTAAGACCATCAGCATGCGGAAGCCGCAGCTCATATGGTTTTTGTTTCACCACGTACCCAAAGTCTTGCCAAATCTTGGGCACAGCAGGTTCAGGTTCTGTTAAAGTTAGTATACTCCAGAATCATTAACATGGGGCCCCCAGGCAAGGACCAACCTTGGAATCGAGGCTCGTAGAACATGAACTGCAGAGGCAACTCGTCGCCCCAATTCGATATCGAAGGTGCCTTTAATGGTAAGAAGGCTGGAGGAGTGTCCTGGGCCAACGTATGCGTTCCTCTTTCTTCGGTCTTGGTCCCTATCTTTGCGTCTGTATCGACCAAGGTGCTCATAGCATCTCTTCGATGGAGAGACCGTAGAAGACGTCCTCTTTTGGATGACTGCGAGGTGTTGCTAAAAGTAGGCCTTGGGATGTCATCCTCATCAACTTGAACGGTATTGCTGCCGCCGCCGACTTCCTCGTTAAGTGGGCTGGTTTCAATATTGTCGGTAATCGGATGTTTCGAGGTCGAAAGTAGTTCCCTCTTCTTCCTCCCAGCGGATTGATACTATCTTTTTCCAGACTCCTTCCGTGTCCCGTTCTCAACCCCTTTGTCTTTCGAGGGTGTTAATCGACCGAACAGCCCGGTGTTCTTGTGCTGAAATCCCAGAGTGACTGGACATTTCGAGAACCTCTCCTTCAGCGACTTGAGTGCGGGAAGTGCTGCGGATTTCGAATTGGATGGACTGTTGTCGTTCTTGAATCTCGTGAACATGGTGCCACACGGAGCCCCCGTCTTCCTGCCCAAGCGATCTGACAACGTGGGAGACGCATGTGGAACACGAATCCATGGTAAAGAATGAAAATAATTGTGTTTTGAAAACGACGGCATTCGGTCGTTGACTATGAAAACGATAGACGGGCAATAAACAGCCGGCCAGAGAAGATACAGAAGAGTGATATGTTGAAAGTTATTGTCCGAGAAGAAGCCATTGTCCTTAAATTCGGTGACTTCAACCTGATGAAGCAAGATCAACTGCCCCCAAATGGCTCCTTCCTTCGGTTGCTTCTCGCATGACTCTATTGGACTGGGGTTGAGAAAAGGATACGATAGAATCCCCAAGAAGAAGGAGTCAGTCATGAAAGTGACGTGGTTAAAGTCAAGTTGTTAGTGAGGAGGAAACCCCAAGCCCCCAACGTTCAGTTATCGGGTAAGACAAAATGGACTGGTCTGTGCTTCAGCTTTCAGGTACCTCTTGGCTCTTGGTGCTGGGCGGTGATCTGCGTTGCAGGGACCAAGGGACAATTGAAGCGGGAAGCAAAACTCCCGACGCGACACCCTACGGCAAAGAATATAGAGACACGCCTCCCGCGCCCGCTGCTCCCTTCACTCTTTACCGTCCCGTACCTTGACCTTTGAACCTTTGTCCCCATCCCGCGTAGCTTCCCTACCGTAAGAGACTGCGAACTCCAACCGGAAACTCCAAAGCATTGGCGCATCATCAACCACGGTTCAACTCCAATACCCCATCGACGCATTCTGTCCATATCCTGCGACATCACAACTATCCGCGACCGCATTTCAGCGACTAGACATTCCGCCTCGACAACCTCTTTCGACCGACCGCATTTTGTACAGCAATCCATAAATCGCCGACACAATGGGAAAAGACAGAAAGGTCGCAGAAGACTTCCAGAAGTTCATTCAGGCCGACCGCGAGAAAAAGAAGAACGAGGCTCTCGCGGCCAGAATCTTCAACAGAACTAGCACGCCCGTCTCTACCCCCAGCAGACAGACGGCCGGTGGTTCGCTCGCAAGTCGCGCCGGTGTCAAGAAGGTACGCTCGCAATTTTGAGACACTCACCTTGCGGCACTCTTAGATCGCTTCACCATGCGCTCAGAATCGTTGACCCTTCATGTCTGTTCCAGCAACGTGGCGGCGCTCCCCAGTCGGCACCTTCGAAGAACAACAGCGAGAAAGTCGGCTCATGGACCGTTGATCTTGGTCCTGGCTCAAGGTCCGCCAACAATACCCCCAAGCCCGGTGGCGCTCTTGCGGCGCGCATCACCACCCCAGGTGCTGGACCTGCGGGTAACCCCCGCCAGAAGAGGCGGGCTGCGCAGATGGCGGAGGTGATCATTAGGAATGAGTTCAAGGAGCAGTCGAATCAGCGCAACCAGCAAGGTCAACAGAGGCGTCAACAACACCAAGCCCCTCCCAATGCGCCTAAGGGGCCAGCAGCTGCGTCAGTTCCTTCAGGTCCTAGCACCAAGGGATTCACGATCAGGGGTCTGGCAGGACCTTTCGCGGTGATGGCGCAGAACTTTGCTCCCGGAACGACAGCGGCCGATATCGAGAACGCCATGACCCCCGTCGGCGGCCTAATACTCAGCTGTCGTATCATGAAGCACAACCCCATTGTGATTGCCGAGATAGTGTTTGAAAACAAGGAGGGTGCCGACAATGTGATTGCCACATTTGACAAGCAGACAGTCAGTTTTACCTAGCTCCATTTTGCTTCAGCAAGTACCAGAGAAAAGCTAACCTTATTGCCCAGGCCGACGGTCGTGTTCTCAGTGTGTATCACAAGCCAAGCGGGCCTACTTATCCCCTTACATCCCAGCTACCCCCTCTCGCACTCCCACCGGCCCCCGCTCTCACCGCTCGAACGACTACTACCCCGAGGACGACCTGGTTGATGGATCTATGGGCTTCGAAGACCCCATGGAGGAGGACGACCTGATGGGTAATGGCAACGGACGGCAGCCGCCTAGGGGACCGGCAGCCATGAACGGCGGCGGCACCGGCGGACTCTATAGCGACCAGCTGGTCCGCAACCGGAAGGGCAGAGGTTTCGATGGCAACAGCGGGAGATACTAGGACTATCGCAGGGAAGGTTCTTCGGAAGATTGAGACTGAACAAGGGTTGATGTGCGGGTATGGGTTGGTGTACCATCAATGCGCCATCACAATACGTAGTCCTTGACTTCGGACTTTGGAAGGAAGGAAGAGGAGGCTACTACAAGGAAGTAGAGGGGCTGAACAATAGACATTCTCAGGATGGTACAAGTGTGGATGGGTTTACCAACCCTGTTTGACAGGACTCTCGGCAAGGCACGGCGCACGTGGCGTTAATTCGGAAAGGAAAGGCAAGCAGGCAGGGGCTTGCCTTGTGTATGAAAGCGAAGAATATTGTACGCTTATGATCATTTTAGCATCGGTCGATGAGAGTCGGCAAATCCCTATGGATAGGGGGAAAAGAGTGTTTGATAAACACCACAGATTAGCTCTAGAGCTTTATAGCTTTATCGAGATCATGCAAAATGTCTAATGGTATCTCGTTATGCCCTATGCCAGTTGGATGCTCCATGTATATCTTCCTCCTTCCACAGCCCTAGACATTACACTAAAGTCTATATCACACCCGAATCGACCTCTCACATCCATAACATATCCTCTGCTTCGTCGTCTTCGTCATCTTCTTCTCTCCCTCATCCTCCACCGTCACAGCAGCATCCCGATAACTATCCTCTCCCAGCTCTCCCTTCCACCGCTCATCACCAAACTCATCAAGCGGCATGCTACACAGACCGCACAACCTCTCCTCATCATCCTCGCTTGCATCCCCACCAACTCCCTCCACCCCATCAGCACCACCACCACCAAACAACCTCATCAACTTCCCCGTCGTCCTCGCCACATTCGCCACAATGCTCGGATAATTCTCCTCCACATCCGCAAAATACCGAACCATGACCTCCTCAATGCTCAAATCCTTGTGCGAAACCACCGCCGCCGTTGTCGTCAGGTCGGTTTCAGGAAGTAACTCAGCAATGGGCGTCGGCTCGCCGGCAAGTTTGGTGAACGTGACCAACTCTTTGCGGAGGGCGTCGCGGAGGGGATGGTAGATTAGGATTCCTTGGTCTTCCGATGTCTTTGCCTTCGGTTTGTTGGTGTGAGAAGAGGTGGGGGAAGAGTTGGCGGGACGGGCTGAGGAAGAGGTGGGGCTGGAAGAAAAAGAAGGAACGCCCAACACCCCATCATTGATCTGCCACGGCAACGAAAAGCCTCTGCCCTTTGCCGTCTCGGAGAGTGTTAGTTCCGCCAAGGCGGTGGTGCTGCTTCCTAGAAGCAAAGCGTGGCATTTGTTCGGGGGTTTGCACGCTTCGGCGATGAGTAAGTGTCGCGTGAACAGGCGGAGGAGGTCGGTGCGGGAAGTGGTGGAGGGGAGGTTGTCGAATAACCTTCTTAGCTTCGAAGCTGTTGTTGATGTTGTCGTTGTCGCATCGTTCTCGGTTGTCGAAGAGGAGGCAGTCGCAAAATCCCCCAACCCCAACCCCTCCCAATCTACACTCCCCAGCCCAACCACCTCCTCCAAATAAACCACCCGAAACTCAAACCTCGGATACCTTCCCGCCAACCTCTTTACGCACTCCTCCACCTTTTCCCTCTCCCTCTCCCGCTCATTCCCCCATTTCCATTCCCATTTCCATTCTCATTTCCATTCCCATTTCCATTCACACCATTCCCATCCCCACCACCCCCACCAAGTCCAGCACAACTAACATGCACCACACTCAGTTCAAACGGCGGATTCTTTTTTCTGGAAACCTGATACTCCACATTCTCATTTAACAGCTCCAGTAACGCCGCCGAGCTGGGACCCAGCGATAATCCCAAAAAATAGCGGCGCGAAGAAGACTGAGGAGGACCCGAGTTTTTCTGCGTGGAGTGGTAGGCGGAGAGAGACTGCGAGGAAGAGGAGCGGACGTCTTTGTTTAGAAGACCGATTTGCTTGATGCATTTCTGGGAAATAAATTTTTGGAAGCAGGACCTAGAGGGGAGGGGGGGTTAGTATATTATGCTGTGGAAAGGGGTGGAAGGGGGATATGAATGGGGGGCGGGGGGTATGATGCGGGAAAGAGGAAGACGAACGGGCAAACGAGTTGACCGCGGGAATCGAGAGTTCCGGGCTGGGAGCGGCATTTGGCGCAGGGTTTGGTCGTTGTTGTGGTTGCAATGGTGGTGGTGGTATTGGTGGGTGGAATGGCTTCAGAAGCCGGGTGTGGTGGCGATGTTGATGAGGCCATCTTGATCTTCTCGTGGATGAGCCGATAAGGGTTCAGTAGAGGATGGTGGTTGTGTGAATGGTTGGTGTTGCTGTTAAAAGCTGTCCAGCTTTTGTTGATATAGTGGCTTTTCAAAACCCCTGACACACAATGTTGAATTCTCGAAAATCGGGCCTCGAACAAGGAGCGGGGTGATGTTGATTTTGTGAGTGTTGAGTTGAGTCACTCGAAAGGTGAATGCATGTGTGAGCAGTGCTCATTCTTTCAATCAACTTTTTGTTGTTTGCATGTGCAGTTTTTACAGGTTGAGCTCATTCCTAAGGGTTAGGGTTCTCTATTGATGATCCCCTGAAAAGGGGCCAAGGGGGTCATTGTTTGGATTATCACCACGTAAATTTACCAAGGAGCTGTGTCGTTGTTCTTGAAACTCCAAAACACGGTCAAGCTCCGACTTCTCGAATATTCTCTTGAGATGATGTCGGTGTCGTTACATACAATGTATCACGCTGGGAACTGGCAACTGTTGCTCAGAAACTGAAACTGAAAGATACAGCCAGTGCTTGAATTACTGAGAAACAAATGATCGCTGTTGAAATTTGAAAGCTCATGCTGTGAAAAACCTATACTAAAATAATGAATCATCGCTGATGTTCGCTCCCTTTAACCTATACTACAGTGCATATCTAGATAACCAACTTGAAATCATAAGACCACTTCCAAAGATTCCAAGATCTAGAGCCTTACCACCTCGCGTTACTGTTTGATGATTCTCCGCTCTTCTCTACCCTGGATAATTTGTTGGCTAACGCCCACCTGTCAGGGCCATAACGAACTTTAGAAGAAGAGGCAGAAGATAGTCCAAAAAGATGACATAGCAGAGGTTTATCCATAAACCATTCGCTATCCTCACTCAGCGCATGCTGCACAATCAAGAATCCGTATTTGAGTGTTTCTCGATACCCATTGGTACCGTTCGTTGTGTGCTTGGGGTCGTTGTTGTCATTGTCAGCTGGAGTACCGTTGCGATTGCCGTTCTGCTTGATGCCATCGCCGTCGATGATGCTGTTTCCATTTTGCCTGCCGTTGTTCTGGTCCTTGGCAGCATTGTCTTTGCCGCTGGTCCCATATTTGCCAGTGTCCTCGCCTTTGTCAATCTTCTTCTCTTCGACAATGTTCTTCTCCCCGAAAATTTCCTTGACTTCGACAATTTCCTTGCCTTTGCCCTTGTTCTTGACTTTGCCGTTGTTCTCGTCCTTGGTAGTGTTCTCATCATTGGTAGTATTCTTGTTCTCGCCGATATTCTTGTCTTTGCCGGTACTGTAATCATTCATTTTCTGAGTAAAGCCACGGCATCGTATGATGATGTAAACGCCAATATGTACCAGAACATAGAATATGAACTTGTTTCCCGGGTCCCTGTTTTCCCTGACTTTGTCAAAATATCCGTTAACGAATCCCCGGGCCACATCACCCGCGATTGGGTTGTTCTGTCTGAAGAGTACAACCAGGTCAGCCATAAACGGACCGAGGTCAAACGCCGGATGCCCTTCATGACACCCACGCCACTCGGAAACGTAAACAGATGGAGACTGCTTTGGGTCGTCTAGCTGAGTCAATGGGGAGTCCATAACATGGAGGCTATACAAAATGGTTATGTCAGTCCTAGTGTCGTTGGTGGTTAATTGACAGCACAGTCCTTGTTGCGTGCTCACCTGTGCAAGTCAAACTTTCCGTTGAGAATCTGAAAAGATTGTTGCGTTTCGTGGACGGCATAGTTTTTCTTTATCAATCCAAGGGCTTCTTCAAAAGTTTTATGAGCGTGTTTCGGAAGCTGGTGAGTGGGTCTGTTTAGCGCCTCAAAGACGGCCATGTTTAACTCCGCGGAGATGATCTCGCAATGGTCGTTGGTGAGCTCTTGGTTTCGAACAATACCCTGTAGTTTCTCAACTACCTGTTCTTGCGAGCCCCAATTATGAAAATGCCCGAGCCAGTTTCCAATATCATACCTAAGGGGGGATCTTGGCTCGAGGTCCTCCGACTGCTCCAAAAGTCGTATGTAGTCCCAGAGACTCAAGGTACCGCCACTGGGACGTTTTTCAATGACGATGGTCGTTCCGTCTTCGAACATGTGTGAATAGTCCCGCACTTCGTAGTGTGAGACGGAGTACTGAGGTAGGTCTTTTTCGTTGGGTAGAGGCATGTGATTGAGTGCCTCCCTGATAAAATGCTGAATGAGGGCACATGGTGTCAGTAGCTGTAGAATCAACAGAGCATGCCTTTCTCATGGATAATCCGGTAGGCTTGCCTGGGGGGCTCGAACATTGGGAACTCGCCCAATGTTGACCACGCATGATGGTAAGGCGTGCGGAAGCAAACCCTCTATTACCCCTTCGAATCGAAAATACTGTTTATCACTCGGTAACTCATTCTTGATGGTTATCAATATCTCCCCCTCTGTGTCACGGAACAGCCGCGCAACCACAAGGGCGGCGGTGCTGGCACGCCATTCTTCAGTAACACTGACTTTGTCGGTAGTTTCTGTAGTGGACTCGGCGGATTCGACAGACTTGGACGACCTTTCGGCGGACTTGGGGGCCATGAGGGAATATTGGGCAAGTGAAAGCTAATTATGATATAACGAGTGGAATAGGAGCTGATGAGAGAATGTGATGATTACTTGAAAACGTCCAACAGTGAAGGCATTGAGTGAGGATATGTGAATAGTACTATGTAGATGGTCACGTCGAATGCGAGCTCGACTTTGCCATTCAGCGCGCAGTCGTCGGATGCTCTTGAAGGCCTTGCTCCCATCATATGGCTTGTCTTGAGGAAGGAAGGAAGCAGGTTTAACCATTCACCAGCATCAGACAACACCTACCTCACCCAGAAAGGCAAACGGAGAAGTAACGACTCTTACCGTGGCCATGGAAACCCAAGGTGTCAAGCACAAAGGTAAGAACCTGAGGATTGTGACTGCCATGTCACCAAACGATTCACTCGTAGCAAGACTTTGACCAAACTCGGACAAAGTATGAGCCAAGAGATAAATGCGTATCCAAGCTGACATAACCTACCGACATACCAATTCTAGGCATTATTAACATTACTGCCATGATAACTGAATGGAGGTAGAAAAAGCCTCCCACTTGAGGCTTTCCGAACAGCAGCTTTCCCGAATATTGGCATGTTTGGTTGTTCGCTTCCAGACCTTCTTCGACGTTTCCTCTCTTTGCATGGTGTTTCCAGGCCAAGCGGACCAAGTAGACCAAGCATTAAAGCCAAGACGGCCAAGCTCTGGGGAAGGAGAATCGATTGGGGTCAATCGAAAAGCCAAAGAAGACCGCAAGGACCCGAGACGATGGAATCGACCAGGAACAGGAAGGGGATCCACAGTTTTGGCAGTGGTTTCCATAACGTAGCTCGGTGTGCTCCATATGTAATTATGCCTCAACTCGGTTGATTTTGATGTCGGCAATCTCGCTCCTCGTGCAATCTCCGCTAGTTTCGTCGTCCATCGTTTTCGCTCTCCGTCGTTGACGCCGGTCTCCAGTCGGCAGTTGTGTACATTGTGACACTTGCCGAGATTGGGTGGTGTGAACGTTAGTTTTTCTCAATAGTAGACATTTAGCCTCGCCATTGCGCATTTGGCGTTGCTCCGGTGAACGACTACAAGATGGACGCTGCAGTCCATTGCTGCCCGTCTGGCGTTTATGAGTGATGGCTTGTGAAGAAGGTGCTCTAAGGAAGTTGAGTGAGGTTGAGAAAGAGACAGGGGCATCTGCACGCTCCCATGCCATCTCCACCTCTTTGAATTGCTTGGGTGGAGTTCTCTCGGATCGTGGGCGGCCAGGGCGGCCAACGAAAGCGTCAAGCTTCAAGCGTTCGGCTCTAGCTTCTGGATGTCCTGGATGTGTCGCACTTGGAGCTCTGAAACCATCTCGGACCGCGACGACAATGCTGGCCTATGCAGTCTCGTTGCCGCCCGTGCTCGACAACCACTTGTTCGAGTGACACCAGATGAAGCACCAAACAACATGGACTGTTCTATCTTCGGTACTTGAAGCCCCTGATGGATCTGGATTGCCAGCCGATGACGGATTTCATTTCGATACTGCACATTGATTGAAGGTTTGCGAACAAGAGCAAGCCAAGGCACCCCCAGCTGCTGCTTAAATTTAGGTCATCGAAGCAACATGGTCAGTCCCCGCTCGCTCGTCCACCTGCCGACAGCTGTGGCCCTGAAAGGGTACGTACCGCCATGCTGCTTCATCATATCAAACATTCAATTTTCACAGTGAGCCATCATCATTAACATCACATACATGGCCGTCCACCTTGTCATACTCTACTGCCTATATTGTGTGCTACTAAGTTCAAGTCTGATATCAGTCCCCTCGAGCATTACCGTATTTTTCTCCTCAGTCGAAGGTTGACCGGAAGGTTGACTTCAAGCCATCCTCAAGTGTTTCAAAGTGTCTCGGCACGGCGAGCTCAGCCTCTGCTCATCATCAACAAAGTACCACCTGAGCCGGGAAAGATGAGACTTTTCAACGGATGAGCACAAGGGTGTGGTCGGTTGCCCTGAAGAATCTTGGAAAGTGTGCACCAGTTACCTAATTCCAGGTCAACTGCCCACTGGAACTTCAGGTCGCACCTACCAGAAACCTGCACACCCACACACATCCACTGGAATTTGCAGTGGTCCGGGTCCTGGATTTCCTCAGGTCCCATTCCTCCCTCCCTGCTGCCCCGTGAACTCCTCCTCTTCTCCACACAACTCGCGTGGGCTTCCATTTGCTAACCCGGATTGGCCGCCCCGGCAACGCTCCAGAGTCTCCACCCCGAACTAATAATTCCCGTCTGGCCTGGGTGGACACTGGTTTCGGACCTCATCTAAACAGACTCACCCAGGTTCACAACAAGTCAAACTGAATGATTTGAAGCTTCTCACGATCCAATTCCCCTACCGGTCTGCATCGCTGCTGTGAGCTGCCATCCTCCTTTTCTTTCCCTTCTTGTCCGTCTGCCAGCTGCTGCCGCCTTTGATCCGTTCGGTTGCATCTCGGCTCCCTTCACCTGCTCCGTCTTCTGCGGAGCCTGCTTGGTTCTGCTTCTGCTTCTGCTTCTGCTTCCATTTCCACTTCACTTCCTGCACTGCTCGTCAGCTGCCGCCTCACGCACGTCGCCAGTCCTTAGAGGTACCCTTGGGCTTCATAATTTCTCCATCATCCCGTCGAGGGTCGTCCTTCACTTACATTATTACCCTTTCGCCTTTTCAGCACACCACATCGCTCTTTCTCTGCTGCTGCTGCTGCTGCTACTACCGACGACGACGACAAAGACGACGACGAATAACACACACCGACAGACATCAATATCACCACGCTCACCACCAAGACCACCACTACTATCGTTACCAGCAACACTCTTTTAAAATCAAATTACATGCGCCATTCGCCATCATGACCGAAATGTACGCTCAGCCTCCGGCCTCTTCGGCTACCGCCCCACCTCAAGGCCGCCGCGTCAGCGTCGCCATTCCTCCTTCGTCCATCGCCATGCCGCCTCCATCAACAGCTGCCCGCCTAAGGAGCCATCTTGCCGGCGAGACGTATTCGCCTGTCAACCAGAACGGAAGTTTCGAGTTTGACCGTGTTATCAAGAGCGGATTATGTGCAGAAGCGCACCTCAAAAACCAAGGTACGTCTTTGGCCTGTTATGGGGATGGTTTAGTGCTGGCTGTATCTCACCATTGCGGTACAGGCTTGGAGGACTATTTATCTCGTCTTACGCCCAAACACTTTGTCCATCTACAAATCCGATAAGGAAGAGAAGCTTCGACACAAGATCTACCTGTCTGATCTGACAGCTGTCACTTTCCTCAAAGACCCGAAGCAGAAACGCCCAAACGTCTTTGGTCTGTTTTCGCCAGCAAAGAACTTCCATTTCCAGGCGCCGACTTTGCAGGATGCCCAGGAGTGGGTTGACTTGATCAGGAAGGATGCCAGGATAGAGGAGGAAGAGGAGGAGCTTTTCTTGGCCAGCCCACTTCCCCGACGACAATCCGACCTCAACTACAACGCTGCCGCCGCCGATCAGGAACGACTTGCTTCGAGCTCACCGGAACCCCTCGAGCCTCCCGTTAGGATTCTGGCGGCTCCCGGCGGAAGACGGCCATCGGCCATTGAATCTTCAGGAATGTCGGGAACAGAGCTTGCGTCGCATTCCGACTTCTCCGATTCGGATTTCCAACGGATACCGGGCCCAACAATCGAAAGTTTGACTGCGCGGTCTCAATCTGTATCACAAGCACGAGTACGAGCAGCACAGGCACAGGCACAGGGTGCCCCCATGACCCCAGGAGCGATGAACATTAGCCAATCTAGCGGCATCAACCTCGAGCAGGACCCAGATCGGATTATTTGGCAGGGATGGTTGCGATTCCTCCGCAGCAAACGTGGTGTCAAGCAATGGAAGAAATCATGGGCTGTCTTACGACCAAGGAATCTCATTCTGTACAAAGACGAATCCGAGTACTCGGTTCTCTTCGTCGTTGCTTTCTCGTCGATCGTCAACGTTGTAGACATTGATCCACTGAGCAAGTCCAAGGCCCATTGCTTGCAAATCATCACGGACGAGAAGAGCTACCGATTTTGCGCCCAGAATGAGGAGGAGCTTGTCCATTGTCTGGGTGCTTTCAAAAGCTTATTGGCAAAGAGGAGGGAATTGGAGTCAAAAGCGGCGGCGTCGACAGCGAATGCTACCACCGACCATCAGCCTCGCCCGTCTGCATGATTGGTCGAGGCTGTTTCACATTGTATTACTGGGCGAACAAAAAAAAGGGGCTCCTTGGCGGGTTTCTGGAATTGGAATGGTGTTGAACGGGCATGGTTGGACGGATGGACGGACAGACACACATTCGTTGTTTATTGTTTACATTTTGTTTGGCGGTTTCTTCGAAATACCCGATGCGACGACGAAGCCCGGATAGGTTTCTCGTTTCATCAAAACTAACCCTTTTTACTTTTTGTTCTCTGTCTGGCCTGCTTGCGGCTTCTCACTAAAGCACGGTGCTAGCCGAAATTCAGGTGTTCATAACAGCGGGTTTGTTGTTTTCATTCTTTTCTTGTTCGTCGAACCCGTTGTTGTTGTTGTTGTTGTTGTTGTTGTTGTTCTTCTTGCATTCATGTCACCACTATCGCCTACTTTGGAATGAACTTTACGACTACCATGAAGGAAGCAGAAAGAAGGGGGCACACACGCGCACACACTTTGTATGTGTACATAGCACAATACTACTTACTTACCCGAGCTTTGGTGTTGGTTATATCCAAGAAACTGAGCGTCTTCTGCTCTGATGTACAAGGAGACGAAAATAACGGGCGACGCACAACAATGGTACACAAGCAGAGATGGGAATGATCAATCACACTGACTTCGAGAAACTGGACTTGGAAATATCATTCAATTGCCCGTCAGACCCTGACTTATTCAATGACCGCACTTGAACTGGTGGTACTCGGTCACTCGGAGTCTGAGAGATCGTATGACACCAAAATGGGCAAAGCAAGCTAGATGTAACCTTGTTTAAATGGAGTTTAAGATTAACTCTCACAACCGTGGAAGGGCCACACAGCGGGCTACACAGCAGTGTCGAGTGGTCATCGTCATGTGAGCAAAAGGTGACAATTGACGACCCTTGGTCTGTCACCTTGAACGCGATGAACGGACGCAAGGAGCGAACAGGTTCATAACATCTGGGAAGGGGAAAGATAAAAACTTCATCATTACTCTTGCATTCACATTTACACCTACCTACATGAGATGCCATACCTATGCAGCTAAGCAACAAGTAGCAAGATGCAGGTGTACACAGTAGGTGCAGGTACAAAGCATCGTCGTGGAAATTACAAAATAAAATGCACGGTATGACGGTATGACGAACAATGTCTCTTTTTAGCTTCGGTAGCTTGCAAAGCTCAATGCTTGAATTGGACAAGCTTTCTCTGATGTGGGTTTGGGGCAGTTGGGATTGTTCAATGGCGTCGAATGAAAGTGTGTGAAAGTGTGTGGAAAAGGGTGATCTGCCGGTGATCGACATGAGCCTTTCTTCCAAGGCTAGATCAACTGTGTGTTAGATAAATACATCTTTTTGCAAGTGGACATACGGGAATTGGAGGTGTGTTACCAACATATTTACGAAGATTCAGGGAAGCTGGGAAGTCAATAACCATAGGAGGTGGAGATCATGGTTATGGTCATGATGTTGCGATTGGCGTTGGCGGTGACGACAAGAGACGGGATACGGGAAACGGGAGACGGGAAACGGGAGACGGGAGTAAAGAGATGATGATAAAGGCTCGACGGACTTTCAAATGCATATGACAAGTAAGAATAACAAATGAAGGTCGATTTGATCATGATTTTCTTTGTAGAGGTAATTGACGTACGTTGCTGTCGTCGTCGTCGTCGTCGTCGTCGTCGTCGTCGTCCTCGCCATCGATTTTGTAGCGATGGTGTCATGTCCGCCGTTTACCCTGCACTTTCGTCGAGCTCCTCAAGCCATTCGTCAAGCCAGTTCCTCAAGCCCTTCCCGAACGACGATAAGCCTGGATGTTACCCAGGCGCTGCCTCGCAACAACAACATACGTATTGAGAGAGAAGACATTGTAAACAGCATTAACCGCCATAGCAACTTGGAGCATGTGCTGGGAAACTTAATGGTGTTGCTGTACACTCGTTGTTCATTGTTAAGAGAGAAGGGGAGAAGGTATCACCAAATTGCTGCTTTTGTGTCGCCCACTAACTTCAGGTTAGGTACCCTGAGTCCTGGAAAGGTGTCTCGCGAGCTTCAGGCTGAAATTGTGGTCTTCAGAAGACCGACCAACCTAAGGACCACAGGGATGAGGATGAAAATGGGAAGAGGTGTTGCGTAAAGTTGCCTTATCATCTTTGAGGCGAATGTGAAGCGAAGTGGGTGGTGGAAGAACCGTGGTCCTGGTCGTTTATTTGGCTGCGGGACTCATTCAACGTTCCTTGGCACATGATCCCGACAAAGTTACTTTACCTTCTTTACCTGATCAATGATGGGGAGATTACTGTGTAACTGGGCTCTTGAATAGGCTACCAGTCTCATTCACCTATCTCGCTTCTATGGTTCACGAATACCATGACGTCGGCCCCTCTCTTTGCTTCTTTTGTATCCCATGCCATACCTATATGTATCAAAATCCCATCGCTGCCACCTTCCTCTCGTTCGACAGGTCCTTGGACGTGCCTGACCGGAGTCGCTGTAAAGATGTCCCCGACAGCGCGCATAAACCCCAAGTGGTATCGTATCGTATCGTATTTCCCCACCATTAAAAAGCCATCACAAGAAACGCCATCCATTCGTATTCCTTTAGCCGCCTTCGCCTTCTCTTTCCGTATCATGTCTTTCTCCGTTCAAGTATCGCCCTGAGCCTCAGTGACCTTCTCAACTTGACCGTACTCCTCAGCCTCCCTATGCTTCTCCTCAACTCCTATCCAATGCTTCCTGTAACGCTCGACCGCATCCAAAGTCTCTTCCCTAAAAGTTGTAGTAATTCGCGCTGTCAAACTCCGTGTTCTGCGTGGTATCATCGCCGCCACTGCTGAAGTAGAGATCGTTGAAGTTGCTGTTGTCGCCACCCTCCCCGCCCAGGTCGTAGTTGATGTCCTCCATGTTGTCCATGCTTCCTGATCCGAGGTCGAAGATTTCCGCGTTGGACATGTTAGCGTCCTCTCCTCCTCCTGCCGCCCCGTTGGCTGGGGCGTTCGCAGGGACGGGTGCTTGGTGGCCCATGTTCAGAGCGGGTGGGTGTGCGGCATTGGTCATGTTGGCGGCTGGTTGGTGGTTCTGTTTCGGAGCTTCTCCTGGGCCAGGCGCCAGGGAGAAGGTCATGTTTGTGAAGAGGGCTTCGGCTCCTGGTGCTGGGGCTGGTACTGGTGCTGGGGCTTTGGCTGTAGCGGGAGGTGGAGCGTGGAACGTCCCTTGAGGTCCCTGCGTTGGCTGAGGTGGTTGTGGCCCTGACGTCGCCTGATGCGGAGACTGGTTCGGCATGCTAATGTGATTAGGCGGCGCGGTCGGTCCAGATCCCGGATTTCCACCATGAAGGGCCGTAGACTTGGCGTTTTGAACTGGATGGGAAATATGGGGCGCTGCGCTTGCTGATCGGGGAGCCTGTGATGCTGCGGTTGCCGCATGTGCTAGTCGGGAGGCTTGACCTGGCGGCACCTTGGAATCCTTCTTCGGAGGTGCGCTAACAGGGCGTGCGGCACCCGGTCGAGGCGAGTTCTTGGGATTGGTCTTTACCAGCTTCGGGCTCGGGGAGTGCTTGGCCACGGGAGACGCGGTGAGATCGAGCCCCATATCAGGGATGGGAGCCACCGACTTGTTAAGAGGCGGCTTTCCAGGTTGAGATTGAGGAGGGCTAGGACCTGCCGGAATACCGACAGTCATGGGGGCCATTGGAGCCATTGGAGCCTTGGGTACCTTGGGACCCATGGGCGCTGTCGGGGCCGGGAGTGACGCCGGCTTTGGTGTGGGTACCGGTACCGGCGGAGGATTGCGCTTTTCCCGTACTTTGTTCAGATCCCTCAAGATGGCGGCCTTGGCCTGCACCTTTTTCTTCAAGTTAGCCTGTGGCTCTGGTCAACTGTTGCGTGACAAACTCACGATCTCGATCTCGACCTCATCCAGGGTAGCATTGAACTCCTCAATATTGTACTGGATACGGCTGTTATTCGTAGTAGGCAACTCGGCAACCGAGCCGCCACCTTCCTTTGCCAGGGCTTTGAATATCTTGCCAGTTTCAACAAGCTAGAACCGGCATGTTAGTCCGGTCCGGTTGAATGTGAAGATGGGGACAGTTGTGCTCACCACATTGTTGTACAGCCGATCCAACTCGTCTAGGTTGACGTTTGGCCTCGTGGGGGCTGGGGCGGTCATTTTTGCAAGCCGATGATGCAAGCAAGCGAGGTTTAAGGGCGAGTCTCTAGGAATGATTAGGATCGGCCGGGTTGTGGTTGAGTTGCCTTTCCTGTGCGGTAAAGCGGATGCACCTTGCTAGTCCGGAGGTGTGACAATGTTATGGTCGCGCAGCAAAGTTGGATGTTGGCGTATATAAATCCCGGGGAATTGTTTGGTTAGCGTGTGGGGAGACAAAGGGGAGTCCTCCGGGGTCAAGGGAGTCCACGCATTAACAATTCGTGTCTCGCTGCGAGTTGCTTTCAGAGAACACAATCAGGGATGGAGTATGTAATGGATATGATGTCTGAACTTTTCAGGTTCGATGGAGCTATGACCTCGACTCTGATCCGGTGAAGGGTTAATCTCTGGGTCAAGGTTCTGCGTGACTTGAAGTGAAGATTGTCGAGGATCGAAGCTCCAGTGAAATCCTGGGGTTGAGGAGATGTACTGAATAGAAGGAAATTGAAATAAATGGAAAGAATGACAGGATGTTGCACGGTTCAGAGGTAATAACCGAACGTGACTGCTCTGCACTTTGCAGTGTCTGGTTCTAGCGTCGAAGTGTGCAGTCGGGTCCCTGGAACCTCTGCGCGGTTGAGGCTCTTTGTGGGGTTGAGAAGCGTGGATGCCTTGACCGCCAGCGTGCTTCCCCAAGTTGGCCCGGTCTTGTCGTTCGTTGAAATCCAGGGGACAGGCCCAGAAAGATGGAATCACAAAGATCCAACAAAAAAAACAACGTTGCAATGGGGCTGTCCGTTTAAGCTTCATCTGAACCACCAATTGCTGTCTTTTCAGCAGTTACACAACTGGAGTTCTGGCAATCCACTCAATCTTTCCCCACCTACAATGGCAGTATTGTTACTTGACTAAGTTTAGTGCATGCTGTCAACACTTGGATTTTATCTCGGCGGGCAACAACTTATTGTCCTTAAACGACGGCTGCCACGAACCCCTTCTCTTGGTATTGATTTCTGCCATGACCGCTAGATGGAATCATTGGACTGTTGGGACCTTCACACCGGACATATATCTAACCCTTCATGCACACAATGATAGTGTTCGGCGATGACGGATGGGCCCAGCTGGCCGTTCCGCCCTGCTCCATTGGCACGTGTTGGGCGGACTGTTGAGATGAAAAGGGCGAGTCGGGTCATGCAGTGGCTGCAAGTATTAGCCCAGTCTAACCACGCGTTCGACCATCCTTCTCCAGAAAACAGATCCAGGGTGAAGAACGACAGGAAGGTTTCGGTTTTCATCTCTCACCAGAGTCGACAATGTTGCAAAAGTGGCATCGCCAACTGCCCTAGGAAGTCGAAGTGGCATGTCTTTTGCCAGTAATGAGGTTGTAGGGCTGGCGGACTATACACTACTTTCGGTTCAAAGAACACGCGGCGGGAGGGACAATGCCAGGGTCAGCGCAGTCGCATGGATGATCTCGAGGGGAAAAGGAAAGCTTCCAGTTGGAGAATGGAAGAGGGGACCAAACCGAAGGCCTGAACCTTGAACCTCCATTCCATCTTGGGGATCAATATCTTTGTGGTTGGCTACCTTGGCGCCTTACCTCCAGCCCCCGGGCCGTCAACCAACAACAACCTCCTCCCAACCCCTCTGTACATCCCTACAGCACTGAGGTGCTGAGGTCTGGTATTCTGCTTCTACGATCAGAATTATGAGAATAAGTACAGACAACAGGCAAGTTGATGGACCGGAATATCTGCCTATATCACTTGGGTTTCTCGTATCTGTTGTTCTGAGCTATAAGCAGGTACCTACCTTAGCGCCTCGTTGGCCAATAGTCTCGATACTTCCCGTCGAAAGGAACCGCATGCGGCGGCGTCCATTTACTCCACCAGAGAGATCCCTTGATTCCCGTCTTCAGACTCTCCTATACCATGCCAACACCAAAAGACACCCAGAACCTCGATATATTTCTTTCCCTTTGAGATTGCTATAGCAGGTCGCATTGGTAGCTACCGAAGAATGGGGTTTTGATCACAAGGATTTGTTCCTAGAGGAAGACTGTGATGGCCAGTCTTTATACCTACCGACCTGGGTCGCTTGTGCCCGTCCACCCGGACACGGATGCGAATTGGAATCGGCCGGTCAGCCCAGCCCGTGATCCAACCTGGAGTTCGTCCCGCCCCTCCTCCTCCGCTCTGCAAAGGTGTCTTTCTGTCCCCTTTCCTCGCGTCTCAGTGGCTGCCTGTCCGCCAATCCCACGACGATGGCACCATCAAAAATCCCCGTCTTCCCCTCCTCGTCGCAACTCTGATAGCTCCCCCGTCTCGCCCTCCAGGCTTCTTCTCAGCTCCAAAAGTCCCCCCTTCTCCTTACATTCTTCCACCGAACAACACCATTGCAGAAGAGGCCCAGACAAGTCATCTCTTCGGATCGGGCTGTTGTGAATCTCGGGGAATCTCCTTTTGGTTTTACGGCCGTTTTCCATTTCATCCCGTCTTTCTTGAACTATCTATCTCACTGTTTGGTTCAGGTCATCACTGCAATTCCCCTTCTTCTTCTTTATTTTCCCTTGTCGGTGACTGGACCATCGCCAACCCATCATCCCTGTCCTCCTTCGTTCGCATCAAGCCATCCTCGTCCCCCGTCTCCGCATCGTCATCGTCCCTGGCTTCAGTTGTTGTCGCCGGCTCACCCATTACGATTGCGTATCTTCTAGGCTCTCGATACACGCCGGAATCTCCAGCTATTTATCGGCAGTCTCATTGACGTTGGCTCCTTCATCTCGTGGGCGCAAACTTTGTCTGTGCACCCAACGCCAACGGCCTGCTACTCTCAGCGAGTCCGCTCCACCGAACGGCCTCCGTTTGCCATCCTATCTTGCGCTACCGCTTGCGCCCTCCCGCCTGTAACTAAAACGAGCTTACAAGAACGTGACCGAGACTCGAGCAATCTTCTTCCGTCGTATCTTTCGCGCGGGGTCAATTTTTGGCAATACATAAGAAGTCTGCTTTCTCCCCAAGTGGAAGTTTGATCGGTTGGGTCTTCAGGTTTCTTCTCCTAGCAAGCTTCATCCAGTTTTCAGTTACAAGTTCGCTGGAAAATAGCAGCAGTCGCAGGCACCCGTCTACGATCACCCACTGCACACTCACCCCCAATCGCTCCAACAGCTGCTCATAGTGGGGCCTGCTTCGCCAAGGAGGGTCTCTGCGCTGCTCCTTCCCCCAATCATCGCCATCGCCGCTGTTCGTTGATTTCTACCACCAGATCCCTCGACCATTTTCCGACATGGCTGACGCTGGCCCGCCTCCCACCACCGGACAGCTCCCCCCTCCACCTCAACCAAACGCAGGTGCGCCCGGCTACGAGAACGGTCAAAACAACAACTCGAATCCCGCACATATGCCTCCCCCGCCGCTGCACATCCCGCAAAACACCAATCCCATCCCTACGGCGATTACGTCGCCCATGGGTGGGAACGGTGATACGAGCGGCATCATGTCGCCCACCAGCGCCGGCAACCCCTTCGGCCGCCGCGCCGCCCCCGAGCCCAACAAGCGCGCTCTCTACGTCGGCGGCCTCGACCCCCGCGTCACCGAGGACGTCCTGCGACAGATCTTCGAGACGACTGGTCATGTCCAGAACGTCAAGATCATTCCCGACAAGAACGTGGGTAAACCTGGCTCCCCCGAGCAGCCGCACGTTAGTTCATTTTTCACATCGGCCTGAAATGGCTGTCAGTTCGAGTCCTTGAGGCCCAAGACATTCCGCTAACAGACCAGGATGCACAACAGCAAAAGGGCTACAACTACGGCTTCGTTGAGTATGATGACCCCGGTGCGGCTGAGCGTGCAATGCAGACGCTCAACGGTCGCCGCGTGCATCAGTCCGTAAGTTACTACTTGGATCCTTTGGCCACGATCCCATAGCGCAGAGCTGACCACCGCAAACCATGCAGGAAATCCGTGTCAACTGGGCCTACCAGTCCAACAACCAGAACAAGGAGGACACCTCGGGCCACTTCCACATCTTCGTCGGAGATCTGTCCAATGAAGTCAACGACGAGGTGCTGCTTCAGGCCTTCTCTGCCTTTGGCTCCGTCTCCGAGGCTCGTGTCATGTGGGACATGAAGACTGGTCGCTCCCGCGGCTACGGCTTCGTTGCTTTCCGTGACCGTCCTGATGCCGAGAAGGCTCTCAGCTCCATGGATGGCGAATGGCTCGGATCGAGGGCTATTCGTTGCAACTGGGCCAACCAGAAGGGCCAGCCTTCCATTGCCCAACAGCAAGCCATGCAGCAGATGGGTCTTACTCCCACTACTCCCTACGGACACCACCATTTCCCTACCCACGGAGTTCACAGTTATGACATGATCGTCGCCCAGACTCCTGCTTGGCAGACGACCTGCTATGTCGGCAACTTGACCCCTTACACCACTCAGAACGACCTTGTTCCCCTCTTCCAGAACTTCGGCTACGTTGTCGAGTCTCGCTTCCAGGCCGACCGCGGGTTTGCTTTCATTAAGATGGACACCCACGAGAACGCCGCCATGGCCATCTGCCAGCTTAACGGGTATCAGGTTAATGGTCGGCCTTTGAAGTGCAGCGTGAGTAATGCCCCTTAATCTTGGACAGGGACATTACTGACTTTTCATATGTAGTGGGGCAAGGACAAGACGCCCAACCCTCAGCAGTTTGACCCCAACCAGCCCTATAGCCCTCAGAGTGCCCAGACGCCTGGTTACCCCGGTACTCCTTCGACGTACTTTAACCAGTATGGCAGTGAGTATTGGCTCCGTGAACAGGTTCCTGCATGTCGGCCGCTAACGTACAAAGTAGACTCTTACCCTGGCCAGCAAGCCAACTACAACGGCCCCCAGGCTCAGTCACCTGCCGGCTACGGATCTCAGATGGGCTACAACGGCCCGCCGAGCGCTGGAGGCTATGGCCGTGGTCAGCCCGGTCCCAACGCCCAGTGGAACCAGCCGTCCCCAGCCCAGAACTTTGGTAACGGGTTTGGTGGCTACCAGGGGTAGAAGCCTAGAAAGCTCGGTGAGCAGTTGCCTGTTAGTGGTCACAACGTGGGCCACGTCTCTTTTCCGTACTGTTGAAACGCCTTTGCTATGTCATGGTGGAAAAGTTAATGGCTTTCTCAGCTCCAACTAGAGGTGAGAGGCTTTGCGGCTGCATTCAAGTTGGGATGGTTCTTTTTCACACGTCCAGAATGGAGAGAAATCCTCGCTCAAGTCCGGTTGATCAAGGACTGGATTTTGGAACTGGAAGTCATTTTGTTGGGAATTTGGGAGCCTGCCTTCTTTATTTCTCTGGTCTCATGTATCACTCACTGTTCTTCCCTTTTTCTTTTATCTCTCGTCCGTCAAGTTTTCGAATGCGTTTTCTTTCTCGCGCTTTCTTCTCTCTATCTTCGTTTCTCTGAGTGATTCCCCACGGGTCAATGGTCCTTTCTGCGAGTTCTTCTCCGTTTGGGTTTTGTGTAATTTCCTTCAGTTTTCTCTCTCCTCTTTTCTTAAGCTACGATTGAAACGTCTTATCTTACTCTCTTACGTTTGCAAGGTCTTTCTCTCTCGTCTTCCTTGATGATATGTTTCCAAACTGTTTTCCAGCGCTGGATACCAGATTTCACTCTCAAGTTAAGTCAGTTCGAGGTCTTTTACCAGAATGCATCACGACCAGATCTCTTCTTCCCTTTGGCGGCCTTTCAACTTCGTCTGCTTCAGCATCTCCTGTCCATCTGTACGCGATCTTTAAGGCGGCATCTTTCTTCCGATATACCCATTGCGCGTTTCCTACCTGTTTGTACTCGTGGTTCCTTGGATGTTTCTTTACAGATACCCATTTCCCACGTTGCGTTTTCCGGTATGCGATATTTCATCTCATCTCACGTAGCACCACGTCCTTCAAAATGTACGCTATACCCTTGAAGGACTTAGTAAATGAGGAGGACGGGCTTGTACGGGGTCCCTGCACCGAGTTGGCGATCGAGCAAGCCTTCCGATCACGGTTTGAAACTCTGGGCTGGAACCAGACGTCGTTGGTAACCAGCGGCGGGGACGGTTGGTTTGTCAAGATGGAAGATGGAGTCACAGTGATCGCCCCGATCATAACGGGACGTAAATGCCGTATGCCACGCGTGGCAATCATGCAGTAGGTAAACGGGACGGGACGAGACGGCAAGGACAAAAGCCATTCAGTTCCTCTTGGGGCTTCCCACGTGGGCTCTGACCATGTGGTGATAGCGGAGCAGACTGATCGATGTCCTGCTGATCGAGCGCAGTCGTTCGAACCGTTCAAGCCGTCTTGTCTTGACGGTTCACCTCGAAACACGTCTTCTGCCCGCATATGAAGGCAAGCAACAAATGCTAACCCAATAGTCAACCTAACCAATCCTCAATGGAGATGAATTGACATACTCTGAAGCTTCAAAAGTTGGTTATTTTCAATGCATGGCCCAGAGGAGCTCGGCGCTTACATCGATCTAGCCCCATGCCCAGAAGGAGGTTGTGATGCAACCATTGGCGCTTACCAGGGTTAGGGTTTGCAGCTGGTAAATGTAACATCCTCACTGGGCTTGTTTGGACAGCAACAAGTTGATGCCCAATCCCAATCGATCCATGCTCGCCGAACCAAACCAAACCAAACCATCCATGTCAATCTCACATGCCTTGCAATCTTGCCTACACCTATCCGTGTTATACGCAATGCGCGAAATTCTTTTGAATCTGACGAGGGAAAAGAGCTGAGTGAGGTAAATATCGGTTTGGTTTGTTTCTCCCAGTTTTGTCTCGTCTCGTCCCATACAAGTATGGATGGGTACGTATGGTTGAAGTAAATTGGTCTTCCGCTTGAAACGAGACACGGGACCACCGGGAGGAACCCCGATACATATTAAGCACATGTCACAGAAAGCGAATCTCAACGGCTCGATCTGGTCCAGAGAAACCAGAAACCAGAACAGGACTCGGGTTTCCGTTGGTACTACTGTCAGCTTGACAAAAGCGGTGCGGGCATTTGGAATACCGGTACGTAGTCATTGGGCCACGCCGCCACGACTATGTGAATGATATCCCGCAGTTTTTTATCGGGTTATCGGTTCGTGATGGTGTATGGCATTTGCTTGCTTGCTTCCTAGACTGGATGGGACGAGACGAGTGAACCTGGGCTGTTGGGTGGTGGGCTTTGGTGGCAGGTGGTCATATCGTTGGTTTCATTGCTGATCGCTTGAACATCCTAGGATGCCTGGATGGGTAGAATGGGCAGCGATGATGGGGGCTCAGGGCTGCTTGCAGTGAGAGTGTGCAGTGTCACAACACGCCGTTGACTGGAAGTTAAAACACCACCTTCTGGAGACTGGAGTCAATCTCCTCCCCACTTTCTTTTTGAATATTGACTGCCAATGACCCGCATCATGAATGATCTCCAGTCCATCGGGCTCTTGGAGGTCTTGGTTGTTTGTTTGCAGCTCTCCACTGACGACGAGAACGTGCGCCAAGCCTTTTTCTGTCCCCGATTATTCCATGCCAACCTGAGAAAACCATGAGGCATCGATCTCATGTCACTGTAGAGGTATGACCCAACAGCAAAGTTTGCGAGAAGGGAACTTGAAAGGAAGGGATGGATGCGGTCGAGAACTCCCGAAAGCTGTGTCAAACACCGCAGCACCGTTGGCGCCAGAGGGCGTTCGTTCATGGTGATCTTTGTGGACGGTGTTTATTGGTGTTAGTGTTTACCATGTTGTTTTATTAGCATCAGCCTAACAGTACCTGCTTGACATGGCCAAGAGCAAGCATGGATTGGGATGTTTCACCTCATCTCACCATAGCCGCTTGCGCTCTGCACTTTACTGCTTCTCACAGCCAGCTACAGTAGCTGCACGTCCACAACGAGCGATCCTTCTCAAATTGGAAAGACACAAGAAAAGACGACTGAGGTGCACATGAATTGGAAGCGCCCGCAGGCTCCAATCAATCAGGCCAGGAACCCGGGCTAGGAATATGCTGCTATCCAACCTGCACTGCATTTTCTTGCATACTACCTACATTGAAAGGTAATTCCGATTTCTAGTCCAGGTTTGTCACTTTTTGAGTCTCTGGTTGGGATTGAAAGACTCTCACTACCTAGACGGGAGTCTTGAGGTCAAAGTCGTTGTCGTCGTCGTCGTCGTCGTCGTCGTCGTCGTCGTCGTCAGCAACTTAGAGCAAAGGGCTCCATTTCCACTTAACATGACTGACACTGGAGTCAGACTTAAAGACTCTCACCAGCCGATTCATCCATCTGAATCCTGTACCCTGTTCGTGCATATTCAGAACGACGGGAATCCTTGAATGCCTAGAAAACAGAAATCCACCGGCCATCACGAGCAACCAGAACAACCGCCTACGGATCGGCCTCGACGGATGTCCCGTTGTTTTGCACATGGTAGTTCGGTTGCGAACGACTGCGATTTTCCTGCCGTACTCTACCCGTCTACGTACCTCTAGGTCCAGCCTTTTTGGGCGTGACTGCTTGCTCACTCTTCGTTCTCCTCCTGCATTCTTCGACTTATCTCCGTCCTATAGTGTACAGCTGGAGAAGCAAGCGAGGCTCATTTCACTGGCGTCTCTCCCTCCTACCTGTGACACCTGCGACACCTGCGAGCTGCGACGTACCTTTCTACTCAAACTGTATGAACCCTGCCCGTGTCCGGCCCGGACAGCCAACGGCCCCAAACCATCTTTCCTGTCTCTTTCTGCCCCGTCCGTCTCTCAATCAGATCGTCCAACGAACCCAACCGCGTCTAGGACCTAATCCACATCCACCAGAACAGCCCACCACAAACAGACAGCTTTCACTGCCCGAGCTGAAAGGAAGGAACCCATTTCGGACCTCGACTTTTTAATTCAGTTTACCAGGGATTACTTGGCATTCCTACCTGAGAGAATAGGTTTATTCACAGCGCCTTGGCACCGCTTGGCCCGCTTTGCTCCTTTGCGCTTTGCCCTCCCCGTCAGTCCCCGTCCAGGTTGTTGCGAGCAGAGAGCGGGTCTTCTCGACGGCAGCAGGGCAGGGCACTCTCACCTTACCTGCCAGAACAGTACCAGTCTAGTCCTCTAGGTACAGAGTCTAGCAGAAGGTAGCCACCACCCAGGGCACTGCACTCACTGCACCACCCAAGCAGGCAGTCCGCGGTCCGCACCTCCATCATCAGGCCCACACCTGTGACCTGCCACCAGCCAGCGACCCGAGTCCGTCTGTCTCTTCGAAAGCTTCAAACCTCCCTCCTCCTCTCCTCCCCTCTCGCGACGACGACGACACCGGCCACCGCAACAGAGTCCACTGCCAAACCACACCACCAAGCAACAACCCCAAGTCCGTTCCGCGAGCTGGCCTTCGCCCTGCCAGCAGCCATGGAGCAGCAATGGCAACCATACTCCGACTCTGCCGCCAGCGGCTCGTCCAGGAGATACAACAACGGCTCCGGCCAAATGTCCATGTCTCCCCGAGACTACACCAACAACGGTCAGGTCCAGGCCCAGCAGCAGCAGCAGCCGCAGCCCGGATTCAAGTATGATCCGTACCAGCAAGGCATGAACCCAAGCGCGCAACCGCAGTCCTCCTCCATTTCCCCAATGACGTCGTCCCAGTCGTCGCGCGACGCCAACGGCGACGTTTCCATGCAGGATGCCCATGATCAATACTCGTCCCAGAATCCTTCCATCAAGTACCCCCTGAGGCCGCATCACTCCCTCTCCGGTGGTCGCCCCGCCAGCCTCAGTACGTCCCAAGAGCCATCTGCTGCCGCCCAGCGATATTCGCCCATGGAAGCCCTCTCGCCTGCCTCTCAATACCCCAAGGGAAGCCAGTTCTCCCCCGCCCAACGTCAATCCCCTACGCGACCGTCCGAATATGCCCCGCCGCAATCACAGCAGCAGCAGCAGCAACAACAACAGCAACAGTCACAGAACCCCTACTACGCTAGCCGTCAAGCATCCCAACAGCTCCCTCCCATCAACCCATACGCACCCGCTCAACACGATCACAGCTACCCAAACTCGGCCGTCAGCACTACCATGGACGGCTCCTTTATGGACCCCAAGTCGCCGCCAAGGCGCATGAACTCTCAGTCGCAACAGATGCCCATGCCCGATAAGACCCCAGTCCCCGAGTTTAGGAAAATACGAGGACCCCAGGACCTGCGACCAAAGACTAATAAGCAACCGGCTCATCGACGAGCTAACCCGGAAGGCGGCTTCATCAGTGTATGTACAAGTTGCGTTTGTTGTGAAAGATGGCTTCAGACAGCTTGCTAACGAACCACGGTAGCCCCTCCAAGCGCTAACAGTTCACCTCCCCGCCACTTACCGAATATGCAACCCCGGCTTCAAGTACGAGTCGTCTAGGAACCCTCGGCGCGTTCTGACCAAACCTAGCAAGGGGGTTAAGAATGACGGCTATGATAACGAGGACAGCGATTACATTCTCTATGTGAACGATATCCTGGGCTCCGAGGAGGCTGGTCACAAGTATGTTGCTACTGCCCACCACGAACCGAGAAGCAGTCACTTACATGGTTGTACCAGGAACCGCTACCTGATTCTCGACGTGCTTGGTCAAGGTACCTTTGGCCAGGTCGTTAAATGCCAAAACTTGAAGACACAAGAAGTCGTTGCGGTCAAGGTCATCAAAAACCGAACAGCTTACTTCAACCAGAGTATGATGGAAGTATCCGTTTTGGATTTGGTTTGTCCCCCGCCTAGTTGACTTGTGTGCGACGGCGCGCTAACCTCCTGCTTAGCTCAATACAAAGCTCGACAAGAACGACGATCACCATCTCTTGCGACTAAAAGATACCTTCATTCATCGGCAACACTTGTGCTTGGTCTTCGAGTTGCTTAGTGTCAACTTGTACGAGCTGATCAAGCAAAATCAGTTCCGAGGCTTGAGCACGACACTGGTCCGCGTCTTTGCGCAGCAGCTACTGAATGGCCTTTCCCTACTCAACAAGGCGAGACTGATCCATTGCGACTTGAAACCCGAGAACATTCTTCTGAAAAACCTCGAGAGCCCGATCATCAAGATTATCGATTTCGGATCCGCTTGCGACGAACGACAGACTGTCTATACATACATCCAGTCCAGATTCTATCGATCGCCTGAGGTCTTGCTTGGCTTGCCCTACTCTTCGGCCATTGATATGTGGTCTTTGGGGTGCATTGTGGTCGAACTATTCCTGGGTCTTCCCCTCTTCCCCGGTTCTTCTGAATACAACCAAGTGTCGCGTATTGTCGAGATGCTCGGAAACCCTCCAAACTGGATGATCGAGATGGGCAAGCAGGCAGGAGAGTTCTTCGAGAAGAGGCAAGATGAGTTCGGCAGGAAAACCTACCATCTGAAGTCTATGGAGCAATACTCTCGGGAGCATGGCACGAAGGAACAACCTAGCAAGAAGTACTTCCAGGCCAACACGCTGCCCGAGATTATCAAGACGTACCCGATGCCGAGGAAGAACATGAAGCAGTCGGAGATCGATCGAGGTGAGTTAGGCGCAATTGTTATCTCTGTGCTCTGAAAGCTGACAATGTGCCAGAAATGAACAACCGTATCGCATTCATCGATTTCGTCAGGGGTCTATTGACAATTAACCCATTGGAAAGATGGTCGCCTCAGCAAGCCAAGCTACATCCTTTCATCACGCAATCGAAGTTCACTGGACCGTTTGTGCCGCCGATGAACCTCAAGTCTAGTTCGCTTAACAGATCACCAGCTCCGGGAACTCAACAGCAAATACAGGCCGAGGCGTTTAGCAAGCAAAAGGCGCAGCAGGCGCAAGCCAACGCCATTGCGGCAAACCAGGCCCAAAACCCTTACGGGTCGATGGCCACTGGACAGCAATATCCCCAGCAGGCCCACGCGCAACCGCCTCCCTTGTATTCCAACAACAATATCTATGCTCCCAGCGGTAGCAGCAGTCACGCTGGCGCGCCTCCTCCATACGGCACTCAGCAGGGCGCATACCCTCAACAAGGCATGCCCCAACAGCAACAGCCGCAGCAGGTACCGCAAGTACAGATGCCTCCAGCGAACTACTCGGGCGTGTCCCAGTCGAGTCTCTATGCCCAGCAACAAGCGGCAGCTGCAGCCCGCCAGAGGCAACGGTCTTCGACGATGGAGCAGCAACAAAGTGGCATTCCCGTGTCCATCCAGCGCGTCGCCAGCCATCTCGATCCCACCCAGCCTATCCGTCTGCAACCTAGCCCGGCCTACTACCCGCCTCCACCAGACGGTCTCGCGGGTATGGACTCGCAGCCAAGCCAGAGGATGCCGAGAAGGGGAAGCCGTGCGCAGCAGTCTGGACGGGGTCAAGGCAACAACCGCGACTTCATCAGGAACTTGGAGGAGAGAACGTTGGAGGAAGGGTTTATGGGTGGGAGCGGTGGAGGTGGTGGTGGTGGCGGTGGAGGTCAGGGTCAAAGTCCATGGCATTAGGAAGCAATATTGAATTTGTGATGAAGGGGCCAGAGGAAAGGGGAGGTGGTTTGTTTGTGAGCTGGTAGTTGGTAGTTTAGTAGCTTGGTAGGGAAGCGGGTATTTTTCGTTGTAGTTGTTGTCATACCATTCAGGTTGTACTCACAGATACGATACCTCTTTTCTTTTTTTTTCTCCTTACCGAAAATTGTCACTGCGCATCGTCACTTTTGTTGTTGGGAGGGCAGGGCAGGGCATGTTTCTATGTTTGCTGAGCGGGACTGGATGGGGAAAGGGGATGGATGATGAAAAGGGGAAGGGGGAAGAGGAATAGTGGGGAAGGAAATAGTGAAGAGGGAAGAAGGTCGGGAAGCAAAGGGAAGAGAGCAGAAAGCAGAGCAGAGCAGAGGACAGCAAGCAGAGCAGGATTTATAGAAAGAAGGAGAAAAGTAACTGATATGCTATGCTATGCTATACTGTGGGCGCGCGCAAGGAATTTTTTCTTCTTCTGTTGATGATGATGTCGGAATGCCCGTGCTTTATTCATTCAAGTCCGAAACTTCGTTGAGGGAGTCTCTTAGGAACCTAAGTGAGTTCACAGAAGGCCAGGTGAAACAGAAAAGTATCCTGTCTTGTGCTGCTGGATTTGAGAGTATCAATCATTAATGTTGTTATCCTGCCTTCATACGGTTCGTTCCATCTTCTCTTGTCAGTTGTTTCTTCTGGATATTGCCTCAAATGATAAGGCGCATTGCATCACGATGCCTGAATAGTCTGCGTTATTTGTTCGACTAACAAGAATCAGCCTCCAGCCATTGTTTGAACAGATTGTGGTATTGTAACAACAACAACTTATATACAAGCGGATGAGCCCATTCCCTCATTCAAAACTAACTTACAACCTATCTAGCAATCTATCTTTCTAGCAAACCTCTATCTCTATATCCTATACACTATACCGCCTCATCGATCCATCACAGCACCACCGGGGTTTATTGTCGCCGTTGCCGCTGCTCCAGCTATGCTGCTGCTGCTGCTACTGCTTATGGGCGGTATTCCATCTCCCCAACTGCCTCCTTGACTTTCTCTCGACCATGATGAGGAGTTGTTGTTGTTACTCTGCTGCTGGTGTTGCGGCTGTCTGGAACTCCTCTCGTCCCTCCTCAACTTATTCCTTAGACTCTGTGTCCTCCTGTCACTGCCGCTGCCGCTGCTGCTGCCGTGGCGTCTGTCGGTGATATCCTCCCACTCGCCATCATCCTCATCGTCTTCGCCTTCCTCCTCCTCCCTCGGCCTTTGCGTTTGCTCGGCCTTCTGCTTAGTAGCAACCCCATCCTCCTTCTTCTTGCTGAGGTTTCTCTCAAACTCATTAGGTTTCGGCTGTCCAAACTCGTAGTTTTCCTCCTTCTCGTTGGCCTCCCGCTTTGCGAACCGCTCCGCGCCGTACCGCTCCACCATCTTGTCCTTCCACTTGGCCGTCATCTCGCCGTCCTTGACAACGTAACGTTCGACCATGTTTTGCAGAATCACGCGTCGCCGCTTGAGAACCTTGAGGACCGCGGCGTCGGGACACATGTTGTTTAGCATCACTTTGTCCAAAGCGGAGATCATCCGGCGCGCGGTGACCACGCACTCGGACATGTGCGCCCTGGTAGCCTTCCACGCGTCTTCGGGGCTTTGGGCCCGGACTCTGTCGCCGATCGGGTACGAGTACTGGTTTATCATGATGCGGTAGGGTTGCCACATCTTGTCCAGCGCGAGGATGATCTGTTTGCCCATCGTCTGGCGAGAGCCCAGGGGGTCGGTCTCGGCCATCTTCTTGATGTGGCGGAAGTTACCCTGGGCCGATTGCAGGAAGAGGCGCATGGCGATGGCGTCGGGGTAGCGGGTTTTCTTGATCATGGCGTCGAAGATGGTGCACGCGTGGGGGGAGAAGGCGTGCGGGTTCAGCTCGTCGCGGATGCATGTCGTGAAGGCGGTTTTGAGCATCATGGGCGTGATGAATTCCGCCGGCATGGACGCGAAGACGGAGGCGGTGGCGGCGGAGCCGCGGCCGATTTGGAGGACGCGCAGGTAGCGGAAGTAGTTGTCTTTGTCGGGCTTGATGGAATAGGGCGGGGAGGTGAGAAGGTCCCAGTACTTTTGGGCAAGGGAGGTGCGGCGCGTGTTGGAGAGGACGGAGAGGATTAGGGAGAGGGTGTTACTGCCTGGTTTGGCGAAGAGGCTGGGGGGGACATATTTGGGTTTCCTCTCGAACTTGGCCGGCTTCGTCTCCTTGAATTCCTCGACCTCCTTAACATCCTTAACATCATCAGTTGGCTCGACGGTCGCCGTGGTTGGCTCGGATGTTGTTCCTGTTGGTGTTGATTCGGATGCTTCTGATGAAGCTGCTTCAGATGATACCGCTGGAGTG